CGACCTCGGCGGCTTCTCGAGGACGCCAAGAGGCGCGAGGCCCACGCGTCGCTCGCCTACTTCCAGCTCCTCGCCGAGCGCCTGCCGATCCAGCGCGTGCGCAAACTGCTGGCCCAGCCCCTCGACGACAATTACTACGCGAGGCTGCTGCGAAGCCGGCTGCTGCGGCTCGAGAGCGCGGCCCAGCTCGCGGCCGCGGCAGATCTGGAGCGGACGTGACGAGTGACCGACCAGCACGCGCTTCCGCTTCCGTTCGATCTTCGTCTTGCTCGTCGAGGCGTTCCAGCGCGCTCCGCCGAGTCTTGTCGATGCCCATTTCCACTCGATATTCACGTGTAGTTGTACATATTCGGATCATCAAGTACATTGCATAATCGACCATTCCCACAGGCTTTTTGTAATCGATTGCGATTAGCTTTTACGGAAGGAATCCGTCGACTTTCGAAGATTACTCGAATCCCGTCGTACGAAAGCTCGCGCAGTACGAACGTGGCGAGCAAATGAAAAGATCATTTTAGTACGTTCGAATGCTACTTGAAACCGTTAATTTTTACTGCCTTAAAAAATGCCTCAAAAAGTCTATTTTCAATGGATGACAATTAAAACTTTGTTGGTGTATTACGCATATTTGAGCCTATTGAGGCGATAGTCCTTATTGACAAAACCTGGTATAAATCTCAGTAACAGATTACGTTTGCTGTGCCACTAGTAAGAATAAGCATCGATTTTACGTAATTCAAGTGCTTGGAGTACTTCATCTTAGTAAATAGGTGCAACTACACTTCGTTACAAATATATATCCACGAGATTCACGGTTACGCCATAGTCGATGTATAAATTACCAATTGTGGGTCGTCTATACTATATGTTTGCGCAACACGATTAATTAAGTCGAGCGGCAACATCAGTTCCTTTCTCCATCTAAGCGATAAGACGGCAAAGAGGCGAAACAGGCTACCGGCATTATCTTTGGCTCTTCTAAGTCAGTTCTTCTTCAATCACGTATTTGCGATGCATGCGTCATTATTATTCTTTGGCAAAGTCTACGCGAACGTTGTACAGCTACGCCCGAATTTTACAACAAAATCACAATATCGAGATAATTAACGACTTGTCGTTACTTAATTGAGTAGTCCGTCTTAGTCCGTAATTTACGATCGCGAGAGCTCAAAAAGGAAGGCAAATTGTCGTCCTGTGTCGCCTGCGCAACTTCTCGCTGTTCGTACGTCTCAATTACGTAATTTACGAAAAAATTCCGCAAGAATAAAGTTTATGGCGCAGTCGGAGCGAACTTTTATCGGCAATTCGCGTCGGAAGCAGTGCTCGATTCGTCGAGATTTGCAAGAGTGCACGACAGATTTATCGCTGCGAGAGTCAAAACGAGGAAAGCAAAAAGGCAACGGCGACGAGCCGCGAGGCAGCGCCCGTGAAAACCGTGGACCCTATCTCTCAGGAGCAACCAACCGAAAAGCCCGGAGCATTTTTCGCGCACGGCGCTCGTAAAGCGCCTCTCGATCGAGAAGAAACGCTTCGCCACGGAAGCGCGGAGCGCAAATTCTAAACGGGTAGGTCTTTTGGATTTCGAAACTCGCGTCGCGTTCTCCGCTCGGTGCGAGGGTCTCGCACATATATTAAAGCGACCGCAAGAGGAGAGGTTTTATCGACGAAAGAGAGAGAAAGGGGGGGGGGGGGGGAGAGCCAGGTGTGAATCGAGAGCCCCGAATGTTTTACCGAGTGCCCGATCAAAGGCTTGCCGGACCGACGCAGCAGCAGCAGCAGCAGCAGAAGCAGCAACAGCAGCTACTAATTATATACGGCTCGCAGCTTTATGACGTCCACTTGCCTCGCTTAATTAGCTCCGAGTTGGGCCTTATCGACAAGGTCCTTTAGCCGGCTCGTCGGGAGGTCCGCCGGGATCCCAAGCTCCTCCGATAAGCCGACTTACCGCGGCGTAACACGGTGTGCGTCCGTGCACCGTCGATGCCTCTCGCGAGGCGCTGGTCGGCGTCGAGACCGACTGCTCGGATGCTCGCAGCTCAGCGACACGCTCGCGATCGTCAAAACGACTCCGCGACGAAAGTCGAGACCCAAGAAGACTAAATAAATAAATTAAGCGGAGCAAGATCGCGTCGACAGCGACCGACGAGTCAGCACGCACAGGCGAAGCCCGAGAGAGGCCGCGACGGGCATACAGGGGAAAAAAGACGAGACAATGTCCGTTTCTCGCAGGCAGGGTCCTTATTCGGGCGTCGAGAGAGCGAGCGAAGGGTCTTTTCTCTCGCGCGCGAGAAAGAGGGAGAGAGAGAGAGAGAGAGAGAGAGAGAGAGAGATCCATCGGGACCGGTTTCTCGGGAGCCGAGCGCGCGAGAAGGGGCTCGGTTTTTGTGGCGCGCATTCCCCGCGGAGGCCCCGCGGCGAGGCCGGGTGTGAAAACCGACACCCACCCGCTTGTTATTTTGTCAAAGGCGAGACAGCCGTGCGAGGCCTCTCGAACGGCCGATCGCTCTTCTTCGGCTCTCGCGCGGAACCCCGTCGGTGCCACGCCTCGCTCCCTCCGCCGCGATTCGCCGATTCCCGCATCGCCAGGCAACGGCGGACTTTTTTTGCTCTCGCGCCGACGCTCGACGTATCCGTTCCGCGCGTACTTTTGGCCTCGGAGGCGCTCCTCCCTGAAAATCGGCTGGACGCTCGTCCGTCGATCGTGCCTTCTTCCAAAAACCGACGTTCCCTCGACGGGACAAACGTCGAATGCTTCGGCAGACCCGCGCGTTGCACGTGGCAGCGATATCGGTTCTCGCTCGAAGATAGCATCCCTGTAGGGACGTACGTACGAGGCGGAGTTTCGCGACGGGCGCAAAACAGCAAACTTGGCAAGAAGTTGATCGCCTTCGAGCGCGAAGGCTCGGTTCCTACAGCGATTTTCGCGAAATAGCCCGGATGATCGCTCTCTCTCTCTCTCTCTCTCTCTCTCTCTCTCTCTCTCTCTCTCTCTCTCTCTCTCTCTCTCTCTCTCTCTCTCTCTCTCTCTCTCTCTCTCTCTCTCTCTCTCTCTGCGGCGGCACAATTTTGCAGTTGCGAGCCTGGTCGACCCAAGTGCCGAGCCGAACAGCCGAGCGCGGGGCAGAGAGAGAGAGAAGCGTACGCGCGCGAGGTCGTATTTTTGTTGTTGTTATTTTCGCGCGCCTCAAAGCGGCTCTTTGTCCGCCGGGCGCGATTCGCCACGCGCTCGCCGCGTTCGCCGGTTCAACGCGCGATCGCGCGCGCGCGCACGCACAGGCGAGGTCGCCGCTGCGGTTTAATGCGCGCGTTGCGTCAACGCGCTGATTATCTCGTTCGTTGCGTGGCGTACGGTGGGGGGGGAGGGCGGGGCGTTACGACCAAATGGCGGCCTCTCGGATGGGAAATTAGACGCGGGACGACGCGCGCGAAACGTCCCAACGAGACGCGCGCGTCGCAAGCTCGGCGGCGTCGACTGGTTTTGGCGCGCGCGCGCACGCTCATTAAGCGCCGAGATACGCCGGCGGCCTACATACCGGCCGACCTTCCTTCGTGACAACGCTCGAGCGTTCGCCGGCCGCGCCGGATAATCTTATCTGCGCCCCGACGCGCTAGTCCCGTGCGCCTTCCGAACCATGTGCATCCGTCTAATTTTAGACAGCGCGCTTCCGCTGCAGTCGCCGCCGCGGCGGCGATACGTCGATCGTTACGCGAACGCTCCTACGGCTTCCAACTCCGAGTGCCGCCACCGATTCTACGATCGACACACGGACGAACGTTAACGCAAAGCAGATTCCTTGAGTACGTTTTGATCGGAGCGATCTGCCGCGTTCTCAATTGAAAATAACAGATCGCGCAACGTTAGTCTCTCTTTCTCTCTCTTTATTTTTCCTCGAGAATCATTAACATTGAAATACTTTCGTGCCGTAGGCAGCATTTATGCGATTATCTCGAAATTCGCTTATACTCGCGAAAATTACAGGACGACCATGACTCATGGCAACGTCATTGACTTGAAAAATAAAAGTCAGAATGCGCGTCGACTCGTTCGTCCTTTCGATAGACCGATAATTACGGAGCGCGCGCAAACACGCGCAGCATAACGCCGCCAGTACAATTTGCTCGCTCGGAAACCAAGTCTGCGAATCCACGCAACACCCGCGCGCCTCGTCGATTTCCTCGTCCATCCGAAAATTTTTTTCCGATATCGCTCGGTGAATCTGGAGTACGTTGTGCGAAAATGCGACTGGTCCGAGAATTTTCTCGGTAGCTCGTCGGCGCCGGGACGCGATCGATTCGAGATCAATTCGCATATTCAAAATCCAAATTCGACGAGGGAAAAAAAAGATAGCCGTGGCGCCGCGCGCGACGCTATATAAACCGCCTTCTTTGCCCCGCGGGCGTGAGAACCCGCGCGCGCACGAGCCACGTATAACCGGACGGCGATCTTGCAACGAATAAGGCCGCGGCGTCGCCGAGCTTGCTCGCCTTTACCATAAACGGCCTGCGACCTGCACGCATACCTGCGTAAGCGCGCTTGCCGATCTTCTAAAAAAATGCCTTTTCCGGATGCACCGTTTCTCCCTGCACACGTTGTTCAACATCTCGCGGAGTAATACATATTTTATGTAGGAAGATTTTTCCTATAGACATACTGAGCGGCGTTAGCTAACATTACATTACACAATCGGTCGAGTAGGCTTTTCGTTGTCAGGCGTAATGACCTCGTAATGGCAAGAAAATGTCGAATAGGTATGTACGCGGAACTTGATTGAAAGCAGAAACGCTCTTAGCGCGACAAGTCTCAAGCGAGTTGTCATGATTTACCTATATAATTGTGAATTTAGCTTAAAAAAGCTGTTTGTATAAGGAAACTCGTTAGCTTTTTCATTGAAACTGAGATGTTAGATATTTTATCATGTACTAGAATGCAAAGGAATGATTCATAGTTTGTACAGCTTGAATCTTAGAATAATCAATACCGATAACGAATGAATTTACGAAATCAGCTTTCAAATGACACGTCAATTTAATGATTTTTTACAACTTTTTATAATTTTTTAATATTGTAAATTTGCATTACATACAATAAATGTGACTTTAATCTTCTACTTAAATAAATAAGAACAACTTCTAATCCATGGTCATTTTTGCAAGAAACAACTTGTAATGGTTATTCAAACATGCAGAATGTTTTAAATTGCAGTGATGACTGTACATTTTCATGTAAATGAATGCTAAGAATCTTGTACAAATAGAAGTTAGGTAGTAAATGACATATCTGAAATCATGAAAGTTTAGTGTGAATCTATTCTATATTTAATGAATTGCAGTTTTTAAATATGACAATTTTACCTTATCGTAATATTTATAAATTTGTAGATTTTCCTATATTTTATGTGTATACAAAACCACCTCCGGAATATTCTACCCTTGTTTGTGGTTCAACAAATGCAAGCCAATCTGAGCTGTGGGTTGGCAAAAGTCCCATAGACTGGCATTTATAAAGTGCCAACAAAATATTCACTAGTTGACCCAGTAAAAATAAAAATTTCTGAAAATATGCATTTGTACCCTCGACTACTTTAAATGCTGTAATGATTTTATGTTTGTTAGAAATGAACTTACAAATAAAAAATTATAAGTATTCAATCTAGCTAACAAAAGTTTGGTTATTTATTTGCATTATTGTTAAGTTATTATGTTTGGAAGAAATATACTTACTTTGTTGAAGAGTAAATAGAGCTTTAACTGGCCTGATGATCAACATACCAACCATCATGATAGGAAATATCGATATGGAATTACCAGCCATGTACATGATGAAAATATTCATTGGTACTTGCTTTAATGGACCAAGTGCTAAATCCCAGGATTTCTTCATTATTAAATGATTTGAATTGGATTCTCTTGAATGATCAATGCTCCGATCTGTGGCTCCATGTGTGTAACCTGGTGGTGCAGCTATTTCTACATTCTTTTCTACTTTACCTCTTGAATATGTCAATAATAAGATATTAATGTTTATCAAGGCCACATATTAATGTTTTCAAAAGTATGAAATCACAATAAAACAGGTTATAAAATTGGTGTTTTGACTTACAACAATTCTTCAAATGGCACTAACCTGTGTGAAAAATCTAATGCCCACTTCAATTTTTTTGAACTCGGTTTTGCTGTTGACATTTCTAAATACTTAATTTGTTTAAATTTATATAATGTAATGTTTTTTAAATAAATAAATGACACGACAACCGTAACGTATATTAAGCACAGCTGACGTCACGTGAACTCCGTTTAATCAGAGAACGTTTGCAACGCTGTTCCATCTATATCTAGCGGTCCAACTTTAAAGCTACAACACGACACAATTATTGATTGGTTGAATCATCCTCAACATTGGCAGATCTGAAAGAATTGACCAATAACATTCTAGGCGGTTCCCTGATGTTTTTCGAAGCAATATATAAACTCTTTATCGCTGATTTTTTCGATGTGTAATTTTAATGATTTTCCAAGTTAAAATGTTTGAAAATCTTTAGATTGAATAAAAAGTTTGTCGCATTTGCATGTTACATTGATGGAAAGTAGGTATTGGTTTACAAAACAAAATTAAATGGTATTTTAAAAGTTTATTTAGTGAACTTCAAAAAAATACTCAATTAATATTAGTATGCAACAATTACAGCAAATAAGTAATAAAATTTTCGTATAGTAGTGCAATTAGAATAATATGTAGGTTGATCAGTTTAAGGGAAACCATCATCATCTTCTTCAGCCATTTCTTTTGCCAATTCTAAATCCTGCTGTTCTCTTTCTCTGCGTTCTTCTGCTGATTCAAGATCTTTACCATAAGATTTTGGTGGATATCTCATAGCCTTGACACTCTGATTATGCAAATCCAAACAGAACGTGATTCTCTGGTGGAAAGCAAGCAAAGGCTCTCTGGTGCAGTAGATGTCAGTTGTTTCTTTGCTTCTCATGTATCCATTTTCTGGATCAAGAGTAGCCTCGATGACACCATCGCGAATAGCCTTTGCCACTATGAATTCTGCGTCTACTCCAGAATCTAATCCCAATTTTCGAGCAATATCTGTTGGTGAAATGCGTGAGTACGAAAGGCCAATAGAACGAATTGCCGTCTTGATAACATTGTGTCTCAATCTTAAAATCAGAGTAAAGGTATAATCCGACCTGAACTGAGGTCCAAAGTTCTCCAAAACTTCTCCAAAACGTTGCAAGTTACCTAATCTAACAGCTTGAGTAAGCTGGAAGTATGGAGCTAAAGCTCTTCTCAAAGCTGCCTGTCGAAAAATTTGCCGTTCAGGTATGTCACCCAACAGAAGTTCCACAGTGACAGCAAGTTTCTGCACAGTCTGTCTAAATCCAACTGCTGCAGTCTGTGGTGCCTTGCGCAATGCTTGGACCAAATATTTATGTGCAGCAGAGTACTCTAATCTTGCTGATTTAATTCTACCCAAATAATATAAAAAGCGAGCCCATTCATTGTTACTTGCAGTTTCTGGGAAAGTTGATTTTAGAACCAATTTATCAGCTTGGTCATAAAGATTGTAATGCAGATAGTTTCTGAGCAGACAATTGATTAATACAGCTTGGCCTTCAAAATCATTACGAAGAGTTGCTGTACGCAGTCTCAAATGCAAGAAACCTCTGATTTTGTCTAACTGATTAGTGAGCTCGTAAGCTCTCGAATGGTAAAAGAAGCACTTGGCAGCTATCAAATCTATTGTTCTACGATTTTGAGCCATGATTTTTTGGATAAGAGCTTCAGAGCACTGCACTGCTTCATTGTACTTTTTAGTATCAATGAGTCGTACAAGAACCAGCAAGTGGATATAGGCATCGATTTCTGGTAACAAAGGAGCTGCAGAGCTTTTAAACCTTTGAATAGCAGCTTGTGTGCTTTCGGTATCCATTGGTTCTTCAACCCATGCTAAAAGAGCTTCTTTATCTGGTGAAGACTTTGTATAAAATCCACCAATAATACCACGCAGAACAACGGGATTTAATCTACGTCTCGTACATGGTAATGCTCTTAATGCTCTCAAGATGAATCTTGGCTCTTTGTTTGCCACAGCTTTTTCTATTTGTCTTGTGTGTTCTCTGAGGTCGTGAATTGTCACAAGGTCAACATCCTTCTTTTCACTGGCTTCTCCTTCCCCATTGGTAGCCTCTGGGTTTGTGATTTCAACCTCCATAGCTTCTACATTTTTCCCTTGAACACCCATTGTGGCTGTGCACAGGAAGACTTTCTATAGCTACCTTCAAATCGATTAGCAAAATATTATTAAAAGAACAATACAATTTCACAAAGTATATTTGTTGAAAGATTGAAAACAGTATTTCGTAACCTCTCAAGCATTAACTATTGTCGAAACAACTCTTCATTTTGGTATTTAAAGAGTAATACGTATAAGCAATGGTTGGTTGTCTAGTTGTTATGATAATATTAAAAAATCGAATACTTTTTACTTACTCAACGTAACTAATTGCAAGCCGCTTTGTAGATATAGTAAGGTAGTTGACTATTGACAGGGCCTGGGATGATGATGCAGTATCACCATTAACCCCAGTTTATGACATCTGTAGATCGCGAACTCTGCCGGATTTTGAAGCAACGCGCACAACGGCAGTAAGCGCGTCAACACTTGTCGCGTCGGCGTATCAAGACCAAGATGTTTAAGATAACCTTATATGTTTTTGATTAATTTTTAGCATGTTTTTTCTTAAATATGGTGATGATTTGGCTTTTTGATAAAATGCGCAAACTATATTTTATATTTTTGAATAGTTGAAATAAAATTTAATCGAAAAAAGTTTCACGTTAAAAGTATAAAAAAGTATTGTTATCACTGTTGTCATTTATTATTGGTAAAATTAAAACAAAATGTTTATAAAGCCTTTTAAAGTTAAATCAAACAATCAATTAAAGGGGACTGAAAGGTGTTGTTTCAATAAAATAATAATAGGTTACAACTGTTATGCGTCTATAACTCATTTGAAATATAATTTTTTAGAAAAAAACTATGCGAAGAAATTGCACAAGCCTTTCCAACTTTACAATCTGAAGAAATTCAGAATCTTCTTCCAAAAAAAGAAGCAGTATCCATTTTAAAAATCACAACACACTGTGGACATACTGGAAAAGTATATTGCGCAGCAAAAGTGCCTCTGTTTTTCCAATTTGAAAAAATTTCACCTCCACAGTTATTCCCAACAGTGTTTACATTATGGCAACATCCAACGTTGTTTTATACTTTTGTTACTCGACCTCTTGTTGTACCTAAGTTAGCTGGTGGTGCTAGCTTAATGTTACCTGGTGTGGTTACCGATCATCCGCCAAACTATAGATCATATGGAAAATTGGAAAAGGGTGTTACAGTATCAGTGGCCACTAATGACAACATGGTGTATATTAATAATTTATTATTTTGATTATTGAAGCTACTTCTTTTTAAATAAACTAGCTCAAAATTTTTTTACTTTTATAGGCTCCAATTGCTGTAGGTATTACAGCCTTATCCAGTGAGGACATGTACATGTCTGGTGGGTTTGGAAAGTGTGTGGAAATTCTGCATGTAATTGGTGATACATTGTACAACATGGACAAACCACTAGTTAGACCAAAGTTAGGACCACCTGTGTTTGAAAAAAATCAGACCAATGAAGCATTTCCTGAACAGGACATTGAACCTCAACAAGCTAATGGCAATCAAATTTCTGAAATTTCAAAGACTGTAAAAAATGTAAATATTAATAAACAAGAAAATGATGATAATGCTGGGGATATTGTACAAGATAGTGCAGAGACTGAAGAACCATTAGATGAATCAAACAACGGAGATGTAAAAGAAGATCTTGATCCAGTTCAGAAAATGGACAGATTGTTGGAATATTGTTTTTTGAAAGCTTGTAAAACTAGTTTGAAGAAAAGTGATTTGCCTATAATTGTTTCCACATTTTTCAAAAATCATGTGATTGGCGTATGTCCTCCAGGATGTACTGTAGATATTAAAAAATCATCTTTCAGAAAGTTATCAGTCTTTTTAGCTCATATAAAAGATAAAGGTCTTATAGACACTTCCGTAACTAAAGGTGTTGAAACTCTATTATCTGTCAAAGTAAGATATGTTTCTAACATGTTCCTGTTATTTTAACAAATTTTTTTTTCAATCAATTAATTTTAGCAAATCTTATTTTTGTAATTATCTTAATCTAATTTTAGTTTGATCATCCACTAATAAAAAGTCTTGAAGTAATGGAAGAGCCACTAGCCAAAGAAGAGGAAATTACACATGCTCCAGTAATATCTGAATGTTTCAAAGTAACGGCAGCTGTCGTACCAGTTCTTTCTAAATTTGGATATGAGTCAGTAGTAATACTTTTATATAGAAATTGAGAAGTTTTCGCAATATTGATTTGATTGAATTGATTACAGAAAAGGTGATATTTTAAAAAGAGCGGAAATTCGGAGATGTTTTGCAGAATATGTGAAAGGCGAGAATTTACAAGATGGGAAGTAAGTATCTTTGTTTGTGCTCAATAGATTAACATTTTCATTCACACACTTTCGCAATAATAATTTTTCAAAGGATTTTGAAAATTAATCCACAACTAGCCGACATTTTTCGCACAAAAGAAAATCAAGTAACTGTGACGATGGAAGATGGTATTAATAAATTTATTGGCAAAATGACTCACACTCACGAAATCACAATAGCAGGGAACAAATTGTTACATAGTGGTAAATTAGAACCAATCGATATCACTGTAGCTACAAGATCTGGAAATAAGAAGGTATTATGTTTATTTAAAATTTTCCATTATCTCGGTCGGTTTATTAATTTAAAAATAATTCATGAAAATTTGGATGTTTACAGGTGACGTTAATTAACAATCTAGAGACTTTTGGTATCAAGCTTGAAGAATTCAGCAAAGAATGTCAAGGAATCGGCGCAAGTGCTACAATCACTGACGTACCTGGCAAGAAAACTCTGAGCGTGTTAGTCCAAGGAAATCAAGTTTTATATGTATATAAACTTCTGACAGGTGAGTTAGTTTTATGTATAAAATTTCTTAAAATAATGTAAGCAAAATAATTTATTAAAAATGTTATTCTGCTCTAGAAAAATATCGAATAAGTAAAAATCACATAAAGGGATTAGAATTTGCTCCGAAAAAGAAGAAATAGCGTTGAATTCAACAACAAAAGTATGATTTTTGTTAATGAAAATTGTGCATAAATTTTAATTTGAATAAATTTATTTTACGAAAATAGATATGATTTTTATATTTTATTGAAATTTTTTATTTATTGGTAAAGCGTTTTCAGTACCTATTGGTTAATAGGTAGTAATAAGTGTTTTCAATCAGATATGCAATTTCAATCGTTTCTTATAGTTATATTAATATTCGATCTTCTTTTCTCATGAAACTATTGGTGAAATTCGATTAAATAGAAATAAAAATATTTTATCTTGAATTTAGATATAATTGGTGAAATAAACTTGAAAGATATTATGCAGGCGTGCATTAAAGAGTGCAACTAAACTTAATTTTTTTCATATAAGCTGAACTTCTCAATATTTGAGCAAATGTTATGTCTAAATGCTGGAGGAATGTCCGAAAAATATGACGTGCATTTTTGTTGAGTTTGAAAGGCAAAATTTGCTTATTGAAAATGTGACATTATACTTACCAACAAGAGAGTAGTTATGAGATTAGACGTTATTCACGAAAAAAAATTATGCTTGAACAGCTTGATTAACTTGGTTTTTTGTAAAATAAAATTAAAACAAAGGTGTTTTCGTTCAAGAAGGTACCGAGAAATAGAAGTAATATATTCGAAAGCAATTGAGAAAGCGAAAAGGCTAATTTGAAAAAGAACGCTTAATTGAGAAAAAGACAGCTGCTGTGTAAAGTTTGTTAATATAATTTATTGTATATCGAGGTTTCAACATGGAAAAGTACAAATATTGCAATATAGGGCCCGCAAGCTCTCCTCGGGTGGGAGGGAGGGAGGGAGGAAAAGGGCTATGCGTGATTGACGAATACGTCCGAGACATCATTTGTTGGTTTCTCATATCTTTATCGTATAATATAATCGGTGGCCAGAGAGACAAACACGTTGTTTTCATCAAGCGTGTGTCACTGTGTGCGTGTGTCAGTTTGTTCTTCGTAACTAGGGTTTATGTTCTCTCTCTCTCTCTCTCTCTTTCTTTCTATCTATCTTATCGTTCGGCATGCTCCCGCGAATTCTTGTACATCTGTTTTACGCAAAGAAAACGAACGCAAACGCTGGATTCGCTAGCGCGCGCACTCGGAAGTGCGCGACATTAAGGAAGATTCCCTCCTCTCCACGGCCCCGTAATTTTTTTTGGTATACCTAATTCTCTCGCTCTCTCGTGCGCGCACGCACGCACACATACACACACACACATACACACACACACACACAATCGCACGCGCTAACAATCGTTGGCGCAGTGGTTTTTCTTTGGTTTTGTTTGTCTTGCTTTGAAACGAACTACCCTCGCACGCATCGTTCACTTCGCTCTCGCTAGTCTTTTTCCTTAGCCCACCCCCCTCCTCCCTGTTGTCATTATTAATTTTTTTTTTTTCGCTTACTTTTTTTTTGTTTTTTAATTCGTCGCACACGCGCCGCACTCATCATCAGCCTCGCGCGCATACTTGCTCTTATTCGCAGTCTCTCTGTCTCGCACGCACTCAGATTTCAGATTTTTTGCGTTTTTTCAGAATTTTTTTTTCCATAGTTTTTTTTCTTTATGCAACACATAATGCGACTAGGTAGTACAGGTTAATTAATAATTAATATCATTAGTTATACAATAATAACATATGACTAGACAATGCAAGATAATAATTATATCGTAAATAGTAATAATCGTGGATTGCAATTTATATCAACAATGTGACATGGCGGGTTGTTCTTTGTTGTTGTTTTTTTTTTATTTTCATGTATTCATGTAATTGTAGATTGTGTCGTAGGTTTACTTGCATCCTCTCGCTCTTCTGACAACACTTGCTCTCTCTCTCTCTCTTTCTCTCTCTCGCTCTCTCTCTCTCTCTCTCTCTCTCTCTCTTTCTCTCTCTCTCTCTCTCACTCGCGCTCTCAATTCTCGATTAGTTACATTGGTTTGTTTCTTATTTGTTGGTTCATTATTCCCTACAAGAGTCTTCTTTGATTGGACCCCACCCATAGTCTCCATGTCTCTTTGCGTTTACACACTGAAACAAAAATTTTTCAAATCGAACCGAATGCAATTGATTGTGTGGTCTATACAGTGCACGCCTTCGTCCGCCTTGCCCGTCTGTCCCATTCTCAGCTCTCATGCTGTTCTCCGGAAATGCCAATACACTGATAGAAAAATCAAGAGATTACAATTCATTGAATTTGTCGTCGAAAAATGATAGTCGCGCGAATTCACCTGCTCTACTATTCAAATAGGCTGCGGCGTCAACAATTTTTTTATTTTATTTATTATTCAATCACCATCGTCACCTTTCTCTCTCGTTAACTACATTAATCGCATAGGTAACATTTTTTTTATCGCTCGCTCGCTCGTTCTCGCTCTCTCTTTCTCTCTCTCTCACTCTCTCTCGTTCTCTCTCTCTTATTTCGTTAGCAAATATGCACCGAACGAGCAAAAATCGTCCGGCGTCTTTGATTTACTTTACTTTTATTTTATTTTCTTTACTTTATGGTATGTTCGCGTCCATAAAAAAGATTCACCGCGAACTCTACGTGTTTTCGTCGAATTATCTCGATTTCAATTCGATTTGACAAGTTTTCCCCAGTGCACAGCCATTCGACAAATGTAATGGATCGTCATCACATCCGCGCGCCTACGTCTGTCATGCGTGTGTGTGCTTGTGTGCCTGTACGTGTGTGTGTGTACGCGTGTGGAAGCCTCGACTCGCGTGCAACGGAGCCGCGGTGAAAGTGTACGTGTGTGTATGTTTTGCCTTATTATCGAACGAACGGCGAACGACTCGCTCTCGTGTGTGCGTTCGAACAATATTGAATGTCGAAGCTCATGGAAATACAATCGTGGAAGCTCATGATGTGCGGAACTCGAGCCTCGTCGTTCGCCATTCGAGAAGTGTGCTTCCTTAAATTGTACGCATTTTTTTTTTTAAAACCCGTCGCAAAATACATGTCTCTCTCTCTCTCTCTTTCTCTCCCGCAGTTTCTCCCTAATTACCGCGCGCCTAAGTATGTGTAAATCGTGTGATTAATTACATCTCCGATTTTCCATTTAAAAGCCTAAGAGTCGCCGTGGAATGTCTTTTTAAAGCCTTTATCTCGCTAAAACCCCCTAAGACCCCCTAAGTACATCGCTCTAGGAGGAATCATTTGTTTTGGATTTTGTTAGCTTCTGCCACCTAAACGCGCGTCGTTCGCGAGGTTTCCTTCGTGGGATCCGACCTATTATAATACTCCAAGGTATCACCGGGCGATAAAACTACGGATAGGCTCCTTTGATAAATCGTCGCGCGAGCTTTGTGTACGTATGTGTGTGTGTGTGTGTGTGTGCGCGCGTGTGCGTGTGCGTGAAGATCGAGGAACGAATCGACTATACGTAATTATTTTTAATTATCGAATTGCCTTATGTGCGCGCGCGTGTATGTGTGTGTATGTCTGTCTGGTTTTTGTATTTTTATTAGTGCTTGCGCTCAGCTAGCTCCACCCCACCTCTCGGTCCCTTCGAAATCGCTCGGCAGTATATACGTATTATTTACAAATTTATGTTCGTGAGTTGCTCAATTCGTTTGTCGCTGTTGTCATGACTGGTAAATTTCGCGTTTGTTAGCAAAAAACAAAATGAAAGAACGGGTTGTCGATTGGCAATGGCTTCGATGTTTATCACAATTGAGATCCGAACGTTTTGTTTTGAGCAATCACAGCGCGCAAGCTCGACTGTTTCGTTCCTCTGTCCGTTGCGTGTAAGTGTGTGTGTGTGTGCGTGTAAAGTTTATTCGGAATGTGTCAAAGTGCTAGGAAGTCTCGAAGTCTGCGCTATGGCTCGTTTTATCATTCAGCCGTAGTTGGAATGTGTGTTTCCTTTATTTCTCTTATTCATTTATTTATTTTTCTTATTTATATTTCTCACCGTAGGAGAATATAAAAACATTTTGTGCTTCTCTCGCGCTTACAAGGTTTTCTCTGGAGCGAAAGTGATCGCGTCCCCGGTAATGCTATATTTTTTTCTTCTTTCATCTTTCATTTCGCTATTTTTATTTTATTTTTTTATTATTATTATTTTTTTATTTTTTATCTTTTCTCTTTTAATGAAATCGGCTATTCTCAACAGTAATTAGATACATCTTTGTGTTTTTAATTAAAATCCTGCAGCTGTTTGTGATATATTTAATTTGCTTTCTTTTTTATCTCTCTTATAAATCTCTCTCGCCTTCGTTCTCCGTGGGTTTAGGAACGGCTTTTGCTCCGGAAAAAAGTCGAAAGCCTCGTCACACTCAAATCCCGACCTAAGCGTAATTTTATCAGTTTAAAATTCTCTCTTACTCTCTCGCTCGTCTAGCATTCATTCACATTCGCTACCTTTGTGTCTTGTGTGCGTGTGTTGTGTCATTGTCGTCATCTTCATCGTCTTCCCGTACATCTCCCTCGATTTTTTTTTTCACCATCGCCTCGCGTTATTTTTTTTTTTTTGCGTTTTTTTCCTCTTTTATTCATCATCGTATAAAGTCTCTCTCTTCTTTCATTTTGTATCGTCTACGAATATTGTAATTAAATATTTATACACCCATTGACAGACTAGCTACCATGTTTTTTGCTCGTTTAGGTATACTTTTTTTTTCATAGATATCAATTTAATTAAGTTAAATTCAATGATTAATCCATAGCGCGTTATTATAAGTTATAATAAGTAATCAGTAGAATATAATTAAAACATGTACAGAAGATTATAGATTATCTCTCTCGTGTTTTCTCTCTTTCGTCTCGTTTCATGCCAACTCCCTCTGCGCTCTACGATTGCTTCGCTGAGCCTTCCCTCGCCCTCCAACGGTCTGACTGTAGACGGTCCTGTTCTACTTAGTCGGAGATTATCTATTTGCTTGCTTATACTTCTCGATTTTTGCGGTTGATCGTTGTGGCTCGTCTCGTCGAGTCTCTCGATTATAATTGTTTGTTTTGTTTTTTTTTTTCCTACGCTCCCCCCCACCCTCCTTCCGCGCCCTAATCTCCTTAATTTTTTTTCCTCCTTTAATTTTCGTTTAATTCACTCGCACTCGCTCAGTTATTCCCTTAATATTTTTCGTTACATCGCACACGCACTCGCGCATCGCACAGTCGCTCGCCGAATTGCCGTCTTTTGTCGCGAGACGATTCGATTAATAAATAGATAGTACATAAATACTTCATTTATTTAGGCCTACGCTGAGCTAGAGCTGCTATGTCACGCCTATAATTTTTTTTTTTACTTTATTTTTTGCTTTCGAATCGACCACCGTTATTATTATTTATTCACTTTTGTCTTTTATTTCTTTCCCTCTTTTGGCTCCCGCTTCCCGAAAAGTCCCCTCGCGCTTTCTTGTAAAAGTTCCGCTTTTTTACTTGCCCGATTCATTGTCTCGTGGAAAAAAGAATTGATTTACTCCCATGCACTCCCTCCCTGACCTGCTCACTCTCGCTTATTCGATTAATATATTTCTTTTTTGTTTAATCAACAGCACCACTGTGTACTTCATTGCGCGTGTTCGAGCGCCGCGACACCTCGAGCTTTCAGTTCACTGAAAGAAGGATACTCGAATCACGCGAATCGTCGACGACGCTCATTGACCAGTTTTTTTTTCTTTTTTTTTTTCTTTTTTTCCCCCTTCAAAATCCATTGTTCACCCCACATCGTCTCGATACGAATCAACCCAACCCTCTGACCTTTTTTTATCCATTTCTTGCATGCTACTTTTATACCTTTTGTTTAGCGACTATATCAATTATACGCGATACGTAAAATAATCCTAACAACAATTAGAATGATAATAAATATTGATGAAGAGACGACCACAGAGTCCGGACAAATTGACGACAAAGTCTTGCATCATATTATTCTTAGCAAGTAAGTTATCTTTTATTAATCAGTTTGCTTGCGTTCTGTTTTTGAGTGAAACAATCACAACGAATGATCATGCATATTCGGTAATAATATCGAATCTCATATCTCGACGAGTATTATTGGTTAAAATTATCCTGCGATAATACTTGTGCAAATGGACAACTTCGTTCATTTATCCGAGTTTTTTTTACTCTGCGACTACTAATTATCATAATAATCCGTAATTAGTAATATAATTTAAGGTAATATAATATAATGTAATGTAATATAATGTAATATAATGTAATATAATCATTAACTAATTAGCTTGATAATAATGACGCACGAATAAATATAGACGTTGAAAATAGCTAAGACAAATACTATGACAGAGAGATAAAATGCAATAGACAAAAAACGAGAGATGTTTGTTTGTTCATTTTTTTCTTCCTCGAGATGAAACGATATAGATCTAAAATAAGTGATTAGCGTTAGTAAAAGGTAATTCAAGAGCTCACGACCAAATAATCGGTCATCCTTACTGCAATGAGTATTACACATAAATTATACATCTAAACGTAATATATTGAGTTTCCTTTGTCGATCGTATTTTAAGTAAATTCCATTTTCTCACATCGCTTCCCCGCAAAAGTGTCATCCGTCTCCGTTTTTTTCCTCGAATTAAAAAAAGAAAAAAAGGAAAACCCTCCCTTTTCAGTCTGCTACGCTCAAGCCTCTCTCGCTCGCATTCACAGCGCCATGAGCAGAAAAACCTGCGCTCGTCTTCGAGGTTTTTCACGTTACTTTTTTTTTTAATATTGTTTTTTTTTTCCTAACGCACACCGATTTATCGATGTTGCGAATCGCCTGGTTCACGAAGCTTTCTCGTCCGACCTACGCGCTATACACTCGGTTTTTTTTTATTAAAGAAAAACGCCTTTGCCCCTCTCATCACGTATATTTAGCGTCGTATGCACCGGCGACAACATTACTTTAGTTTTTTTTCTTTTATTTATTTTCCTTCTCTATCGTTTTTCAATTAAATTTTGCCTATCGACGCTGGCACAAGGATCGTTCGTCCCACAACGTTTTATATCTAGGCGTACACACGTTCACTATTAATTGTATTTTTTTCATCTAAAACAGAGCGCGCGCACACACGTGTTATTTTCATTGTCGTTTGCTCTCTTTATCGTCGTCTTGGCTTGAAAAAGAAGAAAAAGAAAAAGAAAAGATGAGTGAAGCTTGCATTCTTTCTATACCTCTCGCACACATTTTAATATAACATCGTTTGTCGACGCAGTGCCAGGACTCACACGATTTCGACTTGTCGAGACGGAGGATTTATCGACAACGCGTCTTGTGCGTTATTTAATAATTTTTTCTCGATATATAATATCAATTATATATAATGCTTCCTATTACATTTCTCTCTTATTTGTCTCACTCTTGTCCATACACTTGTACATATACAATATTAATGTTCTGCTTCTCTCTTGTCGTTCGCTCTGAAGGCGAACAAACGCCTGGGTAAATGTGCGTTTTCGTATAACTCGGAAAACTCAAAATTTGGTTTTTTTTATACACCACTTTCTCTCTCTCTCTCTCTCTCTCTCTCTCTCTCTTTCTCTCTCGTCATCGTCATCACAATCGCTATATCATCACATGTGTCGTGTGTCGCAAACGTGGGAAGGACGGAGTTGATCGAACATTTTTATACACATTCTGGCCCGCGTTTCTCTCTTACACACATACATAAACACTCTCTCATCACTCACACGCACATGCACGCACACGTACACATTCAGACGACTCTTAGTTTGTTTTTCTCGGTTTCTCAGCAAAAGTAGGCTTTCGTTGTATGCATGGAAACCCGATTAGGGACGCGTTCTTCGACGTGAAGTTATGGCCTACCGATCAATCGACGACTTTCTATGTGCTCCTAATCACGTGCACGTCGCGTATATAGTATACACACACGCACACACACCCTCCCCCTTTTCTTTTTAGCTGATCGTGTATACACATTCTCCTTCTCTCTCTCGCCTTCTAACAATATCTCATAGAAGTAGAAAGCTTTAACCAACGCCCTTGGTTCTCACTACTTTTTCCCCTTTCGAATTATTCTAACGGATATTGTTAATTGCTTTTGTCTTTCACAATCGTTCACTCGTTATCGAAGACAGAGATATATAAGTATACAGATACAGAGAGATTGAAGGGAGGATGTTTTGTGGAGTATATATGATGGATGGTGATGATGAAAGGAAACAAACAAAATTAATCAAGAAATAAAACAAACGTCATTCGAACTAAACACAAATCAGTTTAATCCTTAAATAAAACATAATTCTTGTTATGTTATATAATAATTAAATAAATAAATAAATAATTGCAGTAGTAGTAGTAGTAGTAAATAGTAGTAGTTAGCATAGTTAGTATTAATTAGCATAGTGTAGCTGTAGTTATTAAGAGATTTTTTGTTTATTTGGGTTTTTTTTGTTTAAGTACTCCTGCGAACTGTGGTCTCTCACTCGCTTCGACTTTACTCATTCTCTCGACAAGTATATCATAGCTACGTAAGACAAAGCTAAAAAGAAACGATTGTAATTTTTTGTTTGTTCATTTCAAACGTTACACGTCAATCAATCAATATCGTCACACACACACACACATATATGTATATATGTGTGTGGCAATATATATGTATAATAGTCGGAGTGGTCGAAAGAAGCGGTTAGTCAACAATGGCAACTACAGTGATCAAGTTTTTATTTTTCGTTTGTTAATGCGCGCAGATAGATATTTCTTTCGTTTACCAATGATTGTTTTTTTTCTATACTAGTCGCTCGTTCTTCACTCATCAATGATTGTTAGTCAGTGTTTTGTACTCACTACAAAAAGCTACACCACTAAAGACACGATCACAAAAAATTATATTAAAAATAATAATAATAATCATAATAAGAATAAGATAAATCATAATGATAAGAATAATAATAAGATAAGTAACTAATATACAGAACAATAATAATAATAATATAGAATTATAATGAGATTATGTGATAAGAGGAGTGGAATTTATCATGTAGACTCCGAAGAGTCGCTGTAAGCCCACACGCATGAATGTTTCGCACGCAAATGATATCAAGGATTTTTTCCTCTCATGATTCCATGAAACGGCGACACCGACGCGTTGAACTTAGTTTTCGATTGATTTTCGTTCTCTCTCTCTCTCTCTCTCTCTCTCTCTCTCTCTCTCTCGTTTTTCTTTCGTCATTTCTATTCAATAATACATGTAACTTTGCGTAACTCACTACACGTCTATGATTACGTTAAATGAATAAAACGGAATAGTCGCGAGGAGAAGAGCGCTGTCGACAAATCAGTTATTTCCTTATAGTAGTCAATTGATTTAGTTTTTGGCGCGTTCATTTATCGTCGCTCAATCATAAAATTCGTCTATAAAAAAAAGAATTCGATCAATGGTACCGGCAGTCGTGGCTCTCTTCTCGCTCGCAAATCCTGGACTAGACACAAAAAGGTACATACAAATAAGAGATAATAGTAATAGTTTGATGAATTCGCACGTCGTAAAAATTAATATACGACTTACATATTGTCATCTCGCATCATAATCACTACACATCACGACAGAGAGGGCGAGTCGATCCTCGGAATGGCTTCATTTCATCATCAATATATCAATACATTTTACTATGTTTGTTTTTGTTAAATACACGGCGAGGAAAAAAACACAAATATATAGTCGCGGGGTTATTATTAAAAAACTACTCTCATCGAGTATTTCATTATTTTAAAAAAGTTAAAACAAAAAAAAATGTTATGTTATTAAGCACACGCATCGTCACTCTTTTTTAATCACGGGCGATCGAACACTTTATTTTTTTTAAAACCTACTTGGACTAGTGTTTTTTTTTCTCTTGTACATCAGCAAAAGTAGGATACGTGCTTCGTCCTTCCCCGTCCTTCGCGTTACGTTTCTCTCTCTCTCTCTCTCTCTCTCTCTCTCTCTCTCTCTCTCTCTCTCTCTCTCTCTCTTTCTCTCTTTCTCTCTCTCGCTTTTAATAATATATATAAATGTATATCTATATATATTTGCATTTCGCTTTGTTTTCTATATAATAGTATCATTAATTTTCATTTTTGTTCGTTATTTCATTCTCATAATCCGTTCGCCGCACGCTGCGCCGCTAATAATAATTTCTGTTATGTGACGCGCGCGCACGGGTGCACGATTATATATCGCGGAAGCTGTGCTTTCGCTCCCTCACAATTTTTTTTATAATAATAATCCCTAAGCTAGAATCGACTTTGTGCGAGCCCTGCCTCGCGCCGCCACTCACGCAAATCTCTTACACACACACACACACGCACGCACATACAAATGCTGCACACGTGATATCATTGTATGAACTGTTTGTTGCTGTATTTTTTTGGTATGTATGAGCAGCCGCACTGCCGTGTGTACGCGTTCGCCGTCGACTCTGTACAAGACATTGCATTCTCGTGATTGTTGAGTATGTGATCGGTAGGTAGGTAGTCTGTGATGGCCGCCGGGCCCTCGTGCCTCGCTGAAGAATACTGATAGATGAAGCGCGCCGCCGTCTACGCCTTGTCGCTGATCTTCTTGGGCGGCGCGGGCGGCTGCTGCTGCTGCTGCTGCTGCTGCTGCTGCTGCTGCGGCGGCGACTGCTGGGCCGCCGACTTGGCGGCGTCCTTGGCGGCGGCCCGGGCCGGCTGCTGCTGCTGGTGGCGCGGCTGCGCCGGGCCCTTGCCGGGCTGGCGCTGCGGGCCGGCCTGGAGCGCGGGCAGCAGCCAGCGCGGCAGCGCGCTCGCCGCGGGGCCGCCGAGCCAGGGGTGGCCCACGGCCGCGGCGGCGGGCCCGCGCTGGCCCAGGAACTGTCGGCCGAGCTGCTGCTGCTTGAGCAGCAGCGCGGCGGCGGCGGCGCCGCCGGGGGCCGCGCCCGCGGCGGGCGCCCCGGGGGCCGCGGGGCCTGCGCCGCCGCCGCCCGCCCCGGGCCCGCCGCCGGCGCGCTTGGAGGAGGCGGCGAGCAGCTGCTGCACCGCCACGAGGCCGCCGGACTCGTCCTGGCTGGCCGCCACCGCCGCCGCCACCACTGCCGCCGCTGCTACTGGCAACTCTACGTCCTACGCGGCCTTGCTCTTGTTCGTCTTGAAGCTCACCTGGAGCACGCGGTTCCCCAGGGTGTAGCCGTTCAGGCTCTGGATGGCCACCACCGCCTCCTCGTAGTTCGTCATCGTGACGAAGCCGAAGCCCTTGCACTTGTTGGTCTGCAGGTCGCGGATGACCTTGACCGACTGGACCGCGCCGAACGGGCCGAACAGCTGCCACAGCACGTTCTCCTCCGTCTCCGGCGCCAGGTTGTAGACGAAGATGCACCAGCCGGAGCCGTTCATCGCGTTGCCCGGCAGCATCGAGTTCGCCAGCAGGTCTCCCGCCAGAGGACTGTACCTGAAACGGTGCTCGTTACTCCGTCTGCCACGGAGCCCAGCAGGCGCCTGCCGGCTCCGACTTGGCTTCCAATCGCCTTTGTCGAGTGCTCCTCTGCCGGTGCCTCGATAAAGGCGCTCGTCCGCACTTTCGACCGCTTCTCCGTCTAAACTAAGCGTTCGCGCGTACACCACGAATCGATCGGCCCACTCGACTGATCAACACCGCGCACGGCCTGTCGATTCGTTGGTATAAGCGAGAAGGCTAGCTACGAACACTATATGCAAATAATGGATAATATCATAACAATAATAATAAGTAATAAAAAGCCACATTGCCAATCCATACACCTTCAACTCACTGACCCGCGAATTTGCGTCTGAGAACGATTTTAAAAGTGCCGGGCCTTTTTTCCTTTCGCATCGAGAGATCGTGATCAAAGGAAAACTGCACAGGGAATGCATGTATGGAATTGAAAAGGTGCCTCAAACGCTCAAACGCTCTCAACAGAAAGAAACTTTTATCTCATTAAATTTTCTCTTGCTCGTTATGTAGGAGTGTTTGAATCGATCTTTGAGAAATGAGGGTATACCAAGATGCAGAGAAATGGCTACCGATGAATTTAGATTTCGCTTGATAAACCTGATGAGCGGGGAGACATCAAAACAGAGAAAATAAATGCGCTATAACAAATGAGAAGCGAGCTTTTTTTTTTCTTTTCTTTCAATTATTATTTTTATGCATGCATCAACAATGTGAATGGCAATGATTCTAGACTCGGGTGAAAAGAAAACTCTCAAGATTTGAAAAGCAGAGAGCGTGAATGAAACAAACAACCGTATATTTCACACATAACGCGTGTTCCAAAACAAAAAAAAATTTAACCACAGAGATCTTTTATAATACACATAGACACATGAAATATATGAAAGCTACGTACCTACTTGACGTCACAAGCCGCGTTAAAATAAATCACATCTCGGTTAGTATACAATTATAATGCCCGAGATAATGGTGACTTAAAGTACGCGTTTGTTTTTGTCATTTAGTCGCAAACGATTTCAGAATTCATTCTCAAATTTCTTTGACTTACATTTTTTCAAAAGATCCAAACTTTTATTTAACGTCCATTCTGATATTGTTTGCAACTAATGTACATTGCGTTTGGCAGTGCAATGTTCTTACTAAACGAGAGCTTTGCCAGCTCAAGGATAATTTTTTTTTTCAAATGTCATTTCATCATGTTTCAGATCTTTTATTTTTGTAGAACTTTGCATTGTCCATGTAAATATTGAATGTTATTCTTAACCAGTTGTTGATCGGCATTTCAGTTGAAAATACCAAGAATTATTTGTGAAAAACCAAGCTTTTCAAGATCGACTGCAGTTAATCGATATGGCCACTTTCATTTTTTAAAGTTATTTATAATTTTTGGTATTTTTCGTGACTGCAATTGGACGGTTTGGTTTACCTGTCACTTGACTAACAGTTTGTTATTTAAAAAGCGTCTACGAATCGCTTATGTATCCCAAGATTTCGTCTCGTATACGATCGCAGACTAAGCGATTGTGTAGCGTGCATTCATGGATAATTTATTATCAAGTTATTTGAAAAAGAATCTACAAAAAGTTTGTACAAATTCTGACTGTATAATAATAAAGTATCATTTTTATCAATGAACTTGCAAAAATCTATTTGGATGTACTATGACGAATGTTCCAAATTGAAAATTTGTAATGAAAGATGTACGATTTACTTAAAACAAACATGAAAAGACCAATTTAAAAGCACAATTTCTTGTAAAATTTTAAGTTGAACCAACGAACATATCAAGTGTGTTATATATTTTCAATTGGTCTTTCATTCGGTAACATTCATCAATTTATCAATCGTATAAGCTGATTCTAAACCGAGAGACTAGGTTTGATGTTAGTGTGAAAATCGAAGGAAAATTAATCAAGTACCACGGGTAAAAGATAATCAGATCATCTGTCATTAAAAATGAAAACATAGAAATGTAACTGCGCACTGTCCAGATGAGGAAACAGATTTGGAAGAGGATCAAGTAAAGCAAAATGAAAGTAAACGAGAAAAAGGGGAAAAAAACTGTGAAATCCAACTCAAAGTACTAACCTCTGTAAGCCTTTGTTAATGGCAAGAATTGCTTTGCCAGTGCTAAAACAAAACATAAGAAAAATAAAACTTAAAAAACGACGGTCCGAAATGCAAAACAATAAATACATGCCAATGTTTTTGGCAAGTAAATTTTGCGCGACAAAAAAACATACAAATTACAAGTACCATAAGATAGACAATGCTTGCCAATCGACGTTGTAGCAAAAACGAAAGAAAACCATAAAACTATAAGAAAAACAATAAACAGAACTTACTGCGCCTCTACGGAAAAAGTACAAGAGAAAAACAGTGTAGGGGAATTACATAGAGCAGAAGTAGGACGCCGGAGAAATTCGTATCAGGAAAGGAAAAGAACAACTCGGTTGCGGGTCGATTTAGTTTGCTTTCGGCATGAAAAAATGAGGGTAAACAAAGTCCATGATATATAAATGAGGCTTAATGGTGGCGATAAAGCAACGAAGCAACAACGTCGCTTCTCTACAACCGTGTGCCCGAAGCAAATGATGAAAGTAAACAGCAAAAGCATGATCGCTTGTACGATGTAAAACCAAGAATGACTTCTTTGACTTTTTCAATGGAACATAAGCGTATGAGAAACAGTAAAAGGGAACGTACATTTACAGCGGGATGATGAATTTAATGTTTTTTTTTTGGTCAACAGATCGATCGGAAAAGAAAGAAAAAAAAGACAGTCGAATTGTAAATGTTGTTGCTGTTGTTGTTGTTGTTGTTGTTGTTGTTGTTGTTGTTGTTGTTGTTGTTGTCGTTGTTGTTTTTTTTTCTCAGTTCTTTCAGTCATGTTGGGTAGAGCGAGTAGAGGCGAGTAGGTACCTGGATAGTGGCGACAGTGGAATGTACCTGAAGCGGCCGGTAGGATGGTGGATTGGGCCGCCGAAGCGGCGCGTCGCCTGTGGTGTCAGATAAGCGGCCAGCGGTGGTATCGCCTTGTTGTTGTTGCTTGGATTATTGGCGAACTTGACGGTTATCGGCTCGGTCGAGCCCTTTGGTATCGTGCCGTTGAGCTCCTGGATCGCGCGTTCCGCCTCGACGCGCTGGTCGAATCTTATGAAGCCGACACCCTTCGACAGACCTGCAATCCATGCCCGCACACGTATTCCCAAAAGACCGCTCACACTCGTTGCTCGGTTCTTTCTCTCTTTTTCTGATTTGCTCGCTTCTCGTTAATTTTGCACTTTTATCCCCATTTCTTTTGGAACCTCGTTAATACCCCCCTTTATCATGTCAGCTTTGCCTTCTTTCATTGGACAGACCGGTGGCATTAACGGGTCGATCGACTAGCCTTTGACACTTTTGCAAATAAAAGAGGATCATATCGAGTGGTGCACTCTACGTCTATCTAGTTCGCATAAATTTGCTTTTTTAACTACGTCAAACAAAGACTAGTCTGATTAATTTTTGTCGAATTCACAATATGCACTTTACAAACTAGTAATTTGATAAGCTGGTATATAAGATAAACCGAGTGGCTCGGTGCGCATAATTTCGTTTCTTTACACTACTTGTAAAACAGTAATAGTAGCCTTATGTACACACGCAGGCACACGTATTTATATGTACATATATGTGTGCGTTCTAGTCATTGCATTGCTCTTTCTTATTTTTCATTTCCAGTGAACTACAATTTTATTGCCTCTAAATTCAGCTGTTCGAAAGGTGTCAGAGGCAACTGAGATTCTTTTTTTATTCTAAAAATCAAGGTGATAAAAATAATATGACTCAAAGCGTAAAGAAACTAAAATTTGGCGCCGGCTAACAAGTGTGTTGTGAAATCAAATCAAAAAAGTAAATCGTTAATCTTCATACAATGTTAATCATCGTCAAATATCACGTATGCAAATAAAAAGAAAAAAAAAACACAATCAAGCCCTTGATAATTATTGCGTTTTCGACTTTCTTTCAAAAGAATTTTCGTGTTGCGTAATGACGGAAACAAAACTTGAATAACTTATCGTTAATTTTTTTTAAAGCATAAAAGTGCATAAAAATTAAAATGAAGTTAGCTATAAAGGAGAGCCAGAAGAAGTGGGAAAAGAAAAAAGTTTCTTGAGTTACGTACCCGGCAAATTGTCCCCGCCGCCAGTCACAAATTGTCGTACTAAACAGAAACGATAAATCTCTCAGTGAAAAATAGCAAAACGCCTGGTATCTCTTTTCAATTCCATCTCGCTCCTCATTCGTTAGCAAATAATTAATTGCGATCGAGAAGTCGAAAGACATTGTCTTGGAAAAAATAAATTATAGAGAAATGTAAAGGCATCCAATGTGTGTATAATTAGGTCAATTAATGCAGTATTATCAACTTTCAATTGAACAGAGAGCAAAGCTTTTTACAGAAAAACAAAAATCAAGATGTCAAATGCAAATGTAAGCTTCAATTTTAATGATGAGCCAGCGAATGAGAGGCGATAAATGGCAATTTTTTTAAAATTACATGTCTTACAAAATAATCGCCATATATTCGTCCGCCTCCTTGTGTTACGTTTAAAAGTTACGTTTAAAAAAAATTGAAAAATCCACGATAATTAATCATCTAATTTAACGTCAAAATTAGTACGAAAAAATGACAGATAAGTGGAATGATGTTTGCAAGGGAGATATAAAAAAATTGAGAGGATTTTCAATTTTCCTAGTAGGCAGGCGGACGTTGCGTAACTTAAAAATAACTTACATCGACGTCACGGTGAGCGATACGATTTTAGCTGCGAGGAACTTATAAGAGAGAGAGAGAGAGAGAGAGAGAAAGAGAGAGAGAGAGAGAGAGAGAGAGAGAGAGAGAGAGAGAGAGAGAGAGAGAGAGAGAGAGAGAGAGAGAGAGAGAGAGAGAGAGAGAGAGAGAGAGAGAGAGAGAGAGAGAGAGAGAGAGATGGATAAAACAAAATAAATGTAAACGAAGAGCGAGAAAGATAGAAACAGAGAGAAGACGGGTAGTAGGAGAAATAGAAACAACGGTAAAGATAAAGGCCATGAGGCTGTGTGTAATGAAATTGCAAACAAATTATAAATATTTTTTCACCAACCGAAAGGTATTATTATTATTATTATTATTATTATTATTATTATTATTATTATTATTATTTTGTTGATTAAACTGTCAAAACTATTATCATTTTTATTTTTTGTAGCCATGCTTCTGTATGTATGTAAAGGTAAAAATAATTGAAAAAGGAATCTAAAAAAACAAGAAATAAACAATGTTTATCAAGTATTTTAGTAGTCTCATGGCACTGACAGCTTTCAAGGCTTTCGTTTTTTGATGGTTTATTTTATTTTATAATTATGTAACATTCTCTCTCACTGATTCCAATGCTATACTCGAGAGATGAGAAAAGGTAAGAGGCGCACCGACCCACCTCAATAATATATAAGCACCCCATGGCCTAGTTGAATATAATATTAAAACGCTCGTTAAAAGCTTACATTTCAAATTTTTCATAGTTAAAAAATCAATAATTATTAAAAAAAATGACTGTAAACAGCATCCTCGCCGATTGTCGCAAAATGCAAAATGTATGTCAAAAAATCAAATAAGCTATTATTCTTCTCGAAGCAGAAGATAATAGTTGAGTAGAACAGTGAAAGATAATGACGACGTATTAAAGGAAAGTTTGACCTAAAAAGTAATCATAAGTTAGAAAGTCAAGAATGAGTTGTTGGAAATTCAAAAATACCACCGAAGTGGATAATTAAAAAAGAACACATTGTGCGACAATGACAACTCCTTCGCTGTTTAAACGAAAAAGAAAAATATACGGAAGTTGTACAAAACTGAAAAGTGAAAAATCCGACATTGATACGGTATACGCCAAGCAGCAAAAAGCGATGATATATTCATAAAAGCCCACAGAGCGAAAAAATAAATAAATAAACAAACGGAAAGCGAGAAACAAAAAAAATGTAAATAAATAAATAACCGTTTCGTTCTCTCGGCGGACAAACTGCCGCGAGGCGTTGCGGAATATGAAATTGAATTAGAAACAATGGGATTGAAAAAATCAGAAGATAAAGATTCGAAAAAAAAAAAAAAAAAAACAAAGAAAAAAAAGAAAAAAGAAGAAGAGAGCGATGACATACCGGTAATGTTGTCGCAGAGTATGCGAGACGTAATGATCCGGCCGTAAGGACTGAAGAGGTTCTCAAGATCCTGCTGCGTCATGTTCTTGGGCAGTCCGCTGACGTAGAGGTTGGCGCCCTTTATCGCCTCGCTGCTCGGTCTCGCGTACGATACCTGTTGAGATGAGCCGAGCGTGTATAGGCGGGCGGGCGTGCGAACAGGGGTTCGCACGACGCGAGTCGATTCCACGCGATCGAGCGGCTATTTTCGCGTCGCGTAAAATCTGGACTGCGGCGCCAGAGCAGCGAGCTTTATCGCTCGGCGGGAGGGGGGAGGCACAATGCAGAGCATAAAGCACGAACCTTGATCGTTTTATTTTGCAAGCGTAGACCATTGAGCGTGTTGATGGCCTTCTCGGCGTCTTCGGGCCGATGATAGTTGACGAAGCCATAGCCCAAGCTCTGACCTGCAAGGAAAACAACGCGAATCCAATTATCTTCGTTCGACGTGAGCGCAACTCTCCCCGCTTCTCCGCTCGGGGCCGATTTTTTCGTCGTCGTCGTCGTCGCGCGCGCGCGCGTCTCTCGAGATCCAAAATCAGGCGGCAACATTGGACGCCGACCGCGACGCCGCCGCGACACCGAGCGCGTCGTCGGGCGCCCCGCGAGAGGCTGCCAGTAGATGTCCGTGCGCAGCTGCTGTCTCTTCGGTTGTCGAGTTGCCGACAGGTGACGAGCGATCGAGACGACAAGAATGCGACGCTTGCGTCAATGAACTACTCGGCCGGAGTGTACGTCGTGAGCGCGCCTGCGCAAACTCAACGTTCTTCGCCCGCAACTCTGTGCATGTACACGTACACATGTGTATGTAATGCGTGTGATCCGACGGCGAATCAAAGAAAAATAACAGAATTCTACGGTCACGTCTGTGCAGAAATACAGAATGGCGTGGAACTAAATGAACAAATTAAAAGAGAAATACGATGATTGCTGACAAAACAAAGTGACAAAATCATTCCATAAATATATATAATCTTGGCTTTATACTTAACGGGGAAATCTTTTTTGATCTCGGGTGAAGATAGTATAATAAATAAAACATAACAAACCATCTATCTGCAAACAAATGTCATTATGCGTACCGTTCAGACCTGTTTAAAAAACAAAAAAAAGAAACTAGTAAAAATTTTGATCCATGAAACATGGTTATTTCGTCAAAAATAAGTAGTTTTTTTTTTCTCTCTTTTCAATATAACGCTAAAAACGAGATGAGAAATATAAACAGAACGCGAGTTTGTTCAAAATTCGCACGCGGTCGTGTGCAATGCCGAAGTGGTATGCGAAGCGCAGGGATAAACCATTTCCGCGAGAAAGCCGCGAGAAAGCCGCGAGAAAGCCGCGAGAAAGCCGCGAGATTTTCAAGCAGCTAGTTATTTGCTCAGGCGTCGACTTTCCGCCTGCGCGGCAAAAGACGCGCCTAATCAAATAATGAATTCTGTTCTACTTTGGATATTTCCGATCTCGGATTAAGGGCGGGAGGAGGAGGGGGAACCCAAGTCCAAAGTCGGCGAAACTCGAGCGCGAGTGCGACAATGAAGAGAAGCTTGAGAAAGAGAAGATGACTGGGAAGAACGAACGCGAAAGTAAAAGAGAGGGAGGGAGCGCAGTCGTCGGAAGGGAAAAAAATACAAATAAAAGAGGAGAAAGAAAAAGCGAGAGGAATCCGTGACCATACGCAAGCAAAAAGAAAGGTGGACGGTCGGAGTCGTGCAGAGAGAACTGACGCAACGCGCGCGCAGAGCTCTGGCGGCGGCGAAGGGGAGATTTGGCACGAGGTGTGGTAACTAGGCGTCTCTGTTGCCCGAGCGCGGCTCCGGGCCGCCCCCACACGCGGCGTCCCGAAAATAGCGCGCGGCGCGCGCACCCGCGCGCGAGGCTGCTGGCGCTTACCGGTGAGCTTGTCGCGGATGAGCTTGCAGCTCTCGACCTCGCCGATGCTGGAGAAGAGCGAGCGTATCTCCTCCTGGGTCATCGTCTGCGGCAGGTAGTTGACTATGAGGTTGGTCTTGGACTCCTCCTGCGAGCTCTGACCCAGGTTCGAGCCGCCGTTCTGCTGGATCGCTGTATCCATTCCGTTCGCCATCATTGCACAATGAACGCAAGCGAAAAAGACGACGGCCGCTCGCTGGCCCCGCTCGGTCCGTCTGCTGGCCTCCTCCTTGCTCGGCGCCTGCCCCGACGACTCCTCTGCTCGTGCTCTGCTCGTGCGCTCGCACCTCGCTCGGCTCTCCCCGCTGCGCGAATCTGCAACAAAGAGGCAAGAGGCGCGTCGCGCGGATTAGTTGGTCGTGCGACACTGCTGTCTCGCGACCTGCTGGCCGCCACCGACGCCGCCGCCGCCACCGCCGCCGCCGCCGGGGCTATCAATCTGGCCTTCGCACCGACGATTGGCCGCGCTGGTCGCGCTGACGGACCGATCCAGCGGTGCACTCGTCGGGCGTCGACGCGCGCTCGCGTCCGCGTTGCGCAAAAAGTCTATTTATCGCCGAGGAAAGCGAAAAGGAAGGAGGAAGAGGCGCGCAGAGCCGAAAGTAGCTCTCGGCATCTCTCTTCCTTTTCGTAATATTCCGCGTGCGTGCCGCTTCCAACGCACGCGCGCAACGCAACACTTGACGCGTCCGAAAATAGAGGCCGTGTCGTGTGGACTCGCTCGCTCGCTCGGTAGCGCGCGTAGGGCAAGAGGAAAAAAAAAAAGAAAAAAAAAAAAACGAAAAGAAGGAGGCCGCGCGCAGGAAGTTGGGTACCCCACTGGCCGCTCGAAATTCATCGGTGACGTAAGACGCCGCCGAGCGATCAGCTGATCGCCGCTCGATCCGCGATCGCACACCTGGCGGGCGGTCGCGCGCGCGCCCGTGGAACGAGGAGCGGAGGGAGCGCGAAACGCGATCTCCCGTCGACGAAAAGAGAGAGAGAGAAAGAAAGAGAGAGAGAGAGAGAGAAAGAGATAGAGAGAAAGAGAGAGAGGTGGGCCGTGTCAGTCGCGCGCGGCGGCAGCCAATTTAAAGGCTCGCGCGAGCTTTTAAAGAGACGCGGCGCGACCACCCTTCACCTTTGCTCGCAGCTGTGTCGTGGACAGCGCGCGCGCGGTGCCGGCTTAATTAACTTATAGACCGCTTCGGAAACGCGCGACGCGGCCTACCCGACTGAATGGGGATGGCGTCATGCGCTGCCGGATACTCTGCTCTCTCTCTCTCTCTCTCTCGCACTTTGTTTCTCCCCGTGGAAAGAAGTTGGCTGCCCGCGCGCGCCTCTGCGTGGCACAATTATTATCGAGAGAAAAGCGGTTCTCTTAGCCTCATAACAGCTGCATTCGTGCATCTGTTGTTGTTCCGCGCGAAGGTCGCCAAACGAAATAAACTTGCTTATTACGTGCCCCTCTGCTTCTGCCGGTGTATACGTATATTTATTTACGTGACCGAAAGAACACAGACGGGAAGAGACAAAAAATATGTTTCGGCAGCGACATACTAAGTGGATTATGAAATTTTTGAGGAAACGTTGACCGCGAAAAAGAAAAAGAAAAAGAAAAATGAATTCCGACGAGACGTCGGAATTACATAATTTTTTTGTCTTCTTCTTCAAGCAAGTTATGGAACGAAGGGTCTCGCAGTCGCTCGTGCCTCGCCGTAACGCGCGAGCCACTGGCTGGGCGAGAGCGAGCGAGACGTTCGATTAAAAGATTCGCGTCATTAGGGCCCTTTGGATTGCGCCAGACGGAGCCATAACGGACCGTAGGACTGCCGCTGTCTGCCATGTGCTCGCATGGGGGATCACGCGCGAAGAGAGAGACAGAGAGAAAAGGGGGGCAACTCAAACGCGCACGTGCAGCTGCTGCCACGCGACAGCCGGCCGTTTTGTGCGTCGCGGCGAGGAGGGGCCCTATGTCGTGCGGCGTGTCCGGCACACGACTTGGTCCGTTTTTTCCTTCGTTGTCTTTTAATCCGCCACCAACGGGGTGGGGGGTCAGTTTTTTACGCTTTCGAGAAAAAAAAAAAGAAAAAAAAAAGGAAAAAACGCTTGGCTTTCGCGCCGAAACGGAAATTGAGGCTTCGCCTCGGTCGATCGTCGGCCTTTTCGCGGGCGGCCACTCGAAAGCCGATACGCGCGTCAATAGAAAGAAAAAAAAGGATAAGGGGGAAGTAAGCTGGAGCTTCCCCCAGCGAGCGAAAAGTAATCGCAGCCGCTTCTCCTTTTTTATTGTTTCGTTCTCTCTCGCTGTCCCGCATGGAGCACTCGAACGTGCGCCTTTGTGCGAACGAATTCGTATGACGAAACTACGCCCGCTCCCCACCGTTTTTTATTTATTTTTTTTTTATCTGTCGTCCCGAATCGATATGACGTGTGTTTGAAGAATGAAAAAATTGGTCGCCTCGTCAGTCAGTTCCACGAAGGCTCGTTTCGCTATCGATCGCCCCGCGCGCGCGTACACACCTAGGAGCGCGAATACGTTGAAAATATTGCGTCGGCTCACACGAAAATACACGGCTTTCACGCTCGCCTCGAGCTGGTTCGCTGGCGGAGTGCAATCAATAACGAAACGCCACCGCCGCCGCCGCCGCCGCTACGTCAGAGGCATCGCGAAAAAAAAAAAAAAAAAAAAAAAACACGCGAAGCCGCCCCCGTCGTGCCGATTACGCAACGAGGGAGAGCGCGAGAAAAGGAAAAAACAGATCAAGGAAACAAGTTGGAAGCCGGGCTCCGAAAATAGAGATTTGAAAATCTACGGCTAGCAAGCCGAAGGCAAGGGCGTCGTCTTCTCGGCGAGAGAGAGAGAGAGAGAGAGAGAGAGAGAGAGAGAGAGAGAGAGAGAGAGAGAGAGAGAGAGAAAGCGCGCAGCTATATGTCAGGTGGCCATGGCGACGCGGAGAGAGAGAGAGAGAGAGAGAGAGAGAGAGAGAGAGAGAGAGAGCGCGCGCTTGCGCTTGCGCTCGCTGCACACGCATCCCCTCCATTTATTTGAAAACGCCCGATCAATACTTTTGCCCGCTGTACGCCTAGTCGTCGCTCCCCGTGTCGCCGTCTCGCTAGACTGCGCCCCTTCGGCGTGTATCCTTACCGACTCGTTCGGCGCACTGACCGTCGCCGCTCGCAAGCTGCCCGCGGCCACTTTCTTCAGCCCCAGCAGGCGAGGAAGGCACGTGCTCCTCCCCGACGGACAACACAGGCACACGCGCACTCCTTACCAGGCGTCAATATTGCGAGCTCGGCCGACGAAGTCGACGGCGATGCGCGAGCAACTGGGCCTCGGCATGCTCTTGCTTGGCCACGGCGCGCAGCACACGGGGTGGCAGCAGCGACACACGAGCTTGGCGCTCTGGCAGCGGGGCCGAGCGAGCGGAGCTTTTCGTGGTCGGCGCGCGCGCACACGTGGGGAGACGGTGGGGGATGGTGTCGGGGCGGGCTGGCGGGAGGCCGGTCGGGAGGGCGGGGTTGGGGCGCGGGGCGGGGGGAGGGGATCAAATTGAACAAACGAGTGACGAAAGCAAAGGTGCACACGCGCCGCGCGCTGCTTACGTACGCGGCTTGACTGCTGCTGCTGCTGCTGCTGCTGGTGCTGCTGCTGCTGCTGCTGTGCTGCTGCCGCTGCTGCTGCTGCTGCTGCTGCTGCTGCTGCTGCTGCTGCGCGAGAGGCGGCCGAGCTCGGACTGAGCGGCTGGCGCGCGCGCGACCGGGGCTGGCGGCTGGCTCTGCCTGGGGTTACACACGCCGCGCGCCACCGACCGGCGCGTCGCCACAACTCTGCGCGCTCGCGCGCGTCTACTCCGCGTCCTCGGCGTCGGCCGGCGTTCGCGCCGCGGGCCGGACGCTCGGCGGCCACTCGCCCTCCTCTGCCCCGACGGAGGCCGGCCGAGCGATCGCCGACGAAGTACGCTCGCGCGGCTCGGTCCGTCCTGCATCCCTCCTCGGCCGCTTCCGGGCTCGGGCTCCCTTTCCCGGCGATCCGCGCGGGCAAAAGTTTCGAGCGCAGCATGTCATCGTGAACGCCGCGCGATTCGTTTGCTCGAGTGTCGCTTCGCGCCGACATCCCCGAGACTAGGTTGCGCTCGATGAGGAAAACCGGAAAGGACACGACCGGCGGGCGCATCCCCTTGCCCGGGCGCGCCCGCGCGGGAGAGCGAAGACGAGCGACCGGGAGAGCCCTTTAAAGCTGGCCGTCGGGCGGCGCGCGGCGATCGCTGCGAGCCTCTCCGCTTCCGATTACCCGAGTATTTTCTTCGGTTGGCCCGCGAGCGCGCGTCTATCGATCGCCGTGCCGGCGACGTGCACGCGGCGATAGAGGCACGGGGGCCGCGCGCTCGCCCACACCAACCTTGACGAACACGTGGACGCGTCGCGCGGCGCGGCGCTCGCCCGCCGCCAAGTTGTCCGGAGGCGCGCAGACCTTTCCTGCCTACTGTGACTGCGGCGGGAACGCTCCAGACGAGCGCGAGAGCGAGTTTTTCCAAGACCGGCCGGAACGTATGTTTCGGTTATGGCGCCGATCGATTGCGCAGTGATATACGCGCGCGCGGACGAGGTACACGAACCCCGTTCTCTCTCTCTCTCTCTCTCTCTCTCTCGTACGTGCACAACCCCGAGCTCTATACTTCGCTCGGGCTGAGAGCGACACATGGACCCCCGATCAATACTAGCAAAGCCGAGCGCCGCCCCTCCCGACTATACACACATCCAGCAAAGGGGACGCGCGCGCACACACGTACACGTGCTAAACTTTCGCCGAGCATGCGATGTGTGTGCAAGAGATATTTGCGCTCGCATGCATATACAAGATTCTCTCTCGCTCGAGTGGGGCTCGGATTTAAATTTTGCGAGCCGGAGCCTATGGATTTTCTCCTTTAGTTTCGTCTCGCTTTGTTTTCGCTGCAGCGCGCGGCGTTTGCGCGATGTATCCGCGTGCGGGGCGGGCGCCGAGCGCCGGAAAAAGTCGCGAGCGACCAAACGAAAAGGAAGAGAGCCAGCAATTTGGCGCCGAGCGAACGAGAGGAAGGGCGGAGAGCGAAAGAGCGCGCGCGCGAGAGGCAGCTCACCACCGAATGCACTTGACCCTAAAACCTGGCGAGCAGAAGCGAGTGAGCCAGCAGCAGCAGCCGCGGGGCCACCGTGCCGTCGTGTACCCTTTGAACTCGTCCTCCCTGCGCCCTCGCGAACGTCGGTTTAGCCGTGCACGCACGCTAACGCGCTGAAAGAAAAGGGCCATCTTCCCCTCGAGCCCTCGCGACCCGAAGGAAGCGACGGTGGCCGAGCATTGATTTCTCGTATGTTGTTCGCGGCTGCTCGCGAGCAATCAATCGATGCGCGACCTTTCTCCGTGTAGAGCAGCAGCAGCAGCAGCAGCAGCAGAAGTAGTATTAGTAGTAGCGCGTAGTAGGGGGATGCGCCGGGCGCACTCGGATGCTGTGCGCAGAAATATATATTCCGGGGGAGTGTGCGTCCCCGAGATAACGCACACTCTCTCTCTCTCTCTCTCTCTCTCTCTCGCAGACAACAGATTGAATGAAGACACATGATGATGAAATGCTTATGATAAGACTAAATGATATGGAAAGCAAATGAAAGAACAGAAGAAAAAAAACAACATACCGTCTTCAGTCTTTTGAGCGTGCGTGGGGTGTGACTATCGTGCGCGTGCGAGTCTCTGGCTGGCCGGCACACGCTCTATTAATTGCTCGTTTGGATTTGTTTTTTTTTTGTTTTTTTTTTTTTTTGTTTTTTTTTTCGCTTTCTTTTAATTTCGTTTCGTATGACTTGGAGTAGAACGCAAGCGAAACCCAAGGAAACTGGTACACGCGCGCAAACTCAGGAGCGAGCACGACTGCTCATACTTGTCCTTGCTATGTACGTCCGAGAGCTTCGGCGGACACGGGCATTTGCACGGCTTTATCACAGTGCTCTCATGATCGCGTGGCGAAGTGAGTCGTCCAGCTGCCACCGCTCGCGACTTTGTTAATCGCGATTGTAAAGCAATCAGCGTCGCTGCCACGCCCTTTTTTCGTGCCAAGTCCTCCGTCCTCTCGCCGTCTCTCCGTTATACTCTTTCTCTCTCTCTCTCTCTCTCTCTCTCCCTCTATCTCTCGTTATCTATCTCTGTTTCTTCAGCTGACGAGCAATCTTAGCGTATTTGTTCTCGCGATTAATCTTCCTGTGCGATATACTCGGCGTGAGCAGCTTTGCGCGACTATGTGTGTGTCTGCGTGTATTGTATTTCGTCCTAAGGTCGTAAGGGGAAATAAAAGGGTAAGAAGGTGTAGTCGGATAATTGTGTGTGTGTGTGTGTGTGAGCGTATAAATGTACGTATAAAGAGAAAGATCGTCTATCTATAATGTATTTCTGTGTATATCTATGTATATGTATGTATGAACGAAGAGAAACGCAATGGCTTGGTGTGGTGCGGTAACAAAACTGAGGCCGGTCGGCCCGGAGCAGCGAGTGCGAGCCGGGCTGCTGGTGCTGCTGCGACGACTCCGGCGCGCGCGCACACGTACACACAGCCAAAGAGAGCGCTCGGCCCAGGGGTAACTCGCGCCGGCGCGCTAACATCGGCCGCGGACAGAGAACTTCCAGCCCTTGTTTATCGATTGCGAGCCAGGGGCAGGCAGGCAGGCAGGCAGGCAGGCGGGCAGGCAGGCAGGCAGGCGCGCGCGCGCACGCTCGCGCCGCTTCCCAGTCATTCAACCGATATCGGACGCGAGCCTTCTCCTCGAGAGGGCAAACGCGTCCAATTGTTGTTACACTTCCCTTTTGTCTTTTCGCGCGAGAGCGTCACTCCCGAACGAGGCTCCTCGCCGACAGGCGGCTTTCAATTGAAATTTACCTCGATCGAGGGCAAAACAATCGGAACCCCGATCGATAACGCTCGTTAAATCCACGCTCTCCCTCGCTTCCCGCGCCGATGACGAGGATTCGCGGTTGCTTTCGTCGCCCGTCGGTCGGCTTTTCGCGCCGTATCCGCGAAACGCTTCGATCGATTGCGTAACCCCGCGATGACTGTGCTCTCGCTCGAGTCCGCCCAGCTATTGCCAATGAATAAAGCCAAGCGCGGCCCGGAAGACGTTCTAATTGAAATCATGCAAGTCGTTAACCCTCTTATCCGCCGCCCCCGACGTCTCCGCCACCGTCCCGGGCGCGTAATTAAAAGCAAGCCAGCTCTCCGAAGGCTTAAACGAAACAACGGACGAGGCAGTCTCTTGAAGCCGCACGCTGCACGCGTCCAGAGCGACACCACAGAGCGAGCCATTGAAGAAAAAGCTCGCGCGACGGGCGCGATGTGGGTCACGTCGACGGGTCGCGCGGGTGCGTTGTTTCGCCGTTTGCCCGATTCCACGGAGACTGAAAAGAAAACAAGCGGGCGCCCGCGCGATAATTCCTTTCGAGAGATCTTCGGATAAGAGAGAACGCGGCTGCTGCTTTTTTTTCTACGTGGCGATCGATACAAGCCGGTTTGTCGACCCTTCCGCCCCCCCCCCCCCCTACCCACTTTTCGTCTACGTAGAGATATCGCGATGTTCGAAAAATTAACGAGTGAATTTTCGCAGTTCTCTCTCTCTCTCTCTCTCTTGATTCAGAAGCTTGAGTTGAGCAACAATAATGTTCAAGTTGCCTATCGTTGAAATGATTATATACGTATTTAAGCGTGATTATACACCGAGTAAGTGAATGTTTAGCTTTGGCCCCGGGGTGTTAATTTGATGCGTGCAAGATGACAGATATCGAAACTCACGCGGAATCGTACACATACCATTTCGAGAGGTGAATCACCGCGTATCCTCGTTGATTCATCAAGTCGCCGAGCTCAGTTATACCGTTGAATCGTCCCGGCAAACCTTCGCTTCAATTGTGCCTTACGTTTCTTATATATAGCATTTAGCTCGCGTGGGATACTCTGCTAAGCGGAAAAATGTCGCGTCGAGCCCGCGAAAATCGCCACGACGATGTAAAGAAAAAAAGAGTTTGCGGAGATACGGAAGCGGTTCCTTCGCAGTGATCCAAACGATTCGTTCTGGCTGCGTTGAGGCAAAAGCGGGATTTGTCGATCTGGCGTAAGTAGCAAGATTGGGCCAACGTACATCGCGAGAGGGCAGACGCAATCCAAAAGGGAACAAATCGTATCCAGGATTAAAATCCTTCGAGAGGCGGGGGAAGAGGAGAATCCGCCAGCTGCCTTGGCGCAACTCTCGGGCAAGAGTAAGGCGGCTAATTAGACCGCGCATCGGAGAAACGAGAGCGCGTGCCAGGGCGACGGAGCCGAGAGGCCGTTGTGCGCGCGACATCGACAAAACATCGCCATGGCGACAGGTGTGGAAAAAAAGGGCCGCGCGGAGCACGGCGCGTTCAGCTGCCCGCGCGGTAGACCAGTTGTCGAACGACTAGTGACACATCAGCAATGTCCGAGGCCGAGGACGGTGCGTATACGTCGACGACGCGGGAGGCCCGCACGTGAGCCGCGGGGAGGGGGAGATAGAGAGAGAGAGAGAGAGAGAGAGAGCCCGATCGCGTGCGAGTGCACGGGGGCACGTGCGCGCATCACGCGAGATTTTCGCGCGAGAGCTCAGCGGCGGAGATCGCGCGGCTGCGATATCGCGTTGGCGCGAGGGTGGCAAGCGATTTTCGTTCCGACGCGATAAACGCCTGGCGGCTCCGTTGGCGCTCCCTCGCGACGGGTCGCGTGCGAAACGCTCGACGGGCGCGTCGCGTGGCGGAACGCGGGAGGCGCTCTCCGACGCTCGCGAAAGGACGCCGCCGCGCGGATCAACCGCTCGGCTCGCTATCTATAGCCCGTCCAGCCGTGCCGCCGCGAGCTTTTCTAAGCTCCGCCGGCGCTCGGCCGACGGTGCCGACGCTCGCTTCTAAATGCGGCCCGCCGCCGAGGGTCGGGCGCCGCGCGCGGCCGGCGAGCGCCGAGCGGTCGATCGAGCCGGAAGCGGAGCTCGGCCGCGCGCGCGGCTCGACGGCTGCCAACCGAGTGCCGAGCCGAGGCGTCGGGCGCGGGCGCGGGTGCGTCACGCGAGTCCGCGGCACGTGGCCGCCGCCGCCGCGAGAGCAGAGCAGCGGAGCGCGGCACGCGAGATCACGTCCGCCGCGACTCCCACTCTGGCGAGGCGGTGCGCGCGGCGGGCGCGGAGGCTCGGGCGCAGTGCCCGCTCGCCGGGCCGAGCGCCTCGATGTCGTTTCAGCCTCACGGCGGGGATCCCCTCGAGCACACCAGCCTCTACCAGCGCGCCGGTACGTCCGCGCGCGAGCGAGCCCGCGAGCGGGTGGCGCGCCGCGCTCGCGGGCTCGCCGCTCGGCGGAGCGCCGGCAGCGGGCGTAAGCTGTGCGTTCACGCCCGCAGAGAGCGACGACAGCGACGGGGAGGGAGGCTTGGGCAACGTGAACAGGCTGGTGATCCGGCCGCCGGGCCACAGCGGCAAGGCCAAGAGGGGCCACCTGTGCTTCGACGCGAGCTTCGAGACCGGCAACCTCGGCCGCGTCGACCTCGTCTCCGAGTTCGAGTACGACCTCTTCATCAGGCCCGACATCTGCAGTCCGCGCCTGCGACTCTGGTTCAACTTCACGGTGGACAACGTGCGCCAGGACCAGCGCGTCATCTTCAACATCGTCAACATCTCCAAGAGCAAGAACTCGTTTCGGGACGGCATGACGCCGCTGGTCAAGAGCAACTCGAGGCCCAAGTGGCAGCGGCTGCCGCACCGTCAAGTCTTCTACTACAAGTCGGCCCAGCACCAGGACCACTACGTGCTGAGCTTTGCCTTTGCCTTCGATCGCGAGGACGAGCTGTACCAGTTCGCCCTGTCCTACCCGTACTCGTACACGAGGTGCATGGGCCACTTGGACAATTTAGTGGATAGGTGCAGGTTCGTAAGTCTGCCTTCTTTTCGCACGCGGACAACCGCTCGCAGTTTGGCCGCTGCTGCCGAGCGCCGCGGCACAGTCGCGAAAAGGACTCGCTGCCGATTTCCCCCTCGAACTCGCGCTCTCGAGATTTACGCGCTTCGGACTGGAGGCGATAAGATCCTTCCGATGAAACGCGCGAGACCAAATTGACCAACGGTTCTGCGTGGCTTGCGTTTCGACAAGAGCGCGATTACCGACTAGTTGAGCTTTTACGCTAAATTAAACCAAGGCGTGATGAATGACGGGGGCCGCAGTGCAGCGGTCGTGGCCATAATCGATTTCTTCGGAGATGTCCGAAAGCACGAGAAAAGTCCTCGCGTGCTCGGAGTCGCGATTTAGCGAGGCAAATTGAGAAGGTTTGTCGTTTGAAATGCGCAAGAGTGGAAAGCACGAGCAGAGTGGCGGAGCACCGACTCATGCTGAAGCGCGAGACTCTGGCAAGGTCGATCAAGTCGCGAAGCGTGGAGCTGCTGACGATAACCGAAGCGACGGCGGCGGCGTCGGCGGCGGCGTCGGCGGCGGAGGAACAGCGCAGCCGCAGGACGGTGGTGATTCTGGGCCGAGTGCACCCGGGCGAGTCGCCGTCGTCGTTCGTCTGCCAGGGCCTCGTGGACTTCCTCGTGAGCGCGCACCCGATGGCCGCGGTGTTGCGCCGCTACCTGGTCTTCAAGATAGTGCCGATGCTCAATCCCGACGGCGTCTACCTGGGCAACTACCGGTGCGTACGAGGCCGTCGCGCCGCACGCGCGGCAGTCGGCTTGAACGCGTCGCTCTCGTCTCTGGTTGCAAGCTCGACGGCCATCGGCATGGACCTGAACCGCTCGTGGAACCGCATGTCCGATTGGCTGCACCCGACGCTGCTCGCGACCAGACGGCTGCTCGAGCGCCTCGACAAGGACCCGCTCGCCCCGCTGGACTGCGTGCTGGACCTGCACGCTCACAGCAACGCCAGCGGCCTGTTCGTCTACGGCAGCACGTACGACGACGTGTACAGGTGGGTCGCGCTCCGCGCTCGTCGGGCCGGCGGCTCTGGGCTGAAGGCAGCGCGGCGGCTGCTCGCAGGTACGAGCGCCACACCGTGCTGCCCAAGCTGCTGGCGCAGCTGGCCGAGGACTACGAGCCGAGCAACACCATGTACAACCAGGACGCGCACAAGGAGGGCACGGCCAGGCGGTTCCTCTGCTCGCTGCTGAGCGAGCGCGTCAACTGCTACACCCTGCACGTGTCCATGCACGGCTACGCGCGCAAGGGCAGCGACGGCCTGCTGCCCTACACCGAGGACAGCTGTATCCTTTTGTCGCGAGCCGCCTACGTCCAGCCTCCGTGAACCCGAGAAGCGATCCTTAGCCGGCTCGTCCAGATTACCGGGTGGGCAGGAACCTGGCCAGGGCGCTGCTCGAGTACCACAGGCTCACGGGCCTGATACCGGCCGGGCTGCCCGATCAGCCGGCGTCCAGGCGCGCCCGCCAGTCGCGCCAGCGTCGCAGGGTCGTCAGGCAGCCGAGGCCCAGGACCGCGAGGACGCCCGCGCCCCTGCACCTCGCCAGCATTCACGAGTGAGTCGCCTCGCGGCGGCAACTCCGCCTCTTTATCGATTCGTCGCCTGCCATCACCGGGATCGTTGCCTCCGACGAGCGTTATCGCGCGAGATAGCCGTCGACCCCCCCCCCCCCCCCCCCCCTCTCTCTTCGAGCTCGCCCGTTTGTTGACTGCGTTCAACGGAGACGATTGCTCCTACCCGAGTGTCGACGCGAGAAGGCGCGCACTTTTCACCGATGAGCCGATCGAAAATCAAGATGACGTTACCTTGTCGTTACGCGTCAGGCTGATAGGAAAAATTATGCGATCTGACGCGTAGAGCAGCCGTAGATTCGGACCGTCAAACTTTCTGCAGCGTGTCCTCGCAGATTCCGTTGGTACGGAAATCACCAAAGCTTCGACAATTATTTTTCGAGTTACGCTCGTGACTTTTCTGACACTTCGGCCTAAACTTTTATTTTCAATGCAAACTTTCAATCGCTGCAATTGATTATTCGGTATCTCATTACGGTAATGGCATCCGGAATGTGCTCTTTTTTTTTTCTCGGATTAATGAATTCACCGAGTAGTTTTCGTTCCGTGTACCGAAAGTCTCGCTCGGCAAAGTTTTAACTGTTCGAAAGCCGTTTTTTTCCAATCGGCCAGAAGCAGCAAACGATCGATCTAACGTGACAATCTAACTGGAATAATGAAAGACGGCCGCACGAGAGGAGAATGAAAAAAGCAAAAAGTTAGAGTGGGTGGGTGTATGTGCAGGTACTTCCGTCTAGCGGACGAGGAGGAACAGGAGGCGTTGGAAGCTCGTTGCCGATCGATGAGCGGCACTCGTATGGCGGTAACAGCCGCCGCCCGTCGTTCTCAAGCCGCCGCTGCATCGGCCAGATCGCGCACCGCCGACGACGAGATACTAGCCCCAACGCAACAGCCGTCCTCGCCAGCGCGACTCACGATCGTAGACTTCAATCAACTGACGCGCGGTGGCCTCGAGCTGGCCGTCAAAGACAAGCAACAACAACAACAGCAACGCCGTACCTACCTCAACCACGACAGATCCGCCAAGCTGTTGCGCGATGCCAGTGCCACTGCTACGGAACAGGTGTTATTACACAAGAGACGTAACCAAGGGAAAAAACGATAATCCTGACTGAACCCCGTTCAACAAAGTACATATAAGACGATCGGCCGACAAACAAATCAAACAACCTCACTCTCCGTTCGTTTCTTTCTCTTCTTTTTTTTAGCTTGTTTCTTCTTCTTCTTCTTCGTTTTTTTTTCCTCGAACGGCCGAGAGGAGGAGGAGGAGGAGGAAGAAAGGCTCGCCGCTGTATGCACACCGAGAGACGGATGATACTGTACTGGTGGTGCTACTGCTGCTGCACGCTCGCGGAGAGCGATCGCCCCCCGGGATACAGACGCGCGCAGCATCCCCCCGAAAACCGGGAGAGACCTCGCGCCGCGCCCTCTCGCACACCATCGCTCTCTCGCGCTCCACGGGCGTCCTTGCACCTCTCCGCTCTCGTTTCACTTTCCAGCCTGTCGGCCCTTTTTCTCGCTTTCCTTCTTTCCGTCTCGGCGGATTCACACGGACCATCCGCGGCTGGATTTTCATTGGTCGAGGTGCTCTTCGACCGGGCGCCAGCGACGACGACGCCGACGACGCGAGGAAGAGAAAACTAATCGAGAGTCGCCGACAACGCGACTCGCCCGCGAAGAGGCAAATAAACAGGAAAACAAATGAGAAAGGGGCAAATTTAGTATTCTCCGATGCGGAAGGATCAATAGAGCGAGCTGCCGTGGCGCGCTTCGATGCAAAGGAGCGAGGCTCGACGGCTCCGTTTCCCAACTCGGCGGACCACTCGGCGCTCTCGTCGCGCGCGCCAAGCGAGAATGGTGTTTGAAGTTGCGGGTCCCGTCGCGGCCCGTCCCTCGTCTGGACCTTCCCTCGGCTAAAGGGCGCGCGTTACTCCATTGAATTACCTCCTATATATATATATATATATGTTCACGTATATCTATGTTTTTTTTTTCTTTTATTCGCATTCAGCTGGACAAAAGCGTGGAGATCGTTATCCTTGCCGCCGTGCTGTATACGCTGAATTAAATCGAGGAGCGCGCGACTGCTAATGAAAATGTATGCGACGAAGGGGAAGCGAGAGAGAGAGACAGAGAGTTATGCGTTTTTCTTTGCGCGCGCGTGATGTATGACTTTTGTGATTGAATCTGTAATGCCCCGTCGTAAATGCTGCCCATTGACAAACCAAAATCGCACACCTCTCTCGCTCTTCCACGGAAGATACTCTTCCGACGCGTCCGGATCCTCGTGATCGAACGAATGCGCGATGCACGAGCGTGATGTTGGCAATAAAGTTTCTATCCAATCGCCATTTGCCGCGCGTTCGCGTGCGGGGGAATCGAGCGTTTCGCACCGAGAAATCAAATTATTTTACTCATTAGCCAAGCAAAGAAAATGATTTTAATCTGGACGCTGCGATTCGCTCTCTATACGTCCAGGCACAGCTGAATATGCATGATATGCTAAGTCTCGCAATTTACATCGTGCAAATCGACGGAGATATATATATATATATATATATATATATATATATATATATATGTGTATATATATGTATACATATATATTTGCCGTCAAGCATACAGCTCCGCTTTCGAGCGAACGGTAACAACCGAACGAAGCTTTACGTATAAACGCAATTAATATTCCCAGTGGAAAAACGATTAAAAATATATACGTATATACGTGCTCATCGTCCGCGCAAGCAACGCGGAGAGATAGAGCCGGCGCACGAGCGAAAACGGTAGAGCGAGCGAGAAGGGTGAATTCTCTCTCTCTCTCTCTCTCTCTCTCTCTCTCTCTCTCTCTCTCTCTCTCTCTCTCTCTCTCTCTCTCTCGAGGTTGGTCGAGAGAAGGGCGGTGGTCGTTGAACCGTCAGCGTGCGCTTTGCGCGAAAATTTTGCACACGCACACTCGCTGCCACGCCGCTCCCACTCTCCTCATCGCGCTGCATCTTTTTATTTTTTTCTTTTGTTCTCCAGCGGGCACCGATTATTGATCGTTGATCCGCGCCATACGCTCTTTCGCGTTGCGCCGCGACGATACACACGTTTTTTTTTTCTTTTTCGTTTCATCTTTTATTATATCATATTATAAACGCTCGATTATCGCATTACTTTTCCTTGAAGACGAGGTTGATGCATTATTCAATGATTATCCGATCGCGCGGGCAGAGGGTAGATGCTAAAGCGAGAAACTTGTCGCTGGTAATAGAATTCGTCCTGCGGGGGGTAATGCCTTTCTCTTTTTTCGAATTCCGCCAGATTGTTTTCACGCGAAACACATGCACGTCACCACGTTTTTGCTTGAAAACGATTTGTTCGCGTTGCAATTTGCTCAACTCAATGCCCTGTTCTTTTTGCTTTTTGCTATTTCGTCACTGATGGCATTTAATAGTACGCATGTACGAGTGCCGCGCGAGCGTCCGTCGTAAATCATTGTCTCGTAAAAGTCAACTCGACCATCTTTTTCCGTTAGTTACATCTCTCTCTCTCTCTCTCTAACTCGCACGCGCGCTATTTGTCTATTCCACCCTCGTAATTTCGATCTGCTTACGTTACGTCCGCGCGTTCTCGGGTAAATTTTTCTTGTTTTCATTTTTGTTTTTGAACCACATCGAAATGTGCTTACTCAATGTGTTATCCTATATTTTTATGCAAATTAATGAAGATATTTTCCTCGTCTTCGAATATTCCTCTTTGAGAGAAAGGAAATTTTGCTTTTTTTAAGTCGTAAAAATAACCGGGAAAACAATGTCAACCTAAGTGGAAAAGTACCTTGCTTAAAAAAATCTAGATCTAAAATAAGCTTTTATTTTTGTTTTGACCTCGTTACGAGCTTTTAGGTCTGTACAGCTAAAATTTCTGAGAAAATATTGTATATTGTGTACGATGAAAATTTGTTTGCGGAGCTGAATTCCTATTTTTCTACATTTTTTAAAATGAAGCATTTGAGAGTCAACAAAAACTCCATTTTCTTAAATTAAATTACAATAATGAAATCGGATGCGTAGATAGTAGGTGTGGGTATCCTGTTAAGAAAATGTGGTATGAATAGTTTCTTACTTATTACATATTGATATACTCACCCGTTGATGTGAAGGTGCCAAAATTCAATTCAATTCGCAAACGGTGAAATAAAAACAATTTTATCTAGTGCGATTTTAGATAAAAAGTTCATTTTCTATTCAAAGCAATCGAATGATTTATCACATTTTTTCTCATGTTTCTTTTTTATCAGTTCAGCGAAATTGACGACTTCACGCTTGTTGCACACTGTTAATAAATTCTTCAGCACAGGAATCGTTTCTGGGCGTTATAACCCTTTTCACAAAATTACTTATGTCTTGAAATTTCCAAACTCAAGTCATCCGTTGATTTTTCCATGAATCGGATTGCTCCGAAGAACGTCGTTCACGCACGACCGATTGTTTACGATTATCGAAGAAGAAAGCAGAACGAAAACGACAAAGAGCCCATGTGACCCTTCGTCTTTGTCCACGTTTTTGTCTCGCACGCACACACACACACCCACACCTGCAGTACTTAACCTACCAACCTAATGCTGCATATGTTTAAAAAACAATAACTTGTGAAGCACTAGATGTTTAACTCGAGCGTTAATTTGAATAAATATTATTTAATGTAATGTTGACACTTGGCACAGCAGTATTTTGTTATACTAACTCGACAATTAAAATTTTACGTTTAATTTTTATAATTTTAGCACTGTATATTCAAGCAAATCTTCGATAAAACACGAAAAGTATCACAAACGTATTGAAGATTCTCAATTTAATTTCAACACCGGGAAAATATGCCCAGGAAAATATGTAGTGCTGCTACCTATCGACGTTAAATAGAATTACGCTGATATTATGAGTCGACCAATGAGAAAGATAGAGTGTCGTGATTCGTTGATGAAGAAGAAAATGGTTACCTGCCAACCTCATGACTTCACGTTTACACTGTAAAATCAAATGTATTTATTCTGTAGATAAAGAATTGTCTTTTACGATGGCTGATTTAGCTACAGATCAGGTAAGAAGAGAAGCCAGGAGAAGGCGAATATTGGAAAATTCAGAAAATCGTCTGAAGAGAATTACCGGAAGATATACGGAAAAAAACATTGGAGGTAAATATTATTCAACAACGCATACATTTCGTAACCTCTTCGATTTGTTATTATTGTAATTTATATTAATTATTTTTTAGAAAATTCGAATAATGATGTCATATATTCCTTACCAAAAGTTGACAATTCAGTTAGCTCCAAAATCTTGACATCTGAAAGCAGCTCTATACTTGAGGAAAAACGCTTAAACTTTTTGGAGCAAGGTAGGCCACTTTGAGTTAGTTTGTAAATCTAAATTATACAATCTTGTATCAAACAATAAACGCTTCTTTTCATTCTTGTAGACAAAAGTTTCGACATTAATGATTATGAACTAGATGATTCAGATGTAAAGTTTTCGAAATCAGATGACTTTTATTCTTCAGATTATTCAACATCCCATTTGCCAAAAATTAGTAAAGAAACACATGACAGTATCATCTCTAATTCAATAAATAGTCAAGAAAATTTAAAAGCAAATAAATCCAAAAATTTGTTTATATTTACTTTACTCTATAGTCCATTGTGTAGTATTTTCTTAGCAGCATTTATGAATGTCTTACTCCTAGCCAATGTGCATTTTTCTGTATATAAGGTATTTTTTCTTGCTCAAAAATTTTCAAATTTTATTATAACATTTACATATTATAATACATATTATATTTTACTTTACAGAGTCTGATTGTACCATATCTTGTATTAGCTTTAACAAGATTACTTTTTCAGTATAAAGTTGATGAATCTAAAGGAAGTAGCATGCTTGTAGCTGCTTTGATTTTGTGCAATATAAAACCTGAAATTGTACATACTTTTAAAAAAGTTTTAACACTTATAAGTACATTTTCTCAAGGATTTGCATTATATATTACAAGTTTTACATTAATTAATTGGTTAATATCACTTTTTTGGAACAAGTCAAACAGTTTGAACTTTTTCTAATGCTTAAGTGAAAGGATTCAATATGTGTTGTTCAAATTGAAAATTACTTATAAAAAATTTTTGTACATACAGTTTATATTATTGGAAATATTTATTTTATTATCTATAGTAATTAAAAATATATAAAAAGCAGTCTGTGGCATGATCTGTCATAAAAAGTATATTGTTATCTATAATTATTGTTCAACAACTTTAGGTGTCTTTTTAGATTTTTTTCCTAAAATGTTTTTACTTCTTACTACATCTAAATGTCCTTCCCTGATCATTCTTTCTTCCCACTTCATAATTTCTTCTTTATACTTATCCATCTGAGCTTTAGTTTTCATAACATATTTTTGCTTCAAATCATCTGACATGTTTTTCCATTCCTGACTCATTTCTTTGAGAAAAGCCTAAAGATGTATTTGCAATTCAGATCCATGTTACTTTATACATTTGTACAAATAATTAAATAAAATAAACAAGACAGATTAAAAAATTACTTACTTGATAATTTCCATCTTTCCAGTAAGCTTTTTTCTCCTCTAAATATCCTAAAAATGGTGAAAATGGTTTCTTCGGTTTTCCTAATTCTTCCTGTTTCTACAATTCATTTGAAAAATATTTAATTAAAATCAAGTAAGTTACAACAAAATATAAAGTATTTAAATTACTGCTAAAATCTTGGTCTGCTCAAGGTGTTTCTTTTGTTTTACTTTTGCAGCATCAATTAAATCTCTTTGTTCTTTAGAAATGGAGTTGTTGTACTTTTCAAGTGCTGCCAAGTAATCTTGCATTTCCAATAAAAATTTCTTTTGATAAGATTTTTTTAATTCTGGATCACAATTACGCCATTCTTCAGCCATGACTTTAACAATATCTGTTGCTTTCAAATCTGGCTGATTTTGAACTACTTTGGGCCTGAGTTCTTTTACAAACTTTATATATGGATTTAAAGGCTTTTTTGGAGGCAAAGGTACGCCAATTTTTTCTAAAAATTTTCCTTTGAGGACACTGTAAGCTGCATGTTGCTCTTCACCATTATTTAAAGCATGCCTGGAAAAATTAACAAAAAAATTAGTTAATATTTTATTTTATTTATTATTTGATTTTTTCACTTATTAATATTTTATAGTACTTACTTTGAGGTCAATAGATTTCTGCAATTTGAAGCATTGAATGAACGAAAATTAAAAAGTCTGAGAACAGTCATGATTTATTCTGATTTTAAGCAATTACAGCTTCAATTATCAATATTCACAACATTTATTTGAATTGTACTTCGAGTTCTAAACAATAAACAGCACGTCGATGGCACCTCAACGAAGGTTATTCGTCTATAGTTTAGGTTAGTTTTAACCAATAGTGTAGCCGCTTTTTCTTCACGCAATGCTTACCCTTGACGATATATGCAAGGGACTATTGTGTACATAAGTACTAACGTACGCTTTATTTTCGTAGCTATGAGCAAAACTCAGACAAACGAACTCAGGTTATAGTTACATAGTGTATTGTGTTGTTTCATTGCGATAGTCGTCTGCACTCTGCAATGTCTATACGTTGAATTTTTATTTTTGTCCGGGACTCCAACTTATGAATTTAAAAAAAGTATTACATAAATGAAAGAATATGGTTTTTATAAAAATATATAATACGAGTGTATCATCGAAAAAGTATACAATTATTAATTAGAAGCATTCGTTTTACGAAAAAATGAATAATTTAAAAAAAAAGATGCGTTGCTATTGGTAAAAGCGTCATATGAAGCTACCCTGACTCAGCTGGAAAGATGTTCATTGGTCAATCAAGAAACTGTGTTTATAGGCTGATTACTTACGCCTGTAGTAAATATTGCGTTAAGAGTACGTTTCATCACCCTTGCATTTATTTATTATTAACGTTATTTTCTTTGTTATTTTTCAATGTTTCCATTACCAAAATAAAAGCAGTTTTTCATGATAGAAGTTGTAGTGTAGATATTTGATAACTACATTTATTTTGAATACATATTGTTAGTTGTGTTAAAAACAACATAAAAAAGGCTTACAAATAATTTTATTTCATCATGGTGAGTAATGAAATATTGCATTGCGAGTATCAAAATATATAACTACATTGTATTTTAATATAGCATGGAAGAGTGAAAGTTCGTACTACTGAAGAGCAAGAGAAAATTAAACAACTTGAAAGACAGAAAAAGTTATCGGAATTCAAAAGAGGAATGCAACTTGTTGTTCAAAAGGTTATTATGACACTTTTTGTATAGAATAATTGATATTACGACAACACAATATTTTATATTTTTAGAGAAAAAATCAAGAATGGAATGATGAATTACTATTAGTAACTGAAAAAATCTTGGTTCGCAATCCGGATATTTATACTTTATGGAATGTTAGAAGAGAAATATTTTTTTATAATAACTGGTAAACAATAAATCAATAATTCACTTTTTAGATTAGAAAATGATTCTTGATAGTCCTCTTTCATTTTTTCAGGACTAATGAAGAACATCTGCAAAAATTTGAACAAGAATTAACGCTAACTGAATTGTGTTTACGAGAAAATCCAAAATCATATTGTATTTGGCATCATCGCACATGGGTAAATGAACAGATATCTGATCCAAACTGGAGAAAAGAGTTGGAACTGTGTAATAAATGCCTTAATCTCGATGAAAGAAATTGTAAGTTACTTTACATGTATGTAAATTTTATTAAAAAAAATTTATTACAGTAGCTAACTGTTGTAGTCCACTGTTGGGATTACAGACGTTTTATTGTCAATAAAGCAAAAATTTCAGACTTGGAAGAGTTAGAATTTACAACAACGAAGATTTTAAATAATTTTTCAAATTATTCTTCGTGGTATTATAGAAGTAAATTACTACAAAAATTATATCCTAGTAACGTTCATGACTTGCCAATCAAATCAGAAAAACATGATGAAGGTAATAATATAGATATTCTAAGTTCAAGCTTGTAATAAGTGAACTTCTTAATTTTAGAATTGGACCTTGTAATGAATGCTACCTTCACTGATCCCAATGATTCAAGTGCTTGGTTTTATCATAGATGGTTACTAGATTTCACAAAACCACAGTACACATTGTGGCAAGCAGTTTTGACCAAAAATAAAATAATTGCAGTTTCACACAAACAAGTTTCTTCAAACTTATACTTGTATTTGAATAATGAGAAAATAAACTGTAAATGGAAATCCGCAACTGGACGGAACTATTCTTTTGTATGGACTGCTCGATTCAAGAAGACATTGGCTGATAATAGTAATCAAGCATTTTTAAAACTTGATGAAACTATTTATAATATGAAAAAATCAAACTCTGAAGATACATGGATCTATAAAAGTCAAATGATAGGTACAAATTATAATATTTCTAAATTGAAAGAGCAGCTAGAAAATTATCGACAACTTTCTATTATGGAACCGAAAAATAAATGGTCCAAGTTAACTAGTTATTATCTAATGTTAAGAATAGATCCAATAGAATACCATGCAGACATCATAAAGATTTTAGAAAATTTAATGGAACTTGATCCGCTAAGGATAAATTACTATAAAGATATACGTAAGTTTTAAATAAACGTTCCTCAATGAAATAAACGAATAATTTATAGATAAATGTATTATTTTTACTTTATGCTTATAGGTAGCAAATGCATCCTTGACTACAGTTTACATTTTGCTATTGATGAAAACATTGACATCAACTACAGTATTGATTTATCCACTTCTGAGATAACTACTCTTTCAAGCCATGTGCAATATCTAACTTTTTATCGTGACGTGAATCTTGCCAATAACTATTTAGGCAGTAAACTTTATCAATTATATACCCTACAAGAATGTGAAACTCTTGATTTGTCAAATAATACCATAACTTCTTTAAGAGCATTCCCAACTTTAAACTGTTTGAAAATATTATTACTAACAGGTAACCAAATAACAAACTCTGAAGAAGTTATTGGTGTAATAGAACGGCATAATTTATCGAAATTGGATTTGCGATCGAATCCGATTCCCGAATTAGCCTCGCTAGTTAATAAAATCAAAGACAATTATCCAGATATTAAGGTGGTCGTCTAATGTAAAGGACTAAAATTTTTTGGTAAATACATAACTAATTTTATACACAAACGTATTAAATTTTCAATATTAAAATACACGTGCGATTCACTAACTATGAATTATCTTCATTATTTGATGAGCAATTATCGAGTAGCAATGTAAAAATATACCTAACAATTTTTAACATATAATATGTCCTTTAAATGAAACAAAAGAATCACTGTAAAAAGATAATCAGATTTGTTTTAATTATACAGTTATAGTCTCAAAAGTGAATCACAAGAGTAATCACAAGAGTACGTAAATGAATATATTGCATAAAAATTTCTAATGTACCGGTGAATCATGACAGTTTGGAAATTTCAACGGATAAAAGCGAGCGAACGGGTGAGCGCGCCTATATCTGTCATCAGTGACATCACTTCAACGGACAACGGTACCTACACCTGCCTACATACTCTCTGTAGTCGTAACTGGAAAAGTTATTCCAACTGGGCCAAAGACAAAGGTAAATTAACGAGGCGCGACGGAAAACGGAGGCGCTAACAGGTGGATGACTCCGAGATGTCCACTAGTAGCGGTTTTCGAAGTTATATTTTCTGTGCTATTTTCATGCGTCGATGCAATGTTTCCATGCGTCCATGAAAAATAAAAAAATAACTAACATTTTCCTGGTTTTGTAATCAGCATCAGCCGGAAATTGAAGATAATGTTTTGGGGAAAACCGCAAAACCGATAAGGCATGTCGGTGTCTTCGAGTCGCTTATACTTGAAAACGAAAATGCAAAAGTTTGAAAATTGTGAATCTGTAAATTTTACGCAACCCACTAAAAATTATAAGAGTTATTCCATGAAAATGATTGATTAGCGCGTCTTCACACGCTGGCCAGTTTTGTTTTTTCCTCGTCGTTATCATCAACTACACACCGTATCGAACATTTGTTCGTCCAATGCCGAATCAAACTTTAGTCGAGATAAATTATTTTTTCCTAAATAGTGAGTTGCAGCAGCTGCTCAACGCCGTCAGATAGGATCGTCACAGTGAAAAAAAGAAGAAAGAAAAAAAGAAATCGATTCCAGGTGGCAGTCTATTTCCAACGTTCATCTCTAAATCAGATCGGTAATTATCCAAGTGGAGGAAAAAATTTAGTTCAAATTTTAATACGAAAATTCCAGTAAAAGAATAGCAACGCATAACATAGTATCTATCGTGAGCCGAGACTACAACAAATGAACTTATGGCGTACATTATGTAGCGCAAACAATGCGTTGCAGTGATCGCGCAAAATCGGCACGATATGCACAGCGCGTGGAGCTCGAATTAATCGACACATGCACCTTATACATTCTCGACTCCGTTTACGCATGCTTCGGGCCTCTCACCGCATATTTCGGAGCGAACGAACGTTACGTGCTGATACGTGTCCAGTCTGACCTAACCTAAGCCGAGCCGTCACCACCAGCAGTCAGCACTAGCCATACTCCGCACTCTCCGTAGAACGTTGCGCCTCGGCAGTGTCAGTTGTGCCTACGTAGCCCGTGAGTGCGTGCGTGTGTCATATATAGGTAGCGTAGAGATCGCGTGTGTGCAAAGCCAGCCAGAGGCATTTGTAGGAAGTCGGATCGAGGCGACGGAGAGTACTCGGACGTCATCAGAAAGTTTGCGGCGGTGGAACATAACAGTGCCAGCCGCGACGTAGCAGCAGCATGACGCTGCTGCTGAGCTTATAGTAGTTCGTTTGAGCTACTCGCTTTCCACTTTCGCGGAGGTGAAGGAGAGAGAACAGGGCCGCGGAGTCAAACAGGCGGACGGAGTAAAAGGAAAAGAACGAAGGAGCTTTCCCAGGCGAAGGCCGTATAATTTGCATCTCTACCAGGCGGGGCACCCAGACGCAGACGTATATACGTAATATACAATGGCATCCGCTAAGAAGAAGCAGGACGAAAAGAATCTGAAGACATTGCGCGAGCTGGTCTCGCAGTCCGGTAACAAGGAGTGTTTCGACTGCCAGCAGCGCGGACCCACTTATGTTAACATGACAATAGGCTCTTTTGTTTGCACTACCTGCTCGGGCATGCTGTAAGTACAACTCTTGTTAACACATATCTTAAGCTTCTAATTATAAATCAGTTATACTCACGGCAACAAAAAAGAGTGTGAGAGAGGAGGAATGGGGAGGGAAAAAGTGGCCTTGCCAGAGCGCGCTCACGTTGCTTGTTTGTCAACAGAACGATTTAAAAAAATATTGTATTTTTCAATTTCCATGGCTTCTTCCTTTTTCAGCCGAGGACTGACTCCGCCGCACCGCGTCAAATCAATCTCCATGGCAACTTTCACGCAGGACGAAATTGACTTTCTCAGGGAGCGCGGTAACGACTTTTGCAGAGCGATTTGGTTGGGTCTGATGCCACAGGACACGACGAGTGCGCATAGTAGTTGCAAGGACGAGCAGAAGATGAAAGACTTTATGAGTGCAAAGTACGAATTGAAAAGATACTATTTGGATCCTGCGATGGCCAGTCAGCTGTTGAATCAAAAGTCACAGAGTGAAAAAGCTCAATCAAGTACTGTGTTGCAATCAAACTCCAAGAATTCTACTGTTATCAAAGCTCCTCCCACAAAGTCCATTTCATCACCTGTGCCTCTGTCAACGATCAAATCAAAGGAGACTGAACTTGTTAGCTCGAATACTATTGACTTTGTTGCTGATTTCAGCAAGGTACCACCTCCTTCGCCACTCACCATTCCACTAAAATTACCACAGCTTGTTGCACCACCGCAACATTCATTTGCTAACTTTGACAATAATCCAATCTTCAACTCACCTACAGGTATGTCACTTTTTCTTTATGTCGCTATTTCAAGTTAATAAATAGAGGACAGTTTGGCAACACATTTTTTTCTTTAGCTGTTTCCAGTACTCCAGCGACAAGTCAAATCACACCTACACTTGCTTTTGCAAATAGTAATGGAACTACAAATACTCCACCCCCACCACCTGAAGATCGTTATGCTGCCTTAAAAGACTTGGACTGTATGATGAAACAAGCAAGTCTTAAAGATGAACCAATTTCGTCCAAAGCTCCATGGAATTTAAAAGATATTAATAATGGTAAGACTGTGAAGAATTTTTTTATCTATATTTTATGAATTTCCAGTTCAATTTCTCTTCATTTTCAGTTCCAAACACAAGTTGGTCAGCTTTTGATCAAATGCCTTCTCCATTTATCTCAAATCCTTTTGCTGGAGATATTTGGCAGCCATCTGTTAATATACTCAATAATAATTTTAATAATAGTAATAACAATTTTCAACAAATGGAACCTACCGTTTGTAATCCTGCTAATCCATTCAGGCAAACGCAAATTCCGATGTTCAGTAATGGTAAACAACTATTGATTTTTTAAATTATTGATGATCATTAATAATTCAAAAATAATTAAACATATAACTATTCTGCATTTTTTAGACTTCAATTGGTTCGGACACGACCCTCAAAATGCGGAAAATATTTCATCTAGTCATTTATCGCCTTTATCCAACAAATCATGGCAACCAACTGTAACAGGATTCAGAGCAAATCCTTTTGTTGTAAGTATAAATTTCATGAAATTTTAATGATTTGTAAAGTTATTCATTAACCTAAATCATTACAGGTTGGTTCTGGTGTTGGAGATGTAACGCGAAACTCAAATAATCCTTTCTTGTGATCCATTGCATTATTTTTTGATCAAATTTTAAGAACAAACATTCTACATTGGCGTGTAGATTTGAAAGAGAATTTTTATTGTATATGACGAAACATAAAAATTAGCGCTGTTAATTTTAAACTCTCTAGGAGCACCAATCTCTCTTTCTATCTCTCTGATTTATATGTAATTTTATTAATTATTTATAAAATTAATTTTGCAAATAATATTAAATAAAAATTAACAATTGTTACTGTTAATTCTATTACTGTAGAGTTGATATTGTATTTGTAAAATGTACTTGCTGCTTGCTTGAATTCTTTTTTATAGTAATTTTTTATTGATAAAAAACAACATATAGTCTCAGGACTGTTCTTTTTGAAGAAGGTGAAAAAAAACTAATAAAATCGTTGAAGTCTTTGAAAACAAAATTTGTGTCTCAATAATTGACATTCATTGAATAAAAGTAAAAAAGATTTATTGAACAAATTACTGGTATTTGTTTCTACAACTGATGATACGGATTGCGTATTCGGATTTCAGTGAATACATACAAAAGTCGTAAAAAAAAAGTTTGCGATTGCGTAGGTGCACACTTAAATACTTTATTTACTTAGAAATATTCTAATAAATACAAAATCACAAATGAACACTTAGTCTTTGTTTTAGCTTAATAACAGTAGTAGGTCGATCATACTTGCACAATAATTATTTACTCGGCTGTTACACTCGCACAAGCTAAAAAAAATTACACGTGTATTAAAAAAAAAACAGAAATTCATTGAATAAGATAACGATCATAGGTATAGCGTCATCTTATAAATGTCATTCTGTCTAGCGAAGTTAATAAAAAGTATAACGTCGCTAATAAAAAGTTTCGTGTCACACTCCGGTATATAAAACTTCGTCGCTAACGGCATAATTGGATGATCGTCTATTACAAGTTGAGCCGTGCTACAATGACAATGATTAGAAGCGTCGATGAGACTGCAACGGGTCATCGTGTAAGATGATCTGTGTTGAATTGAGGGTATAAAAACAAGTCGATCCCCGAAAATAAAAATATATATATATATAAAAAAAACTAAAATGTGGCGATTCGTCTATAGTCGTGTTAGTCATGATTCTTCATTTCCTCGATATATATAATATACGCAGAAGACAATGAGACGATCTTGCAAAGGCGATGATGATAACGTGACTCGGTGATCGACGATGATAAAGTATAGAAAAAATGTTTGAGATAAAAAGGCGAGGAAACGATCTTGAGCTCTTGCCATTATTTGTTTTTTGTCCTTTTTAGGCGATACAAACGCGACGAGTATAAACGAAGCATTGGACGAATACTCATTGTCATCAATATGCTCATCATCAGTCGTTAAAAAACAGATTCACGGTTGGGTTTTTAGTCGGTTCGAGCCTAGCAACCGTTGCTATTAGGGTTGCCAGCTTTTGGCAGCGGTCGCACCAAATACAACTTCTCGCCTTGCTTGTTGGTATAAATCGGGGCTCGCTGATAGTGATCTACCAGTTGGTCCAGTGTATGGAATTTCCTTTGGCCAATGCAGTAAAGCGCACCCTCGACGTGCACTCTGAAGTGTTTATTACGTCCTGGTGCTTTCAGTGAAACTGAATAATCGCCCATCTACATGAAACAAAAAATGAATAATGAGATAAGGAATATTTGAGTTGACATCCAATTAACATCATTTGCAATTTATTAGCTCGCAACGATGCTTTTTATGTACTGTCCCCTATTAAATCATGTCTTCAAAAAGAAATAGGCATTTCAAGAACACGTGTTACAAATTAAAAAAAAAAGTTTTTAAACTCGAAAGAAACGAAAGATAACTTATAATAATTTGGATCTGGTGACTCGACTAATATTAATCATTGTCATTCTCGAGTGTAACTTTTTTACAGTCGCAAACTGATATAACCAGAAAAACTGCATTTGAACGATCAGCAGATTCGTATAAAAAATAAATGAACGTTTTTCAAGCTCCTACTGCACACTAAAGTAGTGGCTGTGATGAATTGTTTTTACAAGCATGATCATTAAAAGAAACATTAGTCGGTGTGCACTCACATTGGTTTCGCTGTCCCTAATTAAAAAGTCGCCGTCGTGGCCGTGCGTATTGAGTAGCGTGTCGCATTGGGAACGTGTAATGCTGCCGTAATACCACGGTTTTCCCATGAGATGAGGCCTCTCGACTACGGCAGAATTGGTAGCACCGCCAGCGGAATTGGAATGATGATCGGCTCGTCGCTCCAAGGAGTCACCGCCTCTTTCGCTGTTGGCATTGTTGCCGGCACGCTCCCGATAAGGCTGTGTCAGGTATTCGCTAAGTTCCTGCAGGTAATTCCGTGGCACGAGGCCGATCTGACCTTGACCGTTTCTGGCCTTATACCATTCGGGATCGGCGGGCGGGCGATCCAGTATCTCCAATCTATCACCCTTCTCGAACGACAATTCCTGATCGTTGTTCGAGGAGAACGAGTAAAGTGCTACCACGATATCTAGCACGTTCTCGGCCATAGCGTAGGTGTGCAGCGTGTCGTCCGCATCACCCTCTTCCTGAGTATAGTTGGATGGAAACCATCCGGCTTGCGTGCCGCTCTGTCCTCTCCACCAGCCATCGTTACTCTTCTCCAGAATAAGAATTCGCGTGCCTTTGACCAGCGACAACTCGTCCGGCTGTTGGGCTTGATAGTTGTACTTGACCACGGCTGTACCAATAGCTTCGCTCGGGTCTGCTGGCAGACGCCTGGGCATTATAGGTGACTCGACCACTCGACTGGGAGAATTACTGGACGGTAATGTTTTGGAACCAGAGCCTTTTTTCACCTTCTTCTTAATGCTGTCAAATAGAGATGGCTTTTCTTTCTTCACATAGTTACTCGGCACATAGCCCGCCTGACCGCGAGAGCTTTGTACCCTCCACCAGTGCTTCGAGTCGTCCAGCAGCAAGTATCTTTCATTTTTACGCAAGTCCAACTCCTGTGCACCCTGTGCCTCATAGTCGTACTTCGCGACAACGTAGCACACGTCGTCTTGGTTTGTTTTGCCTAAAATACAACCATTATAGATAAATTGTGAACTCAATCAGTCACCTCTGCTCAGTCCATTTTCAGTGAAATCACTTTTAGTCAAAGTAGTAGAGTCATCTACAAATGATCAAAATTTACTCTACTCAAATTTAATAATACTCTAAAAACTGAAAACAATAATTCTAGTAATACTTTAGGCGAATACAACCTACCATGCTTCATGGCTGCCATGTGCGAAAAAGATGTGATGATAAAGTATTATTCTTAATTAGATATATGACTATGTCAGTGCTACTTGTGCCCTTTACTCAGCACGAATCACTTTGTAATAATGGTAAATCAGTAGGACTGGAGTCAGTACTATTATGGCAGGCATTCATTCTTTACACATAGATTCTTATATCTTCTTTATACATAGATTCTTTATCATTTATTTTTCAGTGCTCGAGTACATTCCACTTCCTTGACTCGAATTTTGCAGTTTGGGGTACAGCAAATAAATGCCCAGTCAACACTTAAAAATAAAAGAAAGAAAAGAAAAACAAGGATTAGTGTAAAGTTTTCTTTAATTTACACTTGCTCTTATCAAAATTTTTAGTGCAAATAAATAATTTCTGAGAGACAAAATTTACATGGATATTTGCTGCATTGATTAATAAAAAACGTAATGGCTATCACTGAGATTTTTGTTGTAACCTGACAAAGCTTCAAAAGAATAATAGATTCAATAAAAACATTTCTACTTGAAAAGTTTTACAGTAGGAAAATGTAGCATGCTGTGACTAGTATTTTTACATTCAAATCAATAAAATAAATGTACCGATGTAACGCACACATATACACATTGATGGGAGGGGGGGAGGAGATGAGACGAAACAACAAATGAAAGTCAATCACATCATTACACTTTTCACACTGGAAAAACAATCTCTAAGTTAGAATTAGTATACGTTTCGAGGCAGACAGACAGTTCGAGCGCTAGAACGTACATATTCCAAAAATAAATCAACGAATCTTCGGAGAGTCTTTCGACACTGTAAAAGAACTACTGTCAACATAGAGCGAGACGGCCGCAACGCTGACTCACGAGGAGATCAGCAGCAGCAGAGCAGCAGATTACACGAGCAAAAGCATATATAGAGGATATATGAGTTGCAGCTGCGTGGTGCATTCGACTTACCAATCTTTAGGCTAGACATATTCCCTCATGTGTAAGGAGTTGGGGGTGCCGTACAGCGGCACGCTTTGCCTTCGTTAGCGCGTATTGTTAATAATGCGTCGTTTTTTTATACAAGATTTTCTACAGGGCAAGCTTAGCTTACTTGCTCTCTCTCGCTTTCTGTCAATTGATTTTTCGGCTGCTCTCTCTCTCTCTCTCTCTCTCTCACTCGCTCACTGAGCGCTGCCTATGCCGCTTGCTGTGTGTCCCTCTACAACCCACGAGCGTTGAACGTCGAGGACACACGCCCAGCGATCGCTCGCGACTGCTGCAGAGAGAAAGGACCAGCAGCGGTTCGCCTTCAATATACACATACACGCACACATGTCTGCTCACCCACTCACACGCACGCGTATGCACATTACAAGCGTTCGGTGCGTTGTGCTCGATGGGTAAAATCTGTGCTTGTTCGCAAAATTAACAATTAACGCCGTATCTAATAGTGGATGCCTACGATCTATACGTTCGATATTCTATGCCACTTAAATATTCTTTCAGATATAATGAAAACAGACTGGTGTCTCGAGAAATCGAGTTGTACTCTTAAATCATACCGAAAAATGAATTGTTATATTGAAACACAAGCTATATATAAATACATACTATACCGGCGATAACGCCGACCAGTTACCATGCGCTAGCGCGCGACGATAACTCGATGCGCCGGCTGTTACCACTAGATGGCGGTAGCCCTCTAAGGCACTTTGGGGGACTTGGAAGTATTTGCTTCGTTGACTCCATGGTACGGACATATGCGACCGTGGCTATAGTACTTCGTGCTGTTGACGCAATTTTCGCTCCTGCTTTACGAAAATTGTGAGATCTGAAGTCAACTGTTGGAAGCTTTTTGACAGAATTGCCTAACCTTGTGCTGATGCTACGATGAATGCGACTGGATTCTGAATATCTTACAAACGTTATTTATAAGTAAAAATTTACCAGATTTAGTACACTTTTAATAAAAATGGAGACTGTGCCAAAGGACTTGAGAGGTTTGCGAGCGTGTTTATCATGCTCTCTAATTAAAGTAAGTAAAAAATGATTTTTGCTTTCATTTTTTCTGATTTTGTAGGTTAGAGCCAAGATTTGTTTAGTTAATCATTTATAACATACTTTTTACAATATTCTCTCTAATTTATTTGAAACTAATGTTTCAGACATTTGATCAATTTGAGATGGATGGCTGTGAGAATTGTGACTTTCTAGGAATGAAAAATAATAAAGATCAAGTATTTGACTGCACAAGTTCTAATTTTGATGGGTATGTTTTTTATTTTAATTTATATTTTTGATGATTTCATATTTCTTCTATTCTCTATTTGATTTAAATAGATTGATAATACTTTCTTTAAAATCTACTTAAATTTTTAAAATATAAGAACTATAGTGAGCAATTGTTAAAGTTGCATTATATATAAGTAATAAAATATTTGTAATATACTTTCTAATCATTATCAGTATCATCTTATAAGTGGAATAAAATTGTTAATATTTTCTTACATTTTCATAGAATGATTGCTGTAATGAGTCCAGAGGATAGTTGGGTGTGCAAATGGCAAAGAATTAGTAAGTGTTTTGCATATAATGGAATGTTTTATTATATCACTTTATAATCCATAGTACAGTAATAAAACCATATATTTTTCACAATTTCAAAAATTTTTCATTGTTAATCTTTTACTGTCAAGATTATTTATTAAAATATCTGAGATTCATTAACTTTTTTCATTTATAGATCGGTTCACTAAAGGAGTATATGCCATATCAGTGTCAGGACGTTTGCCAGCCAATGTTATAAGAGAGATGAAAAGCAGGGGCATAATATACAGGTCACGTGATACAAGCCAACGATAATATTTTGGAGAGATTAGTATATTTTTTTACTCTAATAATATGATGTATTTTACCAAGCTGCTGTCTTAGAATTTTGTTATATTAAAACTATTTAGTAACAAAATTATAAACTCTTAAGGTTTTCAATTTAATTTTAATTTTGGTTTCATTATAATTTTGATGATAAAAACTTATGTCATTTGTTAGTCAACAATTACTTCTGTTTAAGTACTTCATATGTAAATATTACTATGATATAAGATACTATAATAATTTTGATAAATATTAATAACAATAAAATTGTGAATTTTATTGAGATTCCTACTCAATGAAATGTAAATTTGTAACTAAATATGAATTTGAAGTTACTCGTTCCAAAATACAACAATTTTACATTCACATTTCAGTTTATATAGTGAAATAAAAAAATCAAGAATTATGAGTATTTGTAGCAAGGCTAGATTGCAAAAATGATATTGGATAACGAAGTGCAGGTAAATTACTGCTAACAGTATGAAGCCATAAATTGGCACAAGTAGCATGGTAGTTGTGATCATTACAAATGATTCGTCCACTAGTTATCACTGTTAAGCATAATGCACAAGTTACTCCATCACCTTGGTGTAAAGGCCAAGTTGGTAACTCTGTAACAATCTGAAAAAATTCTAGAATTAATATATATTTTACATAATATTTTAATAACTATTCTGAATTCAAGAATTACTGGAATATTTGTGTAAAATGGTTCCATTTCTGACCAAATTCTATCAATGTCCATCAACAAGTCATCAAAGCCCATTATATTGATATCCATTTCTTTGTGTGAATAATTTACTCTTCTACAAACAGCTGCTACTTCCGCTAAATCTGAAAAAATCATGTCATATGAAATGGTTCACTAATTGTTGTAACTAAACACTGCTTTAACGCTCTTACTGCAGAGGAAATTGTATCCTTGTGCTGAGGCTAATACTTCTCGCAAAACTATTTCAGATGTTATACTTGTAAATATATTTGCAGCAACTTGCAATAACAAAACACAGCTTTCCATGTACTGTTTCCATTCCCAATAGATCATCTATAAATACAAATACATTTATCAAATAATATGCATACTTAGACATTTTTAGGCCTACAATGTGAAATAATGTTTTTACTTGATGCATATTCTCAATTTGTTGTTCATCTTCTTGACTAGAAGGTAAAAATGACTTTAAATCTAAACTTGGTACAGACCCAGAACGAGTTATGACTCCTGGTGCTGCCAATTCCATACTATTAACTGACAAGGTATCTTCTCTTTGTATGGGTTTTTCTAAAAACAAAAGTTTAACTCATATTCTATCAAATAACAGTGAAAATATATATACTATGTTTAATTTACCTGTTTCAATCACTACTTCAAACTTTTCTTCAGTTTGACAATCTACACTTTCTTCAAAGGCAAGAGCATTAAACGCATCTGAAATCTCTTGAATTAAAGAAGGACTAGATTTGCTATTTGAGCCAATGATGCTCTCTGTATTGAAATCAAAATCACACAATAAATCAATGGTATTAGAAGTGATATCAGAGATTGATGGGTCAGTAAATGGAACAGAAATTGTTGGTTCAGGCTCCGGTTGCTCTGCAGAAACAAAATCTCCAAACTCATCAGCTGTTTGATTCAAACTTTCAGAAACATCTAATGAATCTAGATTTGGTTCTGTACTAAGTTTAATGGAAGATTCCTCAACCAATGCTCTGAGTGCACTGTACTTGTCTTCTGTTGTCTGGAGATTCATCAAATCTGTTTGCATCACATCTTCATTTGTATCTTTAATTTGTGTCACAAAAAGTTGATCAACATTTTGCATTTGCATTGGTTTTTGTAGAGGACTAATTTTATTTACAGCAGATTTTTCTGTGCTACTTGAAAATTCTTTTGTAATTGTTTGGATAATTTCAATTGAATCATTTCTAATAGCAGTATCTTTGAGTATAACAGTTTTAGACTGATTTTTTATAGTACATTTCGGAAAAATTTCCGATAAACGCTCGTTCGATTGTGTGTCTTTGTGTGATGTAAAATTAGAAGTTGTACTAGCAGTCTGATTATTATTATAACTATTACTATTTTTACTTATACCAGTCTTTTTCACTTTGTCATTTACTTTTTTAATACCAAGATTATGATTAGCTAAACGACTTCCAATTGCGGAGCCTTGTTTCGAATCCCATAAACTTGGAATACTAGAAATATTGCTAATTGGAGCACTTTGGAAATCACTAAAATCATCATTTGAATCTGAAGAATAAGATGAAGATTGATACTTTATATCAGATTGACTATAAAAATTGGGCCTTTCATCAACATAAATTGTATTCGAATTGGAGTATGATGAATAATGATCAGAAGAAAATTTGACTTCTCTTGAATCACTACAATTATGATTATAGAGAGAGCCATCAACAATTGCAGATGGAGTTACTGTTTTATTTGTTAATTTTGTGGAATTTCCATGCTTCTTATTTGTAAGTGTTGCATTCATAGATGGAGGTTCAAAAGATGGAACATGGACTTTCGGTTCATTTTTTACTACTGTTGCATCTATTAATGCTAAATTTAAATTTGGAGTGGGTGGTATTCGAATATAATACAGGACTTCTAAACTGTTAAATGGGTAAGAGGCTTGAGCAAGAGCTACTAAGGCAAGAACAATGTATAATTCTTGTTCTGTCAATTGTCCAGCATATTTTTGATTGGCTAAACTCCAAATGTAACCCAGAACTTCTGTAGGTAATTGACTTGTTAACAGTAGTGGAAAGATTTTATTTGTATCAACTAAAAGTTCCCCATGCATAGAACCAGGTTTACATCTATCTTCTTTGACAGCTTCCCAAATTCTCTTGTAAAGAGGAGATAAAACATTGGAATTTGGCCATAGCCAGCCAGGAAGCTGTGACATTCTTTTTTCGTTGCCAGCTTGCGTCTTATTCATTATTGTAGATCTATATATTTACAGCTCAAGACACTTTTACAATATATTTTCTCATTAAAAATTACTTATTCGCGATCACATAAAGTATTTTCGATCACTCGATGAAAAAATCGATAATTATGAATGTATTTATCCGGAAATATAACAACCATACTGATGAAAAAAATGAACGTATTTAACACTAGACTACAAGAAAACGGATGAAATATGTTGACATTTCTTATCGCACGCTCACAACAATATTGATGGCAGACGATTTTTTATTTGACACTCGCACACGCACTCAACCCACTCACACACCCACGACGGCAACTTTCGTCAATTTTTTCCGCGCTGATTTCAGCGCCTACTCTGTTCAGCGGACAATACAGAAAGTAAGCTGCTATCATTTTGGTCTTAAATGGGGCTGGGCGCTTGGCTGTAGGTTAGGACCTTTAGACTAACTGGTGGCAACCAGAGTGGCGGTAGCGTTTTCCGAGTTGAATTTTCTAATTTGTTAAGGTGAGGTTAAATAAATAATAATACGATCATTTTATTTGTTATTCTTTATTGAAAACTGAGTATTATTACTTAATTTACATATGTTTAAGATATTAATATATTTATTTTAGAAATAAACCACCTTTAGTAGTTAGAATATCGTCAGAATATGCCGACTGACTTTTACATTCGTTACTACGTCGGCCACAAAGGTAAATTTGGCCATGAATTTTTAGAGTTTGAATTCAGACCTGATGGTAAATTGAGATATGCCAATAACTCGAACTACAAAAATGACACAATGATCCGCAAAGAAGCCTATGTGCACCAATGTGTTATGGAAGAATTGAAAAGAATCATCACAGACTCTGAAATAATGCAAGAAGATGACTCTCTGTGGCCTCAACCTGACAGAGTTGGTCGCCAAGAGCTAGAAATTGTTATTGGTGATGAGCACATATCTTTCACAACTTCAAAGACAGGTTCGTTGCTAGATGTCAATCAATCAAGGGATCCTGAAGGACTTAGATGCTTCTATTACTTGGTTCAAGATTTGAAATGTCTTGTATTTTCTTTGATTGGGCTTCATTTCAAGATCAAGCCTATATAATTATCTAATCTAGGTCTAATGATAATTCTTACTTTTCAGTATATGTAATAAATTTAAGTTGTGAAATACATTAAATTCATTTTTCCAATGAAATTCATTTATGTTTTATGCATTTTCATAATTTCTTTCTATTTTCACTTATATAAACGTTATAGTTTTTTAAATTTATATTTATATTTATTCATTTTATTTAAAATTTGAGAATAGATTTCTTGTATTTTTGTGTACTACAAACTGTGTTCCAGAAGTAGTTTTTAATTTATTTATTTAGATATATTTCTATTGTTACTATAGGTATAAATCTAGAATAAACAAATATTGCAATCATTCTTCAGCTGATTTTTCTTTTCATTCGGTAATTTTGATGAATATTTCAATATAATCTACGCAAGGTTTTAGAAAATAAATTTAGAATATGAATGCATATGATGTGGAATGGGTTGATTGTGATCAGAAATTAAATCAAATTCATCTTTCAATGTGATTGCGGTTAGCATACAGTCTCCATGCTGTAGAGTATAGGTAACTCTATACGCGCGCGCGCACCTGTGTGTGTGTGTGTGTGTGTGTGTGTGTGTGTGTGTGTGTGTGTGTATTCAGCTACAGGCGAAGCTAAAAGAAAAATGGTTAGCGGTACACCCAACGTGAATTGAATCGCGACCCCCCCAGTTAGGTTGGTATGAGAATTCCGTCGTTGCATCGGAACGAAGAAACCGCGGGAATATTAAAAAATGAAAATTCGTTTTAAGATACGATAAAAAGCTAAAACGTTACTAATTTGTTTTTAGGTTTAAAATTAATTGTTTCCGAACAATGAATTTAGATGCATGATTATTTGATTTTAGGTTTTAATTATATAATTTAAGAACGAGCGTTATACTATGACCGATCTGAAAACCACCGTTACGGACTGAAAGTAGCACTCTACCAACCTAACTAGGGGGGGGGATCGCGATTCAATTCACGTTGGGTGTACGATATTCGTTGTAACACTCGTTACATCGTAAACATAAAAATAAGTCATATTATGTTATGTAGGTATATATGTATTTTGATCGATAATATTGATCGTGCATATCGACTACCGTCGGTAACATTATTTGCGGCTCCACCGGAAGATGGCACCCGTTTCAATAGTTACACGATGAGTATTTTGGGCACTTTCTAACGCCGACGGCTTATACATTGTGCTTCAACTCCTGTATATAGTCTCCATGGTGCTAAACCATGCTGGCACACTGTGTTATCTGGGTAGTGTCTTCGCGTAGTATGTTGAAATATTCTCCACATTCCAAATTTCGCCCACTATGAAAAATTGCATTATTGGTATAACAATAATAATAATTGCAAGCAGAAGAACCGAATGGTGATGGTAATGGCGAGGTAACTCAAACGGAACGCCGGTTGATTAACAATTCGTGTGTCTGCAGGTTGTAGTTTCAAGTCAGACAATCGATCGAGATCTCGAAATCGATTATCGAGTGCTTGATGATCGAGCATGCGCAGTAAAAATGTTGAATAAATTTTTCACGGCTGGAGAAGAAAATAAAATTAGACCACCTCGGAAATAAGAACGATAAAAAAATCAACAATCGTCGATGTAAATAACGAAATTAGTAGTTTAGTCACTTATTTTATTAACTATGAATAGTTTTGTAGATTAAACACATAATAAAATGCATAATATGTATGTTAAAAAAAACGTATGACTTATGAACCCATAGCGAAGCTATTGTGTATTCCGCGCCTCCGGCATTCATGTCGCAGATCGCTCCCGCGACCATTGATAAAAATTAGTTTATTTAACGTTTACTCAAAGTACTCGAATTTTGATTAGATTATCGATTTGTCATATAATATACTATCAACTTAAGAAACTCGCGAACATGTGCTGCGGTGTCCGAGCGGTTAAGGAGATGGACTTGAAATCCATTGGGTTATACCCGCACAGGTTCGAATCCTGTCCGCAGCGAATTTTTTTTCTATTTTGACACTACCTAGTGGGACTTGTGACCGTACTGCTATAATACATTTTTAAAATTTTTAAGTTATTTGCTTAATTAACAACCATTTTAATTTTCAAATCCTTCAAGGTCGTTATAGATTTTTTCTGTCCATAGCAAATTTTATGCGGCATTATTATAATTATTTATAATGTTTTCATGTAAGCATTCGATTTATCAGTTACAATAATTGATAATTTCGTAATAATCAACTATATTTATTAAGCAGTTATAAAATAGTAAAAATCTGTAATAAATAATATCATTTAATTCTCGTTCAAATATATTACAGGGTAGTAAGAATTTAGTGGTTAAAAACAGTTGACCTATAATCATATTATTATCACATATTACTCACGATTATATCGTCTGTACATACATACTTTTATAAAAATATAATTAATTATAGAGTACTTGAAAATGTAGATCAGCATTTAGTTTAACCCAATTCCAATTCTAATTCCAATTGTTGAGCTAGGCAATAAAAAAATATTTTTAATAAAAGTCAAAGCAGCAGAAACAATATTTAATTTTGTGAAATATAAAACATGCACATGAGAAATGTTATTATTAAAATTTATTTTGGGCTTGTATTTTGAAGCAGCTTGTCATAACAGATATTAATGTTTTAATTATTGTAGTTGGTACTATAATCACAGTGGTATTCGTTTAATTAATTTTTTGTTTTTTCATATGCCGGTCTACTGTATAACAAGTTTATTACAACATATTCCAACAGCGCCTTTTCTCAGCTTTCCTGGTTAGTATACATATCACTCATATCAGCTGTTGTGATGTTTCTAGAATCGTGAATAGGTAGCGCTGTCGTCGGTCTACTCTTGATTTCATTTCTGACGTCATCCAAGTTTCAGTCAAATCGAGTATTATTATCAACTTTCAAATGGTTATTGCAAAAAAATATAATACAAGTAAATGAGTCAAAGTTAAATGAAATATAATACAAGTAATTCATGAACTAAGCATTCAAGTAGCCTAAGGTAGACCTGATGTATCAACTTTAAAAGATATTCTTCTAACATTATTATATTAGATAAAAAGCTGTACATTAGCTTGCGCAGCTTTACAGATAATACTACGCAAACAATGTCAATAATAAACATAATTCTGCAATATTGACAAAATCTCGTTGAACAGATACATGTTTTCAGTTCAATAAGATTATGAGTTGAAAAAGTCTTGATGATAAATCCAGACGCGCAACAATGTTTATATCTATCGTAAGTTGCAACAATGTAAATATAATATTCGAAGGCAATAACGCGAGGCGAGTAAAGCATTAATTGCTTACAATACAATACAGTTATAAATACACTAAGCAACTCATATGGTGCGATCAGAAAATCAGCTGCAGATACTTTCGTTATCGACCTACATACATACGCTGGCGCAGATATATATATGCATGGGTAATGGATCAGGGATGCATCGTTGTTTGATACAGTGTTGTGTAGTCTGACGCGTTTTTATTATTGTTGCCCCGAGAAAAAGAGCGAAAAGAAGAGTGCAGCAGCAGTTACGCAGCCCTTAGTAGCACTTATGTAAAGTCCAATATAGTAGTAGCAGCGGCGAGACTATCAGAATTGCGATTGCGAAATAGCTGGGTGAAAACGGTGTGTGCATGTGCTACGGCGTGATGTGCGAATCATCAACGTTACTGCTGGACTCTCGATATTTCCGAGATTATCCGTGACAACGACGGGGAACATTGTAACAACTATTATTTCTAACCTCCAAGCAGCTCCGAACGTGTTTTCATCCATCACCCTGTTTCCAAACTTCTTCGCGGCTCTCGTAGCTGCATTCTTCTCGTCGCGTAAGATGGATCTAGGTGAAACGATTGAAGATTCCTACAACATATACGCCTTCCAACGCTTCGTTTTCGTTAAACTTGACGTGCAAAGTTCAGAGAAGCCCAAGGCACGTAGTGGACACAGAGTAGTATGCGACGAGAGGAATCTTTACTCCTATGGCGGTTTCAATCCCAATATCGAAGCTAATGATCCAGATATGCGAAATAATCTTAGTTGGACCGACAGTAGGCCCTTATTCAAAGAGCTCTGGAAATTTAACTTTGCCACTAGGCGATGGAAAAGATTGCCATGCCAAGAGATCATGCCTAACGAGTTGGCTTCCAATGCAGTTGTGCTTCAAGGAGTATTTTTGCTCATTCATGGTGGTACTGGAGTTCCTTTTGGTGAAAATCGCAACAACAATGTGTACATATGTAATGTTAATAACGGAGAGATGCATGTGATACCTGCGAATGGTGATTATCCAATGCCACAATATGGACAAGCAGTGGTTTGTCATGGACCATATTTGTATACTGTTGGTGGTACAACAGGCTTGGAATACACGTGTGACATTCATAGATTTGACATGAGGAGTCAAATGTGGGAGTCTGTGTACATATGTAGTGGAGGAGATCAGTGTGAGCCAAAAGGCAGATATAGGCATGAACTGGCTTTTGATGGTAAAATTCTTTATGTACTAGGTGGTGGCACAGGATTTGAAGCTTTTGGTTTTATGGTAAGATACATCTTTTATATTTATTTGAATCATTCATCTTTAGATGTATTGATTTTCACTATGGATTACAGGAAATACCAGCCTTTGATACCTCACAGAGAAAATGGATGACAGTACGTGCTCAAGGTGATAAAGGAAAGCATTATCCAGAAGCAAGAAGATGTCACGGTTTAGTGCAATATACCGATGAGAATACAGGTGCAACTTTGGTTGTCATATCTGGAGGATACAATGGTACACATGTTTTCAGAGATATATGGAGGCTAGATTTATCTGTCTTACAATGGAGGTGTTTACTACCATGCATGTTACCTCAGCCCACTTACTTTCATTCTACAACACTCACTCCTGCAGGCCAGATGTTCACATTTGGCGGCATAGTTCAACATGGAAATGAGGTAATTACTCTTAGTAAATATAAGTGATTACTTGTGAGATATTTATTACAAAAATAATTTTCAGGTGAAAAGAACAGACGAAGTTCATTCTATTTGGCTAACTATACCAAAACTTTCAGAAATTTGTTGGGAAGCACTGAATTTCTATTGTCCAAACTTAAAAAACAAAACATCAGAAGATTTGATAGCCATGGGGATACCTTTAAACTTCGTTAGGAGGTTTGAATATGAATCTTGAACAGTATAGTTTTTCCAAAAGTGATTTTTCCTAGAATAGCTTTATATTTTTGGGTGCTATCAAATTTAATTCTATTGTTACCAATCAATAATTGAAAAGATATAACTGTTAAAGAGATGAAAAATTTTACTTATATTTTTGTATTGCTGTAACAAATACAGATTGTGAACGAATATTACAATCATCTCAGTGATATTGAGTAAGTTTGTTCTCGAAAAATTTTTACATTGAGAACGAAAACGGTTGTATTGGTCACCGAATATATATTTGAAAAAAAATCGGATTACCGCTTTATTCGTATTTATATTTGTAAATATATTATTATGATAGCGATATATGATTTATGAATAATTAATAGCAAATTTAGAGTGAATTGTGAGAGTATCCTTTATTCATATCTTCTATGTTTTTGCAGCTTAAAACATTTTATAAGTACAAAAAGCTCATTAATTTTAGACTTGATTTGAAGTTTCATTGTTTTTCATTTCTTGATTTTGTATATATGCTACTTTTAGAAATCATTCATACATCATGCGACGTCGTTTCAAAATAACTTTACAAATTAGTATAATTTATTATTCAATAATAATGTTAACTTATCTAAAATGTACTGATAGTTATTTTATTTAATTGATAATAGATATATTCTTGCTTTTATTTCAAAATTTGAAATGAACTTGAAAAAATATTTTCGTAGCAAACTTGTTCTATATTATAGCTTATGTAATTTAAAAATTTATGCAAAATAAATGTGTCATAGAGTAGAAAAGTAAATTCGATAGCACGTGTTATTTCAAAATCTATTTCATTCAGTATCTATTTTTTTATTTAGTTTCAAGAGTACTTTTATTTAAAAAGTATTTTTAACAAATTATTGATCAATGGTTTAATTGTTATTAACAAAATTTTAGATGGTAGTAATCGACTTTACTCTATATTCAATTTTCTATTTTTTTCACAACTATTTGCAATAAACTTGAATCAGTGGGATTACTTAATAACAGGTCAAATTATTAATAACCAGTGTATGCACATATCTAAAATGATAATTATACAAATATTGCAATTAACCAACTAATAGCTTCGAACCAAAGTGGATTGATTAATATGAAAAACTCCAAGTTCTCTTTTAGATAATATTAAGCTTTATGAAAATAAATTCTATTCAATAATGTATGTACAATCACGAATTTTAAAGTTTATCATACGTCGAAAATATTTATATCCGTTGATAAGGCCAAGAAATATTTACGATTAAAAAGTATAAAATTGTAGAGAAAGTGATCTAAGCCTCGTGTGGATGTTTGCACCTGAGAAACGAGGGTGACAAGGCCACATAGGATTAAATCACTTACTTAAACATGTATCTAATTTGATTTTTCGATACGACATGTACGAGACGAGATTTGATATACGCTTACTTTTCCGTTAGTACGTAAATCGAGTCCTCGAGTATGGAGTGTCGAAGAATTCATCATTATGTAATTTATAAACGTATAGAATGCAACTATGTAAAAAGAAAAGTTAATTGATTTTCAACAACGTAATCAATTCTGTGACTACTTAAAAATCAAGATGTGGTAGATATTATATATAAAAATATTCATAGAACAGATGTTTCTAAAGGTTAAACTTGATTTACAAGGACATTGTCTCATCTGCAACTTGTACATTTATCTGGAACGTCGAAAAAGCTTTTCGTATATAAGCAAGAAATTGCAACTTTTTAATTTAGCGTACGATGTTTTTATTTTGTTCTATTTTATTTTATTTTATTTTGTTGCATGCAATTGAGCAATTGAAATATAATTTTATTGAGATGAATAGCTTCTGAACTAAGAGATATAAGAATGACATGCAATTGTTAAAATTGGAAAAGAATAGTGAAGATTTTTTTTCCTTAGCTAAGTGGCAATTCTTTTTAGACTCAGATTCCGTAATGATTTTATATAAACAAAACTATCATCTTTTAATTTAGTTGGAAGTTTATTTCTTACGGGTTTTAAGATATTTTTATGTACATCCCATAAAAAATCAATGATTTGCAGATTGGACATTTTCCTAGTTAGTATACGTCGCGTTATACAATTCATCTGTGTGTGCAGCTTCATTAGCGATTTTCAATGATGTTTGAGCGATAAAATGATATATAGCTAATGATATTAGTTAATGCGTTGTATTGGTAACTGTAAAATGAAATTTTAGTATTAAAACGAAAGCTGATAAATCCACTAATGAAGTCTGACAGCAGTTGTAATAGTGTGCATTAAAATCATGTTATTCATAATTACAAACATGACAGGATAAATTTAGACAAACATTGCTAATATAAAGTAACAAATTAATTCAAATGTATGCGCTTACGGATGATCGTCAAAATTATATGTTATCATTCTTCCGAAATTACAATGAGTCGTACTGGCGAGCATTTGTATCTTATATAATCTTTTTTCTTTGCGTATAAATTTTTTATAAATAAATACAAAAACTTGTTATAAGTTTTACTGTTTTGAATTGATTGATTGAAGCCACTAAAACATTAATTTTACGGTTTGATTGCATACACATGAATTAACGTTATCTATGAATAACTTGTTATCTAATTTTTCAATTTTTATGAAATTGTACAATCTAATAATATAACATAGTACGTTATGTTTCTCTTTTAAAAATAATCTGAAAAAGAAAACGTTAGAAGTGTTTTCTCACTGATTATCATATTGAAAACTTTTTTTTAAAGTTTAATCAATTTTTAATGCAAACTCAATTTCAAGCTTTTGAATTAATAACTGATTGCCATTTTTGAGCCACCAACTCATTGCGGCAGTAATCGTTGGATTGTCGTCAATACTCAGCTTCCTGTATATATAAACATCATTGTGCAATATGATCCAATAGAAAGAATGGTGTCAATGTTTTAAAGCCTTTATTCAGTGAATTAATACCGTAAATATTTATTAGTTTGCCAACAAAAAATGTCATCGAAAAACAAAGCATATTTTATATATTTAATAAAAACTCATACAGTGTTACATGAAAACTTATCGTTTATTTATTTGTTGAGAATCTAACCCTCCATCTTTTCGTTTTATTTTAATTTTAACGCGCGCGCGCGTGTGTGTATGCGTGTGGGTGTGTGTGTATCGTCAATGTTCTTGAAAGAATTTCTATTTCGTTACAAAAAAATGTCTTCCCAAAGCGAAGCATTGACTCTTTTCCCGAAACATTATTCAGACACGTTCCACTGATCAATTATAAAATTGAAAAAAAACCTATGACCCACCAGGAATAAATTACATAATATAAATAGCTCTCAATCGGCAACACTTTCCGTACAGAATGAGACGCGATAAGCAATCACACTTGGTTAGCTTTTCACTCGAAACGTAAAAGTAGTTTCATGAATTTTCAAGGTAGATCCTTGAAAATATATACAAGCTAAGAAGAAAAGGTCTGTCTTTAACAAAGAAAAGGAAGAAAAGAATTGACCGAAGCGAGCTATTAAATCAATCAAGGCAGAGTATGTTTGGTATCACATTAGTCGCGCACTATGTGGTATTGCAGTTTGCGGATGGCGCGCACGTGGTGTGTGTATAAAAGCTCGCTCGCGTGGGGAAAAAAAAGAATACAAATCGTCCGCGCGCAACTATCACATGCGCGCGCAGACCAAGTTGCTTCGAGGCTATAAATGAGGCCGCGCAGCGGCTCGTCCCCCCCAGAGAAGAGAGCCGCCAACGGCGAGCGCAGCAGCAACAGCAGCAGCAGCAGCAGCAGCAGCAGAGCAGCAGCAGCAGCATCGGCAGTCACATCTTTCGGCCTGCCTGCTTCATCAAAAGAAGGTGAGGCGCGGAGGAGGCAGGTGGACAGATGCGTGCATCAGTACACAGCAGCAAGTTGCCGAAAGCGGGGCCACTTTAATCCTTCGTATTCCTTACGATCATCGATTGTGGCGTCGCCGCATCCAGTCGTCGTCGACTCGAGGGCTAATCACACGCGTAGCTCAGCTGTTACAAGCTACAGCGACAAAATGGAGCAGAAGAGACTGTACAAGCTCGTGCTCACGGGAGGTGAGTTCTTTTTTCCCCGTCGTTTTCGCGTGTGCTGCGCACTTGCTCTATGTATCGTGCATGTTTAATGTCTAGTTCAGCTCCACCGCGGTCGCGGAAGTACGCGCTACCTGTGTATATATGTGTGTGTATATATATATGTATATATACAGATATACACACACACACGCATACATATATATTTGCGATAATTTCCATCGAGTAAGTCCACGTGCGACAACGTTCTTTGCTCGGCTCTTTCTTGCCGTGTGAACGTCGCGGTTCGCGTTATCGATCAGCCTACAAACTGTACGCGGAGGACACGCACCTGTGAGGCTCTCTGCCCGTTGCTGGACACATTTACTCGTCTATATTTTCGTTTTGCTCGTGCGGCAGAGGGTGCAACTCTCGGCTCACGGCCGCGGGAAGAAAAAAAGAAAAAAAAACGCGCACGCGTTATCGCGACTGCGTTCTATTTTCTTCTTCTCTTCGTCAATTTTCGTGCTCTCTATTTACAACGTGCACGCGGCTTTTAGCGTTATTACTATTACCGTTGCCGGCGACGAAAGACGAAACGGGCCGTTAAACTTCAGACTTGTCAATAAGCCTCGATCGCGCTTTTCATTTCTTGCTTTGATATGGCGTAGTGAGGATGTGGAACGATGTTAATCAGGGTGACAGGATGGCCAATCAACACGCGCAGATTGTTATTGCTGACACGACACCAATCGGACTCCAACCGCGCGCTTTCGCGATACAAAGAAGCAAACAGTAAGGGATGTGTTTCGGCGTTGCACAAAAGACCGCTTCGGGCCCCCACTCTCAGGCTTATTCGGGGGAGGAATTCCCTCTTTTACTAGTGCCTACGCTCTCCAGCATAACTCTCACGCAAATAAACAAGCGTTGCTCTCTCTCTCTCTCTCTCTCTCTCTCTCTCTCTCTCTCTCTCTCGCTCGTTCGCTCGTCCATCGCCACTATCGCTCGATCAGTTTTCAGCGGCGAGTTTTCCCTTTTCCATTGCTGCCTAAGTGCTCGCCACGAAAACCCATAGGCGGGGGGCTTCACGTGGTCGGTCGATGCCTATGCCATTGGCGAACCTTCGTCACCGCCAATTGTTCTCAACGTCGTAACGATCGCGAGCTTTAACTTTTGTCCTTGAGTGAATGGACCAACATAATGGATCCTCAGTTCCGGCTCCTGTTATCGTTGTCAAAGTGCGCAAAATCGCTTCCCGCTGTGAACACTTGCGTTCCCCGGCTGCACTCTCTCCATTTGCTCGAAAGCTGATTCTCGGGGCGATCGGCATTTTGCCGCCCGAGTTATTCTCGTGTGGCTTCCACTGTCATTGCCACAGCTTTGACATTTCGTGATTACGCGCTGTGGATGGCCAAAGCGCTGCCCAAAAATCTTGAGCCCCAGCTGATTTGGTCGCTCCTATTGTTTCAATGCGATCGAGTATAACGTTCGTTGTCTTCGGCAGATCTTTTTCTTTTGCCTGTTTCCGTGTAGCAAAGGTGCATATCACGCGATTGACGATCAATTATACGACCGAGATCCTCCACATTTCGGCGCAGCAGTTGGCACTTTTTCCGATTGATTTGTCAACTGTTCCTCGTTGCCACGCCTATTTCCTCGTCCTTTGCTTTTATAAAAACATCATCGAGCTCTACGTGGCCACTGAGAAAACTAAACATAGTCATTAAAGGCACATGCTGCCTCCACGGTGACGTAACCGTCAGGTATTTCCAACAATCCAACCCAATAAGCCCTTGCTCTCTCTCTTTCATTTGCAGACTGTATGCAATGCTCACAATTTCCAATCGTGCCCTTATCTCTCGCAAACTGAACAAATCACAAAGGCCCATTGCAAAGAGTCTATACTAATTGTGTGTGGTACCATTGTTTCACAGTGATAAAAGAAGGATACGCGAGACGAGAGTAAACTTGCCATGTCAAAATAGTCGGAATGGTTCGTGCTAATCGAGCGCTGCTTGGCTTAACTTGAAAACGATGACACCGAGAAGGAGGCATGCCGTACGTTTCCGAATGGAACGTTATTGCGTCGCGTGCTTCCCGGATCCGAGGATCGCATGCCGTGGAACCTCTCCGCCTCGGTCAAAAGAACGTCTCGATGGATTTGCCCCTTCCTCTCTCGTCACCGGCGAATTAAGTGTCAATACAACAAAAATTACTACGCGATAAAAGGCTACAAGAAAAACTCGCGAGCGATAAGAGCGCGTGCGGGCAATTAGAGTCGAACAAGCAATATTTGATAGCGGCGACAAGTCAGCGGACTTTGATAACGATGGCCGGGGTTGGGGGGAGGGGGAGGGGGATCTCCGCGCAATCTTGCGCAAGTCACCTCTCCGCGTCAAGGCGCATGGAAATACGGGCGGTTTTCGTTCCTCTGGCGTACGATCATCGGCATTCGCTTGTCGCATAGTTCTCGCGTGGACGTGTTTCTCGGCTTGATGCGTATACGTGATTTTTCGAGTGGACTAGCTGACGCGCGGGTGCGTCGTTCGCGAGTATTTTTACACTCACTTATACGACACCTTTCGAGGCAACTGTTCCATTGCCGAGCGCAACTCCACGTATATGCGCACAGTTACGATGTATTACGCGCGGCAAATCAGCACGCTTTGGTGAACTGCAATGTCGATCTGTTTTTGTAAAAAGCGCGACTTTGCCCGGAAAGAAATGCAATTACACCGCTGACGTGTGCCGGTAATACTGATGGTCCAATCGAAAATACATTCGTTCCAATGCATTCCAGTGCATCTGAAGCTCGAAATAATTTGTGCTGACGTTTCGTCGCCGAGCTTTTATATGTTTGCAGCATTGTCGCCGAGTCTTTCGTGTCGATTATTCAAGCTTCGGTACGCAACGAAGCCTAACAAAGCCTTTTTAAATAGATTTTTATTCGAGGCAGAGAAAGCTGTCGGTCGCTCCAAAGTCAAGTACGCGAAAAATGTGCAGCGGTGTGTGTGTCTTGAGTAACGAGCCGGCGCCAACGTCGTGTCAGCCAGCGAGCGTCACGTAATGCCGCCGATTATCTTTCGCGAATGTTTCAGAGTAAAAAAGACAATTAAACCCGGTGTCATGAGAAGGGCAGAGAGAGAGAGAGAGAGAGAGAGAGAGAGAGAGAGAGAGAAAGAGTTTGGCTTGCGTGGACACAACGATGCTTTGTAACCGAAGATCTTGATGAATGAACACAGTACTTCGTTGTTGTGGCTTGCATGCAAGCGCTTAGATTTCAAGTTTCATTCTCAAAATTTCACTCTCTTACTTTGACCGTAGTTACGCACATCTGACCACACAGTACAGTATGATTCCAATAGTTTACAAACAGCATTCCAGTAGGTTTCCAATCCGAGTGGCGTAACTGGTAACACCTCGATGTTGATTCAATTGGCGACTCTTCGCGTACAGACACGCGTCGTATATTCGTCGCGATTAATATCATTGTGTGTCACTCAAGTTTTATCGGAGAGTTCTGAATTCTCACACGCTCTCCCTCTTGTCGCTTCGTCAATACATCATAATCGCGCGACGCTGCCATTGACTTCCTCGATTGTTTTTTCGCTCCCTAGCTGTGTTCGTTGAATTAATGTTGACAAAGGTGTCCTCAATTTGTATTATACTCTGCCAAAAGCTCACGAGTTCTTGAGCAATCAATTAGCCAACGTGTCGTTGATACGATAGAAGCAGACGTTTAGACTTCTATATAACGGATAAAACAAAAATATCAAAATACAAAAATAAAATCAGTTATATTTGCCAAATCATTGCTTATGCTTTTCCATCATTTCCTCATTTGCGGCATGCTATGTAGCCTTTGGAGCCAAAGGGACTCTTGTGGCCGATGGGGGGTAATAAGTTCCACCCAACTACGTTTTATGTATTTTGAGCTGTCAACCTGAATCCTAATAATGGCTTGCTCAATAATCAACAGATAATTATCAACAAGAGCAATATTCCAAATCATACATAATCTATGGGCTTTTTCAAATCCGAAAAATGTCGAATAGAACTTGAGATATTGCGGTCTTAGTTTCCGTTGACTGCCATTGTTTGAATCTATCTAACTTGTTCAATTCTGAAAAAAAAAAACGAATTAACCGTGCATTATTAAATAAGCCACCATCCAATTTCGTGTTCTTCAAGACAAAATACATAAAAATCATATTTGTAGCACATCACAGTGAAATAGCATTATTAACAAATTAGTTGTATAATATAAGTAGATATAAAAAATTTTAACGTGCGCGAAACGCGAATTTTGATGGCGGTTTATCTAGAAATCCGGTTTATCAAGAAATTTATATTAGTTATAAAGAAATTAAATGAAAACATTGGTTGATTAATAAATTAATTATGGCCATTTAAACAATGAAATTGTTAATAATTAATAAACTGTTGATTATTGAGTAAGGTACTATTGAAATTCGTGTTTAAAACAGCTCAAAACATACAAAGTGCATTTGGGTAGAATTCGTTAACCCCCATGGGCCTTTCGGCTTCTAAACTAATGTAGATAATCAAAATGCACGAGCTTATCTTTCTAAGTAATTGCTTGTTTTTTTCTTTTTCACAGGACCATGCGGAGGCAAAACTACCGGACAGACCCGGCTGTGCACGTTTTTTGAGAACCTGGGATGGAAGGTGGGCAGATTTATTCAATAAATTATTTTGCGCGTCTACATCTATAGAGTAACTTGACTTTTAATTAACGAATGTTTTTTAAAGCTAACGGTTCATCATATAAATTTTGTCTGCAATATTATTAACGTTTTTGACAAAACATATCAAAGTTCGTCATCTCTATTGAAACATTAAAATAGACAAAAAAAGTAAAAGAAATTGATTGAACCTCTTCTATCTTCTGCTACCAATTCTGCTCATTGATAAACCCTTTTTTAATTATCTACTTTTTCGATATGCAAGAGCAAATTGTCTTCGAATTGTTCGCTGTTCAAGAAAAAGATTCTTTATAGGTATCAATATGCGGTCGTATAAACCAATAAGACTGGCATAATATACTTGTAATATCATTCAAGTATTTTAACAGGCAGTGACGATAATTACACGTCAGATGTGTGTAATTATTGTGTTCAATAGACATCTAACTGTTGATAGATGCGAACAGAAGTGAGAGAGTGCTTCTTATCAGGCACACGAGTCGTTGTACCTTGAGGAAAAGCTCTTATTTTTGTTTATTAACGCGCATTGTGAAACCTGCCTTGTGAATTGTTGATATGCATCACGGGAAAATTCTTCCGCGCAGATATAAGCACCTAAACTTTCCGTAAATGCATATGCAACAATTATCATCGCGGGACTTTTCTCGTTATGACATCGTGTCAATTTCAAACCGATAATCAACAGATCTTACAATGGAAGATTATTATAATAGTGAATCATTGATTTGTTTGAAACAGCTATCAACGCCAACTTTTCCGACGTCGTGTTCATTTTGTTGATGCTTCGCAATTTTTATGGTATTTTTTCGCAGTGAATGCCAGGTGACAAATACGTCGTAATAGCATCGGCGACGTATCATCTTGAGAGAGAAAATCATCGCTTAACAACCGTGATAAATTAAAGATATTGTTTGTTTATTCCAATTTGTTTCAAGGTTCGGTTTTTATTATAATTTATAGCCGATGTTAAATATCGTCTCTTAAATTGAATATTTATGTTCGATCACTGAATAATTCCAAGCTTTGTTGGTCTTTTACTTCATGTTCTTGAAAAAAGTGAAGCATGAAAATTAATTAGCTGATTGTGCAAGAAGACCGCACAGTTGACATGAACCTTCAAAAATATATTTTTTTATTTGTTTTTAAAGTAGTTATTTACGTAATTTCGGATCCGAAATCATTAATTGTAATTTTTTCCATTATTATGTAACATCTTTCAAAGTACGTTAAAAAAATTATGTTAATCATACCTAAATTATTATTATGTCTATCTGTTTCTTGCTACAAATTTTTTTTCATTTTAACAATTCAGTACAAACATTTTTTCAGTCACGGTATAAGTCTCATAAACTAATAATAACATCTGAAATGATGATAAACGTCAAATTCGCTGTAGTATCTATGCAAATCTTATTGGTTTATGCTCAATTGAAAAATGTTGGATACAATTTCGTCATGCCAACGAACAAAAATGCAAAAGTCTTTGCTTGCCACTTTTTTCTGGCAAATAATGTTTGAGCAATGAAAAAAAAAACGAAAAAAAAAAGAAAAATTGGTTTTGGGGTTGTCAGCTTCGTTGTGGATTCGATAGAGTGGTGGTTGTCTTCTTTTTCAGGTGTTCCGTGTCCCCGAGACAGCGACCGTGCTGCTCAGGTATGCCACAATTACACGCTAACAAACTTCGCAATTGCCTATATTGACCGGGAATTCATATCCCGCATTATCGCAAAGTAACAACTATCTTTTATTTGACAAACAACATTTTCAAAATTTGATTCTTTCTTATTCATATTGTCAATATTTTGACATAACTTCACATTCTGAAATATTTGATTGAGAAAATACGCTCAAACTTAATCAAAATCAACATTAAACAAAATTTGTTCGATTCAATTGTATCCAAATAATGGTATCGTCGATATTCCATCGACAGATTATACTTTAAAAAGTAAGATTTCTTTGTATCTGAATTTTTTTGTTTTCAAACAATTATAAAATGAAAAATAATGTTTTTCCCGCTGCCTGTTGATTCTATCGGATGAATATATATTTTCAATTATTTATAAAAAGTTCAATGTTTCGTTAACGTCTAAAACTTGTAATACATAACTGATTTTGACAAATAATCTTCTAGTAAATTTTGTTATTTAAAAAGTAAGAGCTATTCCGAAATAAAAACAAATAAAAAAATGTTAATTAAGAAGAACCTTTTAAAACAAAATCACATTTAGGGATACAAACATTTCCGGTCATAGATTCATCATTCGTCTGCTTTTTCGATTTCAGTGGCGGTATCAAATTTTCAGACCTGAATGCAGAGCAGGGTAAGTTGATTTTTCCATCCCTATTCTACTCGCGGCTAGAAATGACAAAAGTATTTCCCTCGGCTTATCTATATATTCAATATTTTGACGAAACGTTTTTACACCGATCACTCTTGCCTCAGAGAACTCATAAATAAAGAATATAAATTGCTGTTGCGACACTGCTACACATAAGCACAGTAGCCGAATTTTTCCCGGATGTCTCGCATATTTTCCAAAACTGAAAATAGTTTGTTATAGCCGCGTTTACCAATACACCAAGTCGATATATTAAGAAGTCGATAAGATCACACACTGGGTAAAATAAGAAATGGCTTATAAATAAGCGTGTGCTACAGAATTCGCGGTGTTTACGGTATTGTAGTAGAACAGTGTTTGCTAGTCTGTGAATTTTTGCATTTTGTTATAATAAGAAATTGTACAAGGAAAGCTCTCGCCCAGTTTGGGCGATGGTCGGTTGCCAAAAACTACGCGTTCGGTACGGCCGTCCCCTCCGATTTTCCCCTTCATCTTTTTTTTTTGTCGACGTCGTCACGTGGCTAACTATTGCAGACACTTTGACGAACGAAAATCGCGAGGATTACGTGAATTCGCAAATGGAAAATCTCTTACGTATCGATTACGTGAATTCGCGGGCTCGTTGTACATTAAAGCTCGATAGTCTGGCGGCAACTGTTACAATTGAATTTGAATTGATGTGTACCGATGCCGAGGCACTTTATTGCTTGAAATTGCAAGCGCTCGATTATGCAATGTCAATTTTCTTCTGGAGCCGATTGCAGCGCAGCGAGAATTCCTCACAAAGCGACTGCGGCGAGTATAGGCATTCGTTGGGGCGTTCGGCCGATTACGCAAAGCTACGCCGAAGAAAAAGAAAATGTCGACCTTGAACAGTCGAGCGGAGCACATTGTATTACACTCGCTGGGTTTCCGGTACAACGGATTGTTCTTTCTATTGGCTTCCTTTCTTGTACTGCGCGCCGCGTGAGTCGTGCAAGTGCGAAGGCGAGCGATATTAATCTCGACAATTCGATTATGCCTTCGACTGAGTCTCGAGAGAATATATCGAGTTGAGAGAACAATTGCTGTACCAGTTTGATGCGAGAACCGCCAAACGATCATCAAAAATTACCCTTTCGAGGTTCTTGATTTACCGTCGTGACGAATTGGAAAAAATAAAGCCCAAGTTTCGCGGACTAAAATAGTTCCCGTTTGAGGTTTCTCAAAGTGGGCTTTCAATGAAAATGGATTGCTCCTGTCTGGCTTGTAGCCATCGAAAAAGCGTGCAGAGACCTTAAGCCACAACTAGTTGACGCCATCCCTTCAGCATTGAGCTGCACACTTGACAATCGGCGCGAACAGTGACGTTTGATTTATATACGGCTCTTTTTCATCGTCAAATTGGAAAATCCATTGGTTGCTCGTCGCTCAAAAGTACTTGCGTCAACTTCGCCGAACAACCTAGATTTCAACTGAAATAGCCTAACTGATGTACGATCTGTGCGGCTACTAATCAGCTTGATTCGCCGCGATGACTTACCATTTGATAAACGAGCAGGCTAACAATTGGTCGCACCTTCCGCACTCGCGTACAGTCGATCTGCTTTGGCGAAATTTACGCCCGGAAAAGTGTTCGCGCATCGAGACGACGCCGCCCGCAGGCGGACCACCGTATTATTTATAAATTTTTCGAGCGACGCGCCGCTTACGTAACGACCGTGGCGTTCGAGAAGAACAAAAAAAAAAGAGAAAAAAAAAACGCACGACAACTGCAATTAAGCGTGTGTCCACCCCGGCGGAGCGCTCGATTGGCGCACTTGCCGCTGCTCTCGTGCGACACACCCGCGTCTCGGTAATTGACGCAACACCCGCGCGACTTGTTTACCACGCAACAAGCGGCGCGTCGTCATCCGCTATTTGGAGCTCCTCCAAAGATCGCGCGCGCGCCTTTCGCATTGTTTCTCTGCGGGCCGCTTCCCGCGCTAAGCCGAGACCAATCGCGCCGCAGCGAGCCGTTCCTCGAACGCGCGCGCGCGCAACGGCTATTTTCGGCGCAGCCGGCCCGCGAGCGTCTTCTCCTCGCGGAGCCGCGAGCGTCGACTGGAACGCTCTCGCGGACTTTATTGTTTGCCACGGCCGGTCGCGCAACCGCGAAACCCTTCGGCCCCGTCGCCGATCCACCCGCGCTACGTTTTCGCGCGGTAGCGCCGCGATTGACGAAGATTCGGATGATACCGCTCCCAATGGCAAACAGCGCGTCGCGTCGAGAGGCGTCCAACGAGTCCAATTACGCGTATGTCGCGTGGAACGCCGGGGAAGTGAGGCGAGGCGAAAGCTCGTTCGTTCGTGCGTGAGACAGCTGACGGGGGGTGAGAAATTGACGAGCGCTTTGCATTCAAGGTCGCGAATCGATGACCAGCCAACTTCACGGCCAGTGTCGCCTGAACCCGGAATATTGTCGGGCAGACCTTGTTACGTACTGGCTGCGTCCGCAGTATCCGCGCAATCGAAATGCATCGGCTCCCGACTGAGCGACGTCGGTCCATTTGTCGAAATTCACCTCAAACTACCTTAAGTATAGTCATACCAACATCTGTAGCATAAATGACTGCTGAATAAATTGAAATTTTATGTATTCACATTAATATTGTTTTAAAAAATTATTGTAATAATTTCATATCATTTTTATACGTTGTAAAATAAATACAAATTTTCATCTTTGCTACATAATCTTTGTTTCAAAAAAATTTATGTCGAGTATAATGCTTTTTGATATGTCAATGTCACTTACATTTACTTTGCCATTAAAGAACATTTAAATTAATTATTTATAGGACTCTTCAACATTGTAATATTTTATTTGATATAATTCATATTATCTTAAATATCATAATAATAATTATTAGTCCTTCATTAATGATTATTAGTAGCAATAATTATTACGACTTTTATCAAACCATAAATGTAAGAGATAAGTAAATGAATGTATATATACATTTATTTACTTACCTCTAATTATTTACTAAATAATTTTTGTTAAATATCGATGTAAATGTATGTCATTCATGCTACAGAGGTTGGTATGGATTCTTTGCTCTTGTCCAACAAACAATTCTTAATCTCAGTTCGGAGCGGCAATCAGCCATAGATTCGAAAAAAGCATAGTGATACCTTGAAAATGCTCGCGTCTCGACACCAGCTGCCAAGTTGCAGTTACAGAATTGGCAATCATCGTTAGTTTGCGAGATAGTCACATTGACAATTAAGACTCGTGTCAGAACGACAATCATTTAGCCAACCACTGCATTTCGTCAAATTAATCCGGAAAAGGGCGAAAGCTAGCACAGAGTTCCAATTGAAAGCTAGAGAATTATTTTGTGCGCAGTTAGCGCGAAGTCTAATCAACGTTCGCCTTGCCGTCGCAGCGCACACGTACGGACGTATTTGCGACTTATTACAATACGACCGAGGTCACAGATTTTGAGGCCTTGCAAAAATCGCTCGGCTGAATTATGGCAAATTAAACTTCGAACCGATTCGCGCGCGATTTTTCTTGATCAGTTTCTGTATAACGAGCAAACGCGATCCTAACCGACGGTAGCCCGCTGTGACGGCGATTTGCCAGGCTGCGTTTCGGCGACTTTGAAAGTGCCGGAAAAGCGCGCGCTCGAGAAACCGCACTGCTGTCCGCTGCGCGCAGCGGGCGAACAAGCGCACGTACGTGCTGGGCGCGCGAAAGTGAATCGCGCGAGCGAGCCGGCGCCGCCGCCGCGGGAGCGCGGTCAAGGTCGAGCAAGGCCGTCGCGGTGAAAGAGAGTATTTAACGGACGGAAATGCCGAGCTTGTCTTCCTTTCTCCCGTGGACGTGATTCGGAATTGTTAGCGAACGAACAAAAGATCGAGGAGGAAGAAACCAACACTAATGATTTGTAGCTGAACCGCTGGTCGAAGATTGGAAGAGTTCGGCGAGAACCGGAATAAAGTGGCCGATGTTCCTTTCGGTTGGTTCTTACGAGGGTGAGTCCAAGTAGCGTCCATCGCAAAGTCGCTCGTCTCTCTCCTTTGCACGCGCCAGTGTAACGCTATGCCCTGCCGAGCTTCGAAAAACCCCTCTCGTTTTCTCGGCGAGAGAAGAGACGCTTGGATTTGTGGTCGATCGAGCAGTTGATTGTGTTGCATAAGCGCTATGGTATTGTGCCGTATACCTAGATCGCAGCGCATTTTCACCAGTATGGCCTTTCAGCGGGAAAAGAATTAACTGAGCTGTCGCGTCTCGTCGGGGCTACAATGTCATCCAGCTTGAAAATCAGGTTCGCGTAACGGTACGCGCGCGCGCGCGTAAGCGGCTTATCGCTAACTCGTTTTATTGGATAATCAACGTTAATTATCTCGCAAACTTGATGTGCTCGCGATTATCCGGCTAATGAAACGTGATTTGTGACTTTACACGCTTGGACACGTGAATGTGAATTACGAAGCAGGTGGCTGGGTTTTTTTGTTTTGTTTTTTTTTTTTTTATCGCGACGGCTTCTATTTTAAACCGAGAGTAAAAAAAATCCGCTCGTGCTTTAATGAAGTAATCAGCGTCGTCGCTGGCGATTCGATAATACTATTGGATGTTCAATTTGCTCCACGGAATAACGAAGTTATAATCAGTGTTAATGCAAAGGCAATAAAAATGAGAAAGATTTTCTGTATGAAAATTGACTTTTTCAACGTTATTGCATTCTCGATTGGACATTCGAACAGAACAAGAATAGCTAACTCAAACTAGTCAAAATCCACCGATTCATCCCAACTACATCATCGGGTTGTAAATCAAATAAATAGCCCAAGTGTGATAATCAATTACTATCCTGCATTAATACGAAAACCCGTTTGGACACTTTCGCGGTTTCGCCTTGAACCTTCGATGTACCGGTCGATCGAACTTATATCTCTCGTCAACAAATTCTTTTTGTTTGTTTGTTTGTTTTTTTTTTTGTTGATAAAATTGGATTCATGCCGGATACTATTTTTGATTGGCGAGGACGTTGTAGGCGGTATAAGACGACATCGAACGATCGACAGGGCCAAGTGTCGAACGGTATTTTTTCGGCGTCATTGAAATTTGTTTACGATCTATACTTTCTTTTCCACGTATACTTGTTGCTATGTCGAGGCATGAATTGCGCTCGAGAGGAAAAAAAAAGCGAATGCTTTATTTTAATAGCAGTTGCGCAACCATATTCCTTGTTTACGCTGTACAAGTAATTTTGGATTCTTTGGCTGACGTGTGAATATACCGAACAGGGATATAAGACGTTAGACATGCCGTAAAGTTGGATATAATGACATCGCTAGTTCTGGTACACACGCTTATGTTATAGATTTGACGTAGATAGGAAATAAACGTAAGATAGAGTAGAGATCAGTGTGCGACGGCGATAAGTTCATTGACTGACGCGTCTGCGTTGTTGTTGCAGCATTCAAATTTCAAGAGAACTTGCTGAAAACGATGCTCCAGATTGAGAACTGCTTCTTTCAACTTGGCGAAAGCCTGTCAAGAAATTGCCTTATTATCTGTGATCGTGGTGCCATGGACGCCTCTGCATGTGAGTTTCATCCACGTTTCACATTGTTTCAATTTGCACACGATCTGTTGTGCTGGCAGGTGGGCGTTGGTGTACTTTTTCCATTTGTACTATTGTACTATTCGCAAACGGTCACGGGAACAATATTTCAGTAATTTCTTTGGGGATTGACGCACGCGTTGCTATTGTCCGTGATGAGTTTGATATCTGGTATCCGCGAGGTCACGAAAAAGCGAATCGAAAGTTTCGCTTTCTCGCCAAGGACAGTTTTTCCGTCTGGTGGTGTAAGATGAAGCAGACACTTTTTCTTCAGATTGTCTGTCGACATTCGATATATCGAAAAGAAACGAGAACAGCGCACCCATCGGACGACAATAAAACGTTACAGGGCAGTGAATAAGAAATATTGTTCCCTCGATGAGAGCAAAATCGATGTTCCGCAAGCGCGTTACTTAAAAAGATGTAACGCGAAACGCATCGCGTCGACAACGTGGATTACGAGTAGCTCAAGGTAATTCTAACCGTACATAGTTTCATTGGAAAATTGGATTTAATTACTTGTCTCTATGACTCGGCCTATCCCTCATTTGTCCGAACGCGATACGTGACCAATGCACGGCTGTAATTGCAAAAAGAGAAAATCGTTTGATCGGCGACTTAAGGCAATGGCCGCAGCGCTCTCCTTATGCGCACGGCCTCGCGAACCGCTTTCCGCAAAAAGAGCGCGCGAGCGCCTAATGCAATTTATTATCGAACAAGCTACCGAGCGAGGGCAAAAAAGATCAGCCGCGGCAGCTGATTGATCGCGGACACCTTCGAGAAATGTGGCGCCCGAATAATGTCGAATCGTCCCAACCCAACCCTTGCAGTTATTTCGAAAGAGAAGTGGGAGCTGATGATGGCATTGAACAACTGGAACAACGTGGAACTGCGCGACAATCGCTACAACCAGATAATCCACATGGTGTCGGCAGCCAACGGTGCCGAAGACTTTTACTCGACAGAAGATCACGCGTGTCGATCCGAGGGTATCGAGCTGGCACGCGACCTGGACTACAAAGCCGCCTCGGCTTGGGTCGGCCACCCCTACTTCGACGTGATCGACAACTCGCAGGATTTCGAGAGCAAGATCTGTCGGATGATCGAGGCCGTCTGTCAGAAGCTCGGCATCGACACCGGTGATCGACTCGCGGCCAGTAGTCGCAAGGTCAAGTTTCTCGTCAAAGGACCATTGCCACCCGATACTGCCTTTCCGCCCTTTCAAGATTTCGATGTCGTGCATAATTATCTGCAGAGCAACAATCCCAAGACCCAGGCCAGGCTCCGGAAGCGCGGACAGAAAGGTGACTGCTCGTTATACGCGAACGATTTACAATTCCGTGAATTCAATGAATATGAAGGTCTGCCAATGCACGTTACTTCTTCATTGCGCGTTACTTCTTCGGTCAATTGCACGTTCAGTTTCTTAATCTGAGCAATGATATCGTGAAAAAGTTGCATTATTAAGCTCACGGTTTTTCAACAAAATTCACCGATCGCGTTAAAGTTATTTTAAAGAATAATAACGCAGTTCTGAAGTTTGAATTAGCAGCGATGTAAACTCCAAGTTAAACGCGAATGACATTGTCCTGTTTTTAAAACAAATATCTCACATTGACCAGCTTTGTAATACTAATGACTCTTGTCTATTCAACACCAATTCGAAAATTCTATTTCCGACGATTATTTGGATTTTAGGCCACTGGTCTTATATTCACACTCTCAGGCGGCCGAAGATGTGCGGTCAAGTAATCGAGGTCAAGACACAGCTGACACACAGAGACTACTTGAACATGCTGGCTCAGCGTGACGATTCGCACTTCACTATTTTCAAGCACCGTCGCTGCTTCCTCATTAACAACCAGTATTTCCAGTTGGACATATACCGAGAACCTGCTCATCCTAGGTACGTTTCTCTATCTCAAATGCCGCAAAAGACAGAGCTTTTCTTTTATTAGTTTCCTTTTTCCTGCAATTAACAGGTGCAAAGGCTTGATGCTGCTCGAGACTTACACTGCGTTGCCAAGTGACAAACTAAACACGATACTGCCTCAGTTTTTGACGATTGAGAAAGAAGTTACCGGTACACCCGAATACAGCATGTTCAACTTAAGCTTACGCGAGGACTGGACCAAAACCAACAAGTACTGTCACAACTTTAATGGTAACTCTTCGTGAAAGCGAACGGATCGAGCCATATTTATATACCTGCGATACTAAATTTATTGCAATGTTTCTCGCAGGTTCAGTCAGCACGCCGAAAACCAATCATCTAAGTGACATTAAAAATCCACTAACTAAAAACGGAATAGACGCGATTGGCACGAGTATAGCCAAGCAAAATGGAACAATTAACGGAGTCCATCACGACGCGACTATCTGCAAAAATGGGACGGCTAAATCATTAGAGAACGGCCAGCCAAACGGTAAAGTTGAAGCTAAGTGCAGTCTGAAGAGTGATGCAATCACGGAAAACAAAGTGAACGGAAAGATCAATGAAATGAATCATCATCAAAAGGATCTTATTAATGGCGTAAATTAACGATCGCATTACAATTATACCTCGTGAATTATTTCTGCAATAATATAGGTTTCATTAAAAAAAAGCGTGTTAAATACTGACTAATTTCAATCGCTAGTTCAATCATTGAAGTACATAAGTCGAAAAGACAGAAAAAAATCATTGTAGATAATAAGAAATTGATTTTTTAATCCGTTCTGCACGTTATAGCGACGTCCCGCCAATTTTACTGCAGTATTAGTGCGAGTGTAGGACACTGGTAGATATAAAATAATTTTTGTAATCTTTTGCCATGGATTTTAGTTCAATGCTCTAGATTGTCCTCATTTTTATTAATTTTAGCTAAGCAGCGAGACAAAAATCATTGAAATCAATTTATAGAAATGTTCCTAAGGCTATAGCAGATCATTACTTGCATTACGTGTAAATTAATATTTTTAAAATATAAGAGCGACGTCGTTTTTAGCTCCTTTGATTCAGGAGAATCCAAAATAAATGAATTGAAAGAAAATCAGTTAGTAACTAAAAATACTATTGTCAAAATAATTAATTTATGAAAAAATACTTTTTAGGCGCAGATGATAGCTAATGAATGCGTAAATTCACATCTATATTAAAGTATTTTACTAACGTAGAAACGTCAATAGAAAGTTAAAATGAGTAAAAATTTAGAATTAGCATATCACATGCTCCAGCCATGTCATTTGTTTTTCATGTGACTTTTCGATTTATTTCTATGTAGTATGTTAATGTGATTAGAAAAAACAATCACACTAGCGAGGATTATTGACCGCTGAAACATGGAAGATGCATGTTGAATAGGACTAAATTTTCTAGTTTTAACAATGATAAGTCATGAAATTTAGCATATACTTGTGATATATATTTTATGAAAAAATAGCGTGACTTAATTGAAAATCAACTTTCATATCTTATTATTTGGAATCGTTTTCATTAATTTCAAACAAAGTTCAATGTTAATGTGTCAAAGAAGTAATGGACTGTCAAATCTGAATTGTTAAAATTTCAAAAAACTTTTTACATCCAAATTTTATTCAATATAAGTTTGGAAGGATTATTAATTGTATATTTATCAAACCAAATAATTTTTATAAGAGTAGAATACAGATCAATTTTTTTTTGGTAATTGCAACAGTTAATCTGTGTTTATGGTAATTTCTACCTCAAATATTTTTTATGAACTGTGTGGCAACAATGACAAATGAAAAATAAAACTTTCTATGAACTTTCCTGTTATAATATGAACAAAATAGACCAAGAGTTTTGAAATAAAAATTTCACTTAGGTGTACTTAATAATTCTGTATTTCAATGTCCTGATCTATTCAATATCAAATTTTGTGTAAAAACAAAATCTTTAATAGAACTGAAAATGTTTAAATCGAAGTACTACTCCTACCTTTGAGCTTGCTTAGATCAAATGGTCATAATGCAAGTGTCTTCAAATAGAATATCTTATTTAAAATTTTGCATTGTGTAATTATTTATGTACTTATTGTATATTAAATACACAGTAAATTTTATTACTTTGTGTATTTAATAAATGAATAAATTACAAACGCGATCATATCATGAAACCTGAAGACAGTAACTTCAATTGTACTTTCCACACATCAATTGGCAGAAACATTTTTTACAACACCTCAGACTGACATATTTCTGGAGGCAATTTTCAAAACTAAATCGATTTTTACTGAAACTTGCAAACTGAAAAAAGTTTTTACTCGAAGAATCTTTAATTTCATAGAGTCATATATGTGACTTAAAGCAACTTTTTATATATCGTTGAAAACAAAATGAGTTATTTTTTCTTTCAAACTCATTGCTGCCGCGAGTGAAAGTTTGCTATCTTATAAAAAAAGAAGTTTCAATTCAATTTTTGTTAATTGAAACGATAAATGCCACTTGTTAATGGCCATTTGAAAAATGTGCTGTGATTACTTTCATAACAATTATTAAATAGTGTTTTAAGAGAGAATTACACATACACAGTGTGAAACCAAAAAAATATCTTCTGTATAGCGTTTTTTCTGTGATGACTCAATCTGATGTATGATAAATAATAAACTATCACAGACCCTTTAACTTCTGGCAAGGACAACTGATGAAGTGCCTGTGAAGCAAAGAAAAATGAAAGAAAGAAAAACCAATATATTTTCAATGAATGTTGCAATGGAAATACTTGTCAAAAGTATGTACATACATAGTGGTGCATACAATCTAACTTTATATTGTAATTATAGTCATTAATAAAGTGTCGTTTGTCTGCTAAAAGTTTTGATCTTATATTCTTGTCTACAACCCTTTGGTTAATAAATTAATCAAAATTATTCAGTAGATCCCAAACATGGAAGAACTTTGAGAAAAGGGATATAAGTGGCAAAGGTTTTTAACGGAAGTAACTCGAGTAAATTGACGGTATACTTTATTTATCACTTTTTTTCTTTTAAAGAGAATCAGCAGAGTACATAAAATATAACAATGATAAAGCAGATTAAATAACATTTCTTATTAACATCCAATACATTATAGGATAAATGATGGAAGGAAAAACCTGACGGGTTTCAAATGGAGTATTATTTCTTCCAAGATAAAAACGTCTCGTTGTTAAAATCATTTGATTACAGTAGAACACTTCAACTTACAAAATTTTAAAGCTTGTCAAATGATTCTCTGTTATCTATATTTAAAATAATTATATCTATTTTTTTTGTACAAATCCATCTTCTCTGAAATATTTAATGAAAGACATTTATTAGCGACTAGTAATTTATGTCTACATTTCAAATTTTCCACAAAAATTAAAACATGTGATAGTAAATTTTAGAAAACGTCAAAATATCCATTAATTGTAATTGCTTGCAAGAATCACACAATTCTTGAAATCTTCTTCATTTGAAAAAGATAAAAATTGAGAAAAATATTCTAAAAAGTAATTCACTAAGATCATAAAACTATGTAGAAAAAAATCTACCTTTACTTTCTTTCGTCACTCTTTAACAATTTTTTACAAATAGGACGTTGATAGTACACATATGGAAGTATAACTTTTCAAGTGAATGGTAAATCACAATTGATCCATGTTACATGTTATATTTAAATACTTGCTTATCTAAGTTTCAACCCTACAATGACGGAAGCTACATTACACAAGAAGCCTCATATAATGCATTAAGTTGGAAATTAAATTTACCAATAATCATATATATTTAATTAATATCTAAAAACAATCATGTTCTTGAGGTGCAATGTAATATGAAAATAGCTGGACCCAAACTTTAACAGTGCATAACTTGTCCTCCGTCACAGAAAGGTTCTATGTAATATAACATTTTGAGGCTTGTTATGTTTCAAAAAACAGTTCTATACTGTTTTATCAGTCTAAAAAGTTTTCCATTAAAAAATATTTCAAATATCTGGAAACATTAAAAGAGCAAAATTCGATCCCAAGACAATTTGTTATAGAGTATATAATTATTTTATAATTTGAAGCTCCTTGTTAAGTTCTTGTATAGTTGTGGCTTAGTTTATAAAAAGAATTTCTTATAAACATAAACTTTCACAGTGACCTTGAAGATTACAGTGATAATTTATACAACTTTTAGGAAAATTCATGAACGATGATTGAGCTGACTTATAGCTACTCAAGCATTTTTGGTAAATTGCCTATATAACATGAAAGATGGTTGTACTATCTACTCATCTGTATTATGAAGAGTGCATCACTAATAATTTTTAATATTGACAGACTGAACATAGACACTTTTGCTTGTTACGTCCAAAGTAATTATAAACTGTTATTTTACAAAGACTATTAAATACATGACATTGGTTCACTTGGTTCAATTATGTAGAAAGATTCACTTCCAAAAAACAATTTTTTGATATATCTGAATAGTCAAAATGTTAAAGTTAACTTTGTCCTCAGACTACAAAAAGCATCTATGCTCATCACAATTGCTTTACTCATTTTATGATGCAATAAATAATAACTTGATAAATGTCTTAAATTTATCTACTAACTGCCTTAGCCTGTTGGGCTTTGTACATTTTCATAACTTTTTTTCCAGGAACAAGAGTTTGACTTAGGCCTGGTCTTTTTTTACGCTTGTGCATTTGGTTATTCTCTTGATCAACTTCCTCTTCTTCATTGATATTCACTTGTCCATTGTACTGTGTTTGACATATAAGAGTTTCCTGAGGAGTACGCATAGCTTCCAATTCAGAAGCTGTTCGGTGTAAATCAGAATCATGAGCAAAGGTACAATTGTGTCCAAATCGACATCGACCTTTGCGATAGTTCCAGCAAATCTTCCTGCCATTGATCATTTTTGTGTCATCTAGAGTAGGAGTCATCTTGACATGCTTTTCTAGAGTGGCAATCTTGGCTTTCTCTGCTTCAACAAAAGGATTACTGAAGACTGAAGTTTTCATTGTAGGTGCACTGTTGAAATCTGGTGTAGGTAATGGAAGCTTTTTATTGGAAGCAGTATCTTGTTGAATATCATCTTTACTGTCTTGACTGTCTTCCTCTTCTCTATCATCCTTTGAACTGATAAATGATGAAATTAGCTTGGAAAAAATCATTTAAATTTTTATATGTCTTAAATTGATTTTTATTACAACAGAAACTGTACATTTCGCAGGAGTAATATTGAGTATCAAAATTAATTTAAAGAAATATCTAATGAAAAGGATTTAAAAGTTAGGAAATTCTCGAATCCAAATACTCAATAGTATTTTTTGGAAAATCGTACAGTTTCAAAGTTACACGCTACGGTTCATTCGGCTTAGAAAGTCGTTGCAAGAGTAAAAAGATATGAGGGAGAAAGTCAGCACTAATTGTATGCAATGCAGAACAGAATGCCACGTTATATAATTTATAGCGACGTACATTCTTCATAATAATATAATTTTGCATTCGTTCCACTCGTGAAATCGACCAAACATATTTTGAAAAAGAGAAAACTGTTTAAAAATAAAACAAAAAATCCACGCTTGAACAGCTTTTAAAAGTTCGTAGAAGCTGATTATATACAACATGAATGCATGATTGTTTACTCACGAGTGAAGCACGTCGAAACACACAAAATCATTAACAAAACAAGCAGAATGAACATCTGCGGTCAACAGAGGTTAGAAGGAAATTAATGTATCTACGTATAAGTACGCTAGAAGGATGCTGCGTGGTAACATTATATACAAACAAACTTACGATTCGGATTCGGACAGCTCGTCACTGTCGCTATCGGAACTACCGTAGTCCGGTACCAGGGAAGCCATGGTTACTTTGTTTGTGATAAGTAGATAACTTTATATTGTAAAGGTGCGTGATAAAATCTACAGAAACTAGAATTAAATATGGGAGATTATCCCGTGCAAATTGACGTGTACGCCTTCACGGCGGAAGAGTGCCGCGACGACTGCTGGTTACTGCTTGCGGTGTCGTGCGCGCAGTGCGGCGCGGGGATCGTAGTCCGCCAACAACCAGCACACATTGAAAAGCTAAAAAGTGGGGATATTGTTGCCGAGTTGACGAATCTCCCATACCTATATATATATATATATATATATGTCTTATTGCGCGTAGCTGTACTGCGGAGATTCAATTTTTTTATCTTTAAAAATACGTCTCTAGTTTGTTCTTTACTATAAGAATTCGTGGAAGCTTTTTTTTTTTAATTCATACATTTTTTTTATTGTTAGCCCCATTGAAGGTCTGATAATTTTGTAGTATCCACGATACTAATGGTATGGACGATTTTAGAATCGATTGTGTGAAGAAAAATCTAAATGGGAAGCGTCGGAGATAATAATAGTTTTTTTCACTAAAAGGTTAGCATACTCGACGCGTGTGCCAAGGATAAAATGCACACGGTTCGTATTTACAATTATGCCGGATTGTAGAAATGCATAGGTACGAGAGCAAATATTTACAAAATTTTATTAGACACTTCGAGTAGACTTAATTAAAAGTGTATTTTTACAACGACATCATGTTCTCACAGCGTGCTCTGTTGTAATGTTACCCGGGAAAGGTAAACTATAACAATGACGATTGATGAAAAGAAAAAAACGGGTCCATGGTCGTATCGAGAATCAACATCAAAATGCCCAACAAAATCTTAAAAGGATACTTTCTCATCCTTTTTTCTGAGGGGAGGGGGCATAAAACTACGCCTCCAAAGTAATATGTCTAATTGGTAGACAAGCAGATTGTCAGATTTGAAAAACACCTTCATCTTTGATTTGTACTATGCAACTTTTTTCATCTACTAACTCTTGACTATTCCATACGGCGATCTTTCTTCGTCCGTTCTCCTTTTGAGTCATTAACAATCTAACATTTGGCACATTCAACCAATAGTTTCCTAGTGATGGTTTAATTTGAAGTACAAAGTTGTTTTCAGTCTCCTTAGATAAAAACAATCCTGCTTGCTGAGACCTCACAGTATTGACAATCAAAACCACAACCTGAGAGTGATTAATGATGTCTCTGCACATGACGGCGACGTTGCATAAAAGTGGATTCAAGTCTCTATTTGAAACAATTGCGCACAATACTGACAGTGAATCGACGATAATCAACCTTTTGGATGATTTACTTTGTTCTTTATCCGGCGACTTCGACAGGCTATAAAGTATGTTGAAAAGTTCGTAGATTTTGCAAATCTGATAAACTTTGATATTACTCATAACGTATCCAATCATCTAAATGAAAATTAAATGCTTATAAATGGATCAACTGAAACTGAACAATTTTAAAGATAGCAAATGCATTACTCCATCATCGCAATGTCTGGACTCTAGCATCATTTGAATTCGCGAGGCGCAGAAGTTTCTGCTGGCATCGATGTAGTGCACCACCGCGGAGCCGTTGGAAGTCGCGTGCATCGACAGCCAGTGACACAGTTGCGATTTCCCGGCTGAGGAAGACCCGCAAATTTCGTAAATTGTACCGCAACCCAATCCACCTTCCAGCAGAGCATCCAGACTAATGCAGAAAATGTATTTTTATCAATCATTTTACACATACCTTTTTCGAGTTAATAAATGACGTTACTTTTTTATTCCGGTTAGTATCTTCTGCTTGGATTCTCGCTCAAAGAGATCACCAGGATATGTTATTTCCCATCCGAATTGCGTGGAAAAATATTCACGTATTTCTTCTATTTCCTGTGAAATAATTGATCGCGTAAAATAGTAATATTTTTTGTCATGTATATGCAAAAGACGAGATAAGATTTTTCTTTCTACACAACGAAAATCGGACGTCGGACATACACGGAGGTGTATAAATAATTTAATTGTTTGTCATTAGTTTCTCAGCAGTTTGTATCTAGTCCAATAGGATCATTTACAAGATTTCTTAGTTTTACAAGTCCACGTCAAACAATCAATAAAAGTCCCTGCTTACTTTTTGAATGTTTTGGCGCAAAGTACAGCTAATTGCGATTCGTCTGGACTCTGGAATTTCGAAAGTACGATTTTTCTTTCGAATAGCGATAATCTTTCGATAGACGAGAAAAAGACATGTCGATTTGCGCGCAAGCTCCCTATAGGCAGCTAGCAAATAATATCACACGCGCGAAACTCGTTGACACAAAACATATCCTTGCCAAGTACGCGGGATAAATTTCAAACAGAGCAGACGATAGACAAGCAACATACTCGATTCGGAGCAACGTCCCGAAGAGCGTTTAACAACACCATTTTCAAATAAATACCTTGAAGGTCAAGCCAGTTTTTCTCATTAGTGCGTCGCATTTCTGCAGCATAAAATCGTAAACGGTGAGGATACCTTCGGAGTGCAATTTAGACACAATACTTTCGTTCATTAGTACTGGAAATACGCTCGAAATTAATCTTGCCATTTGCTTGCCAAACCTTTGACGCTACGTTGATGGGTGAGTCCGCGTTCGGTAAATTTACGTATGTATTTTACGAGCTGTACGCGTGGGCGATCTTGCAACACCTGCGTAAAGTCTGAAATAAAAATAAGAAAATTTTTTATAAGTATATGGATATGGTAAACAATCATTTGGGTTTCCAGACAAAAAAAAACATCGTTTTTTGCGTTTGCGCATTATGACGAAAATGTACTTCTGCTATAAGAGATATTTATAGTTACTGATAACTTTTGTGTAAAGGCTGCATGGTTAACATTTTAAAAGTGCTTGTAACAGACACTTATATCATGTAATTCCACAAGATTATAGAATTCCTACTTAAAAATTAGATTTAATATAATAATTTTAATATCAAAATTTCGATTAGTTACGTTTGAAATTTATACATTGCAAGTCTCGATAAGAGTAAAAAGTATTTTATTTTTTGTGAAAAAGAAGAAAAACAGTACTTATGAGCAATAAAAGCAACAAAATATATGTAGCCTAGAGTAGTATTGCAGATCACAACATGGAACTTGCAAAAACCGCAGACAACTAGTTCGCGAAATAAAATTTAAATTTGCATCAATACAACTCATAACTACGTAGTTCAGAAAGCGAGTGCGCACCAATTCATATAAACATAAACATAGCACACACATACACATACATGCATACACAGTGTAATAGAGAGCCGCTGATGACGATAGAGCGAGCGTTGATAGTGCGGCTAAATCCACGTGTGCATACTCAAGTTGAGAGCCCCTCCGCCGAAAACCCGCCGCGAGAGCAACGCCACTCGTGTTGCTTCGAAGATCGTCGAAAGACGAGGAGAGAGACACATTTATCGAAGTGGTTGTCCGGCGGCGACCCAGTTTTTCCAGGCACCGGACGAGAGCCACGTTTTTTATCATACGGAGTTCAATCGAGTAAATTATTGTTACTCTCGTTTTCTGTTACTGCCAAGACGTACGAAACGCGAGCATCACGAAGGAAGAACGATGACGAGCAGACTATTGAAAAGACAAGCCACGAGGAACTGCTGCTGCTGCCAAGCTGCACAGATGCGTAGAAGCAGCGCAAGGAAAATCCATATCAGTGCGAGACGATTACGACTCGCCGGCTGAATCGCAACCCGCCGCTGCTGGCGTAGAATATATGGTCAAGGTGAGTTGTCATTACGTTTCTTTTTTTCACGTTCTTTTCTCGTCGGTCTTTCTATTTAACATATATAATACCTTTTCTTATAACTGTTCTTATCCTCTCAGTACTGCTAACCAATAATACGTTGGCTTTCTTCGTCTATAAGCAAGTGTCGTATGCAAAAGAGATTTTAAATACGTTGCATACTGCAACTTTTAAGAAAACAGGCCCCTGCTGCCGGTTCAGTATACCGTAACTATACTAACATGTGCTTGACCGGCAAAAATGCCTGAATGGCGCGCAAGCCTTGAGCACATGGTGCGCGCGCGCTATACATTTCTATTCTCGATTTTCCATGCTGTGCTTTTTACTTCTCAGTTAGTCCGTCTTATTCATATAAGTAGAGATAACTTGCTGAATAGAACAGGGTAATTTGGTACATTTCCGAGTGTTTCATGTATTTCGGCGCGTTAATTATTTTTAACCTACGAACGTCGTTTCAAATTTGAATTTTCTATGGAGAAAATTCACAACGTTACCTCTTGTTAAACCAATCGTAACTTGAAAATTATGTAAAGTACCCGGCTACTTATGCAAATGGTAATGACGTAGTTTTGCATAAATTAAAAAAATGCAAAATTACGATTAAAACATTTAATATGAAAACAATAATAGAAAAAGAAGCGAGATTCGATAAAAAAAATTCCATTTTTTTCGCACGTTTGACAAGATAGAAAAGAGAAGCCTGGTAGAGCGAAATGAGATTGTTCAAATTTGACCCTCGAACCCACGTGGCGTTAAGGAAGCGCTGCTCTACGCGTTTGGATAAAAAGACTCGAGAAAAAATACCAGACTCCCTCCATCTTGAAAAACTGAAGAGAGCGAGCTTCGTGAGACTAAGAAATTCGCGCGTGTTTTCCCGCTGATTTGAAGGCATATTGTTAGTTGAATCTCGCAAGATTCGATCTTGGCACGTTATTTGTACAAGTGAAGAATTCAAGTCGTGTTTGTGAAAAACCAAGAAAGAAAGCAAGCAAAAGAATTGGTGGCCAAGCAAGCGGATCACGCCTGAGTCAGCGCCAGACCCTCCGCTCCATTCCTCCCCCCTCTCTCTCTATCACTCTCTCTCTCTCACTCCCTAAGTTTCTTTCTCGCTCTCTCTTTCTCTCTTTCTCACTCTTTCTCACTCTTGCTTCTCGCAGGCGGAAGTCGAGCCTCGGGCTGGCGCGAGCCAATCGGATCGTCGGTGACGGTCAAAATACGGTCGAGCATGATGGCCGTCGTTTCGCGGATGTGGCGTCGTTAGTTAGTCAAAGCTCGGTGAGCCGTCGCTGGGTTGAGGACGTTGGCTCAAGTATCAAAAGTGCGGGCTTGCTTCTTCCATCTGAAGAAGTCGAGGGCCCGGAATGCCATCGGCAGCTCGCAAGAAGCTGGGATGGCGGCGGCTCAAGCTCTGAGCCCCATCAGAACCACGCCTAGGTAAGTGCGCGTCTCTCTCGCAGCATATAACCGGGTCGAGTCGAGGCACGCACGTAACGCCAACATGGCCGCTGTCGGGCTTCCTTTGTGTGTGCCTCGCCGCTGCACAGCCCGCGCCCGTTTAGTTCGCTGCCGACCTGCCGAGCGCGAGGGTCGGCCGCCATTCCGCTTATAGTTCTATCGCGCGCGCTCTCTCGCATACTCTCGCAACGGCAGCGCGCAAGCAGCACACCGACACGCGAACTTGTATTCGTATTGCTCTTCATCTCTCTCACTCGCACCAACGTTCGGCTTGCACGCTCCCTCTCTCGCTCGCGCTCCCGCCGCCTCGCTCAATATCCAGAGCAGCCGCACGTCTGCTCTTTATTCGGCCGGGCATTGCCAGCTTCGATTATTAAACACCACACACTAAGTTTATGCCACGAGGAGATGGGATTTGCCGTGATTTCCACGACGGATTACGAGCAAACGTAAATATTTGCCTTGTCTCTGATCATCTTTTTTTCTTTTTTCATTTAACTTTTGTTTGGTTAAGGTAGTTTAATGTGTCTGTGTATGGGTGTGTGGTGGGAGAAACTGCCGGGTTATTCAAATTTTGTAAGCCGTGGTTGGAGTACACTTGAGCCAAAAGAGATTGTCTTTTTATCTTGAGCCTTTTTTACACATACGCCTCACCATCTCGTCTTGTCTGTGCAATTTTCGGAGCCGACGCGCGCAGCTCCGCTCTGCGGCGTCTACCGGCTCGCTTTTCGCAAGCCTGTTCGTTTTGCGTGATCGTCGCTTTTTTTAAACTATCTGCTGTTTACAAACTCGTTGTTGATTTAGCGACAACAATGCAGCTTAACAGGTTTTTGTTCTGTTTCTTTGAACGGCTCGGTTGTTTACCCAAAATAATTGAAGTTTTAGTGCTTTTTAGGAATATATTTTTTTAATTCACTAAAATAGTCAATAACTAATTAATTTTTAGAATTTTTCACTGTGCATTATTGCAAAAGAGCGTATAAATCACTATGATAAAAAAAGGTTTATTGAATATTATTGGAAAAATAGGCCATTATTACTTGATGAACTTAAACCAAGTATGATTACGTACTTCAATCAGACAGCATTAAAAGTATTTATGTCATGGTTTGTCTCATCATTAGTAAGAGAATCTGTAATTTCATAAAAAAAATCAATTAAAGTTTACTCATATACTTGTTGGATCAAATAATTATGTAAGCAGGCAATAAATTTGAGTTTTCAATCTATTACACATACAAAAATTTATAAACTACATAGGAATATATTGTTTGAGAAAATTCAAAATTGTCTAGCAATGTTTCATTGATTGTAACTTTGTCTCATTTAATACATTTTATGGATGTTTATCAATTCACAAAGTTAAGCAAGCTGGAATTACTCGAGGAATGGCAGAGAAACCCGGGATGCCATGGAGTATAACCATCTGAATTTTTATTTTTTCCAGTGTCATGTGTAATGAGTGATAAGCAAGGTGCGCCTACTTTGCCGCCCCTTACTGGGGGTGGAGGAAATAATGGGGGGAGCAATGGAGGTGCACCACAGCAAACTATTAGTTTGCAACAGGTCTTTGCCAATGTCCTTTCTTCAGCTAATGTACAACAATTTGTCCTTACCTCACAAGTTCCTGGTCTATCGCAGGTACTTTAAAACATTGAGTACTGAATGTTTTTTGGTGTCATTTATTTTCCAAGTTCAAATTTATTTTCTTTGGAATAATATTGGTGTTTTCATAGTTCATTTTTGGTATTCTCGAATTTACTTGACTTATTTAAACTTTTTGTATCTTATAAATTTTCAAATTACTTATTTTACTTATGAGACACATAACATTTTGAAAACTAGCATGAATAGTGACAAGTTTATTTTAATAATATCAATATTACAAACAATTGGTTGTACATTAGAGAAATCACACATTTTGCAATTTCCAATATTCTAGAGAATTGCTCATTAGTAGGAACACAAAGCACTTGCTTTGTCTGGTTTATTTGCTCTTTTGCGTATAGCACATACTCAGTCTAACCTCCAAAACAGAACAAAGATCTAAACAAGGAACCATTAGTTATTCTCTTTTGTTATTTTGTTGTGTTATATACAACAATTGTTTATATTTTGCGTTACATTATGGAATGACATGTTATTTTACGAGAGTATGACAATTGGCTAAGGAGTGCATGTTCTTGAGTCCAAGAACAATTGGATTGGTATGACGTAGATATAAACCATTTAGTGATGATAAACTCTACCGAAAATGAAAGAACGAATGAATGTACCATTCAATTTGGTCTTTCTGATGAAAGCTGAGGCATTTGTCTGAAAATGAAATATTAATATCGACTATCGAGTTCTAACCTCTGTTGGCGAAGCACCCTAAAGCAAAGCACATGGTGTGATTTGAACTTGTAGGTCATACCGAACAGTGGCACAGGAACTGCACAGCCGATTGGCGTCACGCGTATCGTCAACATCTCGAGTTCGGCGCCGCGAGTCAGCGTGGTCAACGTGTCGGGGCCGGGCGGCGTCACATCACCCAGCCGTCCGAATAACCCGAAACTCGTGTTGACCACCTCGCCGAAGCTCGTACGCAGTATGTTCGTAACACCTACACCAGCGCTGCCGCCGACGACGACGGCAGTGTCGAGCGGCGGCACGTCGTCGTTATCGCCGTCCGCATCGCCACCCGCCAAAAAGAAAGCTCGACTGTCCGAGAGCAATAGTAACTTGGACAAGCCAACCGAGCCGGCAGCGGACGCGATAGAATACCGACGGCGCATCATCGAGCACAAGCTCCAAAAGATGCGCGCCATCAGGGACAAGTACAACGAGAATGTGGCCGAGTACTTCTTCCTACAGAACGGCGGCAATATCATGGACTTCAACAATTGGAGAAAAAAACCTACACCTCAGTTTCTAGAGTTTATGAAGCAGCACAAAATCGACAGCGATGATAACGAGGAAGAGTTCCTACAGATTGGTAATATCGTGACGGCTGCTGCCACCGCAACTACCACCACCACCACCACTGTCGCCGCCGCCGCCGCACCTATCACCACAACCACTATTATAACCACCACCGCCACCGTCACCACCACTACATTCGCCACCGCCGCCACAACTACCACGACTGTGAGTACGACGACATCGACGGTGGCAGCGACGACGACGACGACAGTCACTACGACGTCGACAATGGCGGTAACGACAAGTCCGTCAAGTACGACAAGTACGACAAGTACGACAAGTGCGACTACCCAGGTGCCGTCGATGACAACGACCACCACGACGTCAACGACAATGCCGACGCCGCTGACAACGACTACGACCGCGACGAATGTCACGCAAAGCACGGAAGTGGCCGTTTCCGGCGGCACACCCGTCGCCGTGTCGACGACCCTGCCTCCGGCCGTTGTCCAGCTGAGTCAACAAGGTAGAATTGTTCTTTTTATTTTAATTGATATTTCATTGATGTGAAATTGTAAATATTTGTGCACACCAAACCAAATGTAGAAGCACTTAACCAATTGGCTTTGATCTATCAAAATTCATTTTAATTACATTTAGGTGTTGATCTAAGACCCTATTGTACAACTTGAATTATAATATAAATCATCAACCCACTATTACAGTATCATCATTTTCAAACCTTTTAAGGGTTTATTTCCATCAAGTTGCCGATAAGTCTTGATACACATACTGAATGAGTAATTTTCAAAATAGGGCAAGTACCTGGTCGCCCTGCTGGGGGCAGGCATGGCATGGTTTTTGCCTTCCGAACAGCAATTCAAGCTTCACCAGTCACCATTCACCCTTCACCCACTTCTGTAGCACCCACTCTCATTATAGGTGATTACCACAAAGGCCTGCTACCAATCTCATTTGTTTTGTCAATCGTCTTGTATTAAATTATTGTGTTTATATATTTCCTTTAAAATCTATACAAATGATATCTTTAGGTTTGGAATTAGTGTTATATTTATACATTGATAATTAAATTGAAATTTCATTCTAGTTCTTTTTATAATTAGTTAATAAATATTTTTCATTTGCTATTGAATTTTATTACTCATGTTATAATTTGCTGATTCATTATTTTAAAACAGTATATTCACAAATGTAGGGGTATGAAATTTAGGCATCATAAGACTCAACGATAAAATTTGTTGAGTCTATGGGTGTTTGGAAATATTTATATATATTTATTTAACATTTGCTTATAGTTATTTATAAAGCAAGGAAATTGTCAACACAACTAGTTTCATATTATATCATTAATTGGTACGAATTAGTTATCTTTTTAAGGGAACTATAGTTCAGCATTATATGTCATGTTCATAATTTTTTTTTATTGCATGGCACCAAGTTTATTATAAAATTGAAATAGGTGTAATAATTTTATAGGTTTACTCTTATTAAACGTCACTGATCATTAACTATCATTGATCATATTCTATATTTGCTTTCTGTCCATATTAGTTTTTAATGTATTTTTATTGTGTTAAAGCATTGCTATTTATAGAAATTCTTTTAAAAAAATCATTTTATAACTTGATGTCTTATATTGTTGTTTATACTTATATATTGAAAAATTGCTTGGTTTACTGTTTTAGTTAATATTTAAAAATTATTATTTTATTATAATAATTAAATTAATTTATTCATATACATACAATAGTTACAAAATAGAATTGAAAAAAGAATGTTCTAGACATAGGAACTTTAAATGTATTCTTGAAAATGCAAATTACAAAAATGTTAGTATTATATGAAATAAAATTGTTTTTAAAGGTGGAACGCCGATGATTATTGACTCTCCAGAAGTTGAACCTCCAGTAAATAACCCAATAGCAGAAAAGATGATAGCTACCACAGCTGAAAAACCTGCAACTCCTCCAATTTCATCTTCTCAACCTATAGTTAAACTAGTAAAATTGTCTCCTGCTTCGATAACTTCTTCCTGTGATACTGTTAGTAGTAATCAAGAACAAATTGTAGAAAAGGCTAAACAGGTAAATTTCTTCTCATTTCAATGCTATTATTTTTGTATCTTACCACTTGAAACTGAACCCGTTATATATATTTTCAATTAATTCAATAGGAAGCTTATGTAATGCAAAGGATCGCCGAATTACAAAGAGAGGGTTTATGGACGGAACGTCGATTACCGAAAATCCAGGAACCACCTCGGCCGAAAGCACACTGGGATTATTTATTAGAAGAGATGGTGTGGCTTTCAACAGACTTTGCACAAGAAAGAAAATGGAAGAAAGCTGCAGCGAAAAAATGTGCAAGAATGGTTCAAAAGTACTTCCAGGAAAAAGCTATACAAGCTCAAAAAGCAGAAAAGTTAGAGGAACTTCGGCTAAAAAAGATCGCTGGCTTTATTGCAAAAGAGATCAAAACTTTTTGGGCTAATGTTGAAAAGGTAATGTCAATTTTTCTTGTTAATGAGATTATTTACCCCACACAATAAGCCGGCAGTTTTGACTTTACCATGTTATGATTGTGTGCTCGTTGTGGGAACATTAATTCTAAGAAATATCTAATTGACTCATTCTATTTGAGTCTCAGTTTAATATTATTTTAGAAACACAAATTACAAGTGTTAAAGTATTTGATTTGATAGCTTGCAATGGTGAATATATTTTAATTCAAAATGAATTATTTATATTCCAGGTGGTGGAATTCAAACAACAGACACGACTTGAAGAAAAGCGGAAAAAGGCTTTAGATCAACACTTAAATTTTATTGTTGATCAGACTGAAAAATATTCGTCGTGGTTAACTGAAGGTTTAAATAAAGTTGAAGGTATTCAGAGTACACCAGCGTCAATACACAGTTCTCGAATATCATCACCTAATACAACCGCAAAAAACTCTGATGATGGTATATTTATTAAAATTTGAGTGGTTTACATGGTTGTTAATATTTCGAATCTTTAATGATTAAATGTTTTACAGACGAGTTCAAGCCAAACCAAGACTCTGACGACGATGAAGAAACGATAGCAAAAGCCGAAGAAGAAATGAAATCTAATCATAAAGAAGAAGTAGAACTGTTGAAAAAAGAATCTGAACTACCCTTGGAAGACTTGCTAGCAGAATTACCACCAAATTATCTCGAAGAAAGAGATAAAAGTCTATCCCCTCTGCCGAAAGATATTGTGGAGGATGAAGAGGTACGCGCTTTTTTCAACTTGAAAACAATTTTTTAATGAAACTTGTGATTTTTTAATTTATATTTATCACTTTGATATTGCAGGAAAGTGTTAATGCGGAAGGTAAAGATACGGAATTCACAGTTGCGTCGGATGCGTCTACAGATGACGAAGAAGATACTATCCAAGAGCAAGAAAAATTAGAAAAGAATGTTGACCATAAACAAGAAATAGCTGATTTAGAAGCAGAAAATCAAATGCCGATAGATGCACTTATAGCCAAGTATGGAAATGCTTCAGTAGCTCCCATGGATGTTGATGAAGATGATAGCGAGGATGAAGGTACATCAATTAAATTTTTAGAGTTAGGGTTGTTTAATGATGAGGTTGATGATAATCCATTAATTTCTGAAGATTTTTTCATGCTGTTGTTTTCAAGGCATCTATTTAACATCAATTATACAATATAAATATATTTATGTTTATCAAATTGCTTATATATAATTCAATAATACATTAAATATTTACTATTTAATATTTAGAGTCAGATAAAGATGAGAATGACGAAAATGAATCGGAGAGTGAGGAAGAAAGTGAAAGTGAAGACGAAACGCAAGATGATTCCCAAACTCAAAGCGATGAAGAGCAAACAGTTGGTCTAAAATCATTATTTGAAGATTTGTCCGATGAAAATAAGGTACATTTTTGTTTCTTACTTTGGTTTGTATGGTTAGTTTCTTGTATTTTAGTAATATTGAAAATTTTAGAGTACAAGTGAGGCATCTGAAAAACAGAATGAGATGGACTCCGTTGCAGCTATAGCAGAGAGCATACAACCAAAAGGAAACACACTACAAACTACACATGTAAGTGTTTGTGTGATTCGATTATACACTCGAGAATAGATGTCTTTTGAACCTTCATTTCCAAAGTGTTTGTGATCACTATGTAGCATAGCACTATTTCACCTGGAGGAAGATTGAATGCAATCATGTCCTTTGCAGATTTATGAAAATTTGTTGGATTATTTTGGTTGCTACAGTATTTTTGATATTTTTACCGAATTCATGATTAATATCTGTATTTATTAATGTTCTATTATTAAACATTCTTATATATTGCAGGTTGTCACTAAAATACCATTCTTGTTGAAACATTCTCTGCGTGAATACCAACACATCGGTTTAGATTGGCTCGTTACAATGTATGAAAGAAAATTGAATGGTATACTTGCTGATGAAATGGGTCTTGGTAAAACTATTCAAACAATCGCTCTTCTGGCGCATTTAGCATGTGAAAAAGGTAATTGGGGTCCACATCTAGTTGTCGTACCGACATCTGTGATGTTAAATTGGGAAATGGAATGTAAAAAGTGGTGCCCGGGTTTCAAAATTTTAACGTATTATGGAACACAAAAAGAAAGAAAACAAAAGAGGACAGGATGGACAAAACCAAATGCATTTCATATATGTATCACGTCTTACAAATTAGTGATCCAGGATCATCAAAGTTTTAGAAGAAAAAAGTGGAAGTACCTTATTTTAGATGAGGCTCAAAATATAAAAAATTTCAAATCTCAGCGGTGGCAACTGTTACTCAATTTTCAAACACAAAGACGATTGTTACTAACAGGAACTCCGTTACAAAATAATTTAATGGAACTTTGGTCTTTGATGCACTTCCTTATGCCAAATGTCTTTCAATCACATCGTGAATTCAAAGAATGGTTCAGCAATCCTGTCACGGGAATGATTGAAGGAAATAACGAATACAACGAAAATATTATTCGGCGACTTCATAAAGTTTTGCGACCATTTCTATTGAGACGTCTAAAGTGTGAAGTAGAGAAACAGCTGCCAAAGAAGTACGAACATGTTCTTATGTGTAGATTATCAAAACGTCAGAGATATCTGTACGATGATTTTATGTCCCGAGCAAAGTAAGAAGCTGAAATTCGTTAAAGATATGTTATTGTTTGCAGAATATTTACGAAAAAATATTTTTTAGAACGAAAGAAACTTTGGCTAGCGGAAATCTACTTTGTGTTATCAACGTTCTTATGCAGTTGCGTAAAGTATGTAATCATCCAAATTTGTTTGAACCTCGACCGACAGTTTCGCCTTTTCAAATGGAAGGAATTGATTTTCATACTGCATCTTTAGCATGGAGCGCTCTTGACTACGATCCATTCAAGGCACGTAAAATCTATTTACAATTGCATCTTGTACCCATGTTACAATTTGCTGTTTCATTATATTTTGAAGCGGTATTCACTAATGTGGGTATATTATTCCTAGGCAATGTACGGCTCTCTGTAATAATTTTTTGAGCCAAAGGGCGCTTAGAAACATTTATTTATGCAATGACTTATTTACTTTAAATAAAATAAGGTCATAATTTTAACTTATGAAAATAACGGTGTTCTTTTATTTTCAGCATATTGATTTGTCTTGCTTGAACCTATTACTACTTGATTTAGAATTCGTCGTGACTGCGTTCGTTGCACATCGCATTAGGCGATTGAAGACACCGAGAAAACTTATTGAAGAAATAGATAGTCAACCTGAAACTCCTCCACGTTGTCCTGTTGGAAAGATTAGAATTAACGTTAGATTGTCTAATCAAGTATCTAAAACGGCTTCAACTAACTCACAACAGTCTTTACAACAACCAATAAAACTTAAAAGCTTTTCTAGTGCTTTACCAACTCCCAGAGTAGGTACTTCTCCTTTGGTGAAGAATAATCAAACGCCACCCGGACAAAGTAAGTTTAAATAACTTTACGTGATTAATTATTTCTTGTATTTTTTAACAATGGTCTTTAACGTGCTTTGATAATAATGTAGGTGTAACGTTGAAAGTTGCTGGTGGCCAACAACTTCAAGGTATCTCTGTTCAGTTGGTGCCACATCAAGGTGGAGTTAAAGGTGTGATTTTTAAAAATGTTGTATTCGAAATAACGAATTAAATTAAAAAGTAATTGCTTTACGCGTTTTTTTTTCTAATTTTCAGCAATTCCTGTTGGAACTGTTGCTCAAAATATTCAAAGTACAGCATCAGTTACTCCAACAACGACCAGTATCAATACTCAAAGAATAACTGTTAGTAACGTAAATGTTAAAGATGGGCAAAAATTAACGATGCAAACATACACGGTCAAAACCGGTGACTCCGTCCAAAAGTATCAAGGTCCTAATATCGCTCAATTAGTTCAGACTTCAACCGGTAAACATATCATTTTAACAAATCCACAACAATCTGCAAATGCCCGTAAGCATAACAATACAGATTTTTTTAAACGGGGGAATTTGGATTTATGTTATAAAGATGCCATTCTTTTTCAGTTTCATTCCCCATCATGACACCGAGTGGCCAACGATTGACTGTTTTGTCTAAACAAATAATGGGCTTATCTACGACACCGGTACCTGTCAATAAAGTAATTGGGGGAGTCGTAACAACTAGTTCTGGTGGTACGAGGCCGGTTATGCGAGTTCCTCCTCTTAATGTCAATACGGCACAGTCAAGTGGGCAAGTTCAATCAACAGATCAGATTCGTGTAACTAAAACTATTCAAAAAGATTCTGAAAAGGGTCAAATAAAAGAAGTGCCCAAATCCGAATTCTATCTGGTAAGTAAATTAATTGATCCATAAAAAATTTACAAAAGCATCATAGATCAGTGGTTGTATAGTTACAAGCGCTTTTGCAGTGATGCAATAACAAGCATACTCGAGCCAGCTTGTACATTCTTGAATTCTGTTTGAACGTACATTCTAAACCCGAGTTCACATTTTCTTTAATTACAAAAGAAAGTTACCCGATTAATTCTCAAAAAGTAATTGATAACTATTTGTTGTTTCATTGCAGCCACATTTAGAAGAAATAAGGAAGCAAAAGCGTCAATCAAAGCTTATTACTCTAGCCGACATAAACGAACGAAGATGTTCCGCCTGCCCACTTTACGGCGACGATTTGTTCACGGCCTTGAGGATAGAAAAACCAGTGACTACGTGTAACTGGCAAAGCGGTTGGTTACATTGCGCCAAGAGGAGCGACTTGACGCGCTCGAAGAAACAATACTTTTCACGGACCAAGGCTTTGTGTCAGGCAATAAAATCGACCGAACAGATTGTCGAAAACCTGAAAGAAATCTTAGAGAAGTTTGTTATTTACGTACCCGCAGCGCGAGCTCCATTGCCTCAATTCCACGTTTCTCATCCAAACCCTTCAAAACATTGGAAAGAGCAGCGATTAGTCGTCGAACTGAATCAGCAGCTCTCGTCGAAAGTATCTATGTTCCATTCAATCACGAGGTCGATGCTCACACAGTTCCCGGATCCCAGACTAATACAATATGATTGTGGAAAATTGCAATCGCTCGATATTCTTTTGAGGCAGTTGAAATTTGAAGGGCACCGAGTACTAATTTTCACGCAAATGACCAGAATGCTAGACGTTTTTGAAGCTTTTCTTAATTATCATGGACACATTTACCTGCGACTTGATGGTGCTACAAAAATTGATCAAAGACAGGTTCTGATGGAAAGGTTTAACAACGACAAAAGGATATTCTGCTTTATTTTGTCCACGAGGTCTGGTGGTGTTGGCGTCAATCTAACGGGAGCCGATACAGTCATATTCTATGACAGTGATTGGAACCCTACAATGGATGCTCAAGCTCAAGATAGATGTCATAGAATTGGACAAACTAGAGATGTACATATTTACAGGTAAGTCATCTTTTTAAGCTAATTACAAACTTTAAAAAGTACTTTCGCCACCGACCACGAAACTGAACTTAAGTATCTGTTATCGTTTTTAATTTAATTGGCGAAATAATAAAATTTCTTTATAAAACTCGCACACTTAAAGTGGAAATTATAAAGTGCGCGTATCCTGTCTAAAGAAACAAATTTTTCAAATCTATTAAATTTGTTTGTAAATTTACTCATTGTTTTGAAATCACTAAGAAACTACAAAATGTAATTCATTTATGATTTTCAAAAATATAGATTGATTAGTGAAAGGACAGTTGAAGAAAACATCTTGAGAAAGGCAAATCAGAAAAGATTGCTCGGTGACCTTGCTATTGAGGGAGGTAACTTTACAACTGCCTACTTCAAAAGTGTATGTATCCAAATTTTAACTAATAATCATTTCAATTGAAATTTTGATTAACATAAATATTTTATTTCACAGTCAACGACTATTCAAGACTTATTTGACGTTGATCAAAATGAAACCGATGCTTCGACGCGAATGGCCGAGGTATTGGATCAAAGCAAAGAAAGAGAGCGTAATCTGCAGCGAGAATTGTCACAAACCGAGGATAAAACAGCACTCGGGGCCTTGGAAAGTGCCATCGCCGAAGTCGAAGAAGATCAAGATGTGCAAGCTGCTAAAAGTGCGAGAGCTGAGGCTGTTGCTGACTTGGCCGAATTTGACGAAAACATTCCCGTCGACGAATTCGATAACGACAATTCTGAGCTTAGTAAGGCTGAAATGGAAGTGCAGTCCTTGGTTTCTCAAGTAAGTTTTGCTACTTTTGTGACGTATGATTTAAGTTACTGTCAGATTATCTTGCAATTTTTTCTTTCTGCGGTTAGTAATTCACAGATAACTCGCTTCCGACCACAAATCTGTATATATTACTACAGCTCTTGTTTCTCATTCTATAAGCGAGATATCAAAGTTTCTCTATATAAACTCGTAAGCTGGAAGTGGAATTATACGGCTTGCGTATCCTGTCTAGAGATACACACATTTATATATAAAAACTAATTTCGTGAAAATATTTTTTAATACATATTTTATCGTTAGTTCGATGAAAAAAATAAGCAAAAATTGTTTCTATTCAGCTGACGCCGGTCGAGCGTTACGCCATGCGTTTCGTCGAAAACTCGGATGGCAACTTCTCAGCAGCAGTGCTGGCAGCAGCGGAGCGAGAACTCGAGGAGCAAAAGAAGGAATGGGAGCTGGATCGTCTACGAGCGATGCGCGAGGAGGAGGAGCGCCAAGCCCGGATGACTGACGACGACGAGAATCCGTTGACGTTCTCGCGCGAGGACGCTCAAAATCAGGTTAATACCAGTGTTAAGCGCTCGGTGGGTCGCCCACCTCGAGGTAGACGCGGTCGCGGACGTCCTATATGCATAGATAGGAGGCGTTTCAATCCAGGTCGTAGACCTAATGCGTGTAGGGAAGTCGAGGAGGACGAGGCGGTCTCGACAGAGTCGGACAACGAGTCAGAAACTTCATCAGTGTCAATCAGCGACTCCGAAAACGACAACGTTGACGCCGCCGCCTCTGACGGTACTGGTTCCGAAAGCGAATCGGATCAAAGTAATAAGAAAGAGGATGGTTGGGAGGATAACGATCAGGATGAGGGTGGAAAGAAAAAGGTTTCGTTTAAAAATGTTTTACTCGATAAGAATAAGAGAAATCACGTCGACATCAATAGTCCGAGAACTAGATCGAGGGGTGATGTCAAGATTGATCTTTGGACGTTAGATGTGAACCCGCTGTTGCCTGAGGTAACGAGACCCAGAGCAAAGAAAACTAAAGCAAACACATCGATCGAGAGTATCGAAACGAAAGACAAAGGCAATAACAGTACATCAGAGTCCTTCGATAATACTGGGGAGACACTTGACACAATGAGTGTGAATATCATTGAGAATGTCTCTGCGAGTTTGTTGAACGAGTCTCCGACAAATGAACCGATGAAGAGTGTTTTGGATGATACAATCAAGAGACTTCAAGACACTGAAAGCATTGACAGGGAAAGTAATCCAGCCCCAACAGTTTCAACGCCTCAACGAGGCAGACCCCGAAAACAGGTGGCGACGGTTGAGTCTAGCAGCAGTACTACTGTGCCTTACTCTACCAGGTCTACTAGTGGCAAGGTAGTGGCAGCAGCAACACCACTACCACTGGCGATTCCGTTGCAGGAAAAAAGAGCGGCAACCTCACAGTCGAGCAACTGCGAGGATGAAAACAAAGTCTGTGATATTAATGATACTTCTAATCCCCAGAATAAGGAGAACAAGGAAGGTAAAAGTAAGACTGCCGACAGTGTAGTGCGGCCTAACGCGACAGTGATAAGCGAAAAAAAGTTCGATACCGACGAGCAAACGGAGGCGGAGTCCAAGAATAGTGCCGAGTTGATATCCATCGACGAGCAACCACATAGCCCAGTTTTCACAAGAAAATTCAAATTAACGCGTTCACGCATTCGTTCCACCGAGTCGAAAGATAAGCAATTCGAGTCCGCTGAACAGGTGAAATCTGACAATACTGAAACTAATGAAATTCCAATGGAGGTAGACGTTTCCATTCCAAAAGAACTCGCTGCTGATTCTAAAATTATAATTACCGATAGATCTAGTCCTATTCTGAGCACAAGACGCTCCAAAATCACACGATCAAATAATCATACGAGCCCGAATACCAAACAGGAGTTTAAATCGGAAGAAGCTAGATCAGTCGATAAAATTGGGCTCTCAATAGTCGAGTCAGCTAAAGAGTCTGAAAGTTCTTTGGCCAGGAGTACTCGATCATCGACCCGATCGATCACTGATGATAAACTGAAAGAGAAGTCTATCGTGATATATGAGGCATTAACTGAATCAGCAAAGCTGAAAAACATAGAAACGCCTGTGACAATAGTAGAACTTGATAAAATTTCAGCGAAAAAATCCGACGAGGAACAGCTAGAGCGTAATCAAACTAAGATCACTCGATCGTTTACGAGATCGTCCATTGGAATTGTTGATTCCGCGAGTTTGGAACAAGTTAAAGTCAGTACTGCTGAAAAGATAAAGACTGTAGAGACTCCGACAAAGGTTGAAAGAGCGAAAAGTCCTGAAAGAGTGGTGATATTACCAGCTGAAAAAAGCGTCAAGGACAATGAGAAGCCTTCAGAAAGCCAAGGCACAGAAGAGCCAAAACCGAAAGTGGAAACGTCTACTCTGGGCATGACGACAAGGCGAAAAGCCAGTAATGTTGTTGAAGACACGTTGGAAATGCAGAACATTGAATCCATGGCCACGGAAACTCAAACTACCCCTGCTCAGGAAACTCCAGCTACGACTGCTCCTACCTCTCCTGAATATCCACAGGCCGACGTAGACTCTCGTTCGACAAGATCCAATATTCAGTTGCCAAACCCGATGTACCGTCGCACTTTCGGCAGCCCAACGAAACCAGACTTTCGTCGAAGACCCGACACACCTATGCCCGACATTAATGTTCGGCCACGAACCCGCTCCCTATCCAACGTCAGCGACGGTGACATACCAAAAACACTTAGTCCACGCAGTTCTCGAACAGATAATGGGTTTGTAGTGCCGACGTTGGCACCGGTGGCAGTACGCCGAGCAAGATCTTTGACCTACGTGAAAATGTCGGATCGAATAAGCACAGAGCGTAAGGACTTACCTATCTCCATTGGTACTGCTACCAGGGGGGTCATCAGAGATCCAACGTCGGGTGAGAGCGTAACTATCAATCGAGTGGTTGCTAAGAATAGGCCTGACACCCCAATGCCCACGCAGGAACAAGTGACCAGGTTTGGTAAACCTTCTACAGACTCGCACACGTTATCGCCAAAGTCCTTGCCACCTATTCCAAAATTGAAGAGACCTCTGTCACTACCACCACCGACATCAACGCAGCAAGCTGAGTTAAATGACAGTACTGACTCGAATGGCAACTCACTAGACTCTAGTATAGAGTCAACTTCTCAAGAGAAACCTCAACGTACGGCCAAGGTGGTTTGTCAAACTATACTGAATCTTGACTCAAAGAGCAAATCCAGGGCAACGAGTAGTCCACCGCAAAAGACAAGTCCCATGGCGAACAATGTCAAGTCAGGCAGGGGACCGGGTCGACCGAGCAAAGCTGCCCTGGCGCTTGATGATCATCAGGTAGTCGAGTTCGATAGCGAGTCTGAGTACAACACCGCCACTCGGGCTAAACGTACTAGACTGAGCAGTCAATTGGTCAAACCTCTCAACAAGCCCAAAGACTTGCACACGATCGATCTCGATAAATTATAAATATTCTCATGTCGGGGCAGTCGGGCGTTCTCTCGTTTTATTTTGAAAAGAAAAATCGCGAAGGAAGACACATGGAAAGAGCGTCAAACACACGTGTAAATAGTGGTAAATACGAAGAAAAACAAATAAATACTTATAGTTCGTAAGCTTTAATTTTATGCATCGACAATTGCCGTAAATGCGAACGACCATAGCATTGAGGGACGAAAATTGTTGATAAGTGAATATATGTTCCAGTGTTCTTTATTTTTCTCTCGTGTAGAGGAACTTTATTTGTCCCACGTTTTCTCTTTAATCTTATTCTTTCATTTTCATTCATCGTTCATTATTTCTCTCTCTCTCTCTTCTCTCCTCTTCTCTCCTCTTCTCGCCTCTTCTCTCCTCTTCTCACCCCCTCTTTTCGCTCTCCCTCTTTCTTTCATCCGTCAGGGGAACTTATATAGAGCTCTAAGTTATTTTGTAATTTATTATACGTCGCGATAATGGGAAAAGAATACAACTCATTGACTGTGTATTATAATAATGAATATGTAATGCGTCAAGAGGAATGATCAATTTGTATAACTTACAAAGTTATACATTCACTGACGGTATAAAATTTAGATGTGAAGCTGTTGTATTAAACAGAAGATATTGAAAATGAGAATAGCAATAGCTCGATTTCATGAAAGGTAATCGCATTAGTTCCATGCTCATATGTAACGTACACAAACATATTTTATACATCGTAAAAATGCTTCGTCGAACTACCTTATTTGTCACAATATATTTTACTTTTCTGAAAAGGCCGTTTAATTATTTATATATAATTATATGTATATATTATATGATTATTTATATATTTATAATTATATATAAATATTTATATGTATATATATAATTATATACATAATTATTTATATATATATATTAGTTAGAAAGCGATCAGAGTGCGTCCTACATTGTAATTAATGTGAAAACTTTAAATGAGAGGAAAAGTGAGTTGATATTATTAAGTTGCGTGCCTGTATTTTTTGTATGATCGAATGAGTCCTCGAAAAGGAAATAAATGAAATATTCCTTGCTAATGAACATTAATTAATGACAAAGTGTTTATCATCTTATTTCTTGGTACGTCTCCAAGTCTGTTCGATCAAAGGTTCAGTCCCGTTTTGGTGTCCAATTAGCTCAGTGTGCTTGTTTATATTTCATATTTCTTGCACGTTTAACTAATAATAATAATAATAATGATACATTATCAGTTTGGTGTGGCAAGGCTGTCATGACCGCACGATAATTGATCTTTTTCTGATGACTTCTTTTTTAATTAGTTATTTCATTAATACTTTCAAAGAAATATGATGTTTTATTCAGTTGAAAGGTAACTTTTAAAAAATGGCACCAAAACACTGCCTTTGCCATTCCAAACTTGGATGCAACCAAGATATAAGCAGGCACATTAATGAGCGTTCGCGAGGATTATTTCTCATTTCTTTTTCCTGGTATTTGCGATTGGCAAAACAAGGGTTGAAATGAGTCTTTGAACGAACAAGACTTTCCCTTTATATCCTAAACCACCTCAACTTTTTATTTATTACTTTCTTTTCCTTAAAAAATATTTAAAAAATTTTTTTTTTAAATTAAAAAAAAATGATGTAATGCAATTTCAAATAATTATTTAAATAGTCTAATTGATATTAACTTCAATTGTAGTGCATTAATATGATCACTTTGCATATTATTTCAAACATTTATTTAAATTCTCCTGTATATTTTTATTTAAATTACTAATTTACAGTTTGATAAATTTGTAACGTGTTTTTGCCATTTTGTCACAAAATTAATACACTTATAAATTTCTTGGTAAGTTTTTTTTATTTTTATCTATCCCACAAGGTAAAAACCTTTGTTTTGCCAATACAGGTTGGAAACAAAATTGATTATAGAATAGTTCAAAAATTTGAAATAGTTTACTTGATGAAATTATTCACATTTTGCAGATTTGGATATCGGATGACAACAAGGAACAAATGCCGGTTAGTATAATTTCTTTTTCGCAATTCTTCCGTGTTTTCTATATTACATCAATCGCTATGCTCAGTATATGGTTGTAACTAACATTCAAAATACTGTAATTTCAAATTTTATTTCTATGTAAACAGTTACGTGTACCATCTGAAAATTTTTTAAATTAATAATATATTTTATGAGGTTAAACTTTCATTATTGAACACTTCGGTAATAGTGATTAGTTAATATGAAATGTATCCGTCTATGTAACTTATCCAAGAACTTGTATTATATATTTTTCTACTGACTGAAAAATGCTGCCCTACCTGATTTAATTTTGCACAATTAGATGTGGTGTCCACCAACTCCACCAACGTCAGATAACGATGTGTATATCGATTATACTTTGGGTTTCCTGTACGATAATACTCCAATGACGGAGGCGCAACTGCCACCGGTTTACAATAAGAAAGAAAACAAACGAACACGCACTGAAGCGGGTCTTCTAGACAGAGATGGTAAACTTTATTACTTCGAACAAAAATAAATTTACTTTAAGTATTTTTTATCAACTCTAAATTATATTTCCTTGCACTAAATTAAAGGTCGTCGTCCAGCGAAGGTACGACATAAGGAAGAATCCGTACATGCTCCTCGTTCCCTCTTTGATCGGCCGTCACCGGCGCTGACGAAAATGCGTCGTGATATGAAATTGCATAAGTATCGTCCAATGATACGTCCACCTATTACGATGAGCGGTGTGAAACCTCCGATGATGAAATCTGCTGCCGAACAAGAACCGGCACTCGAATGGATGATACACGAAGATCACTTACTTCTCCAAGCTATCCAAATCTATCAAGGTTTACCACTAAATCTTATGATCGTTTCACCTGGTCATACGCCTAATTGGGACTTGGTGGCCGACATCGTAAACAACATTTCGAGAATCTACAGATCACCAAAACAGTGTAAGAATAGGTACGAAGCGATTATTGTACCTAGAGAGGAAGGCAAGTTGTTGTACGATGTCACGCCTAAAAAGCAAAAGAAACAAAAAGGAAGTGTTTATAAGCTTCCTCAGGTTGCTGAGGTAAAGATTGACTTTTATACTTACTGTGTAGCTATTTTTAAGAAACGAATGCTTCATTTGATTTTACATTAGCAGCAAAGTAAAACGAATAGACCGATGCGGACGTCACAATTATATAACCAAGATAAAAATATCTCTTTTACGGCGATGTGCAGCCAAAGATTCGAAAATATCAAAACAGTGTCAAACCGAAGATCGCCAACGACTAGGCATACGGTTACCAACACAACTACGAGAAATCCAAAACACGCAGTCGTTTTGTCCGAATGTGGTATCCAGTACGACGTTCCTTTGGCACCACTTGACGTTGCCGCTCGAAGAGCCGAAAGATTAGCCAAAGAAAAATTGAAAAATGCTGCCGGCACCGTAAGTTCCTCGTACACACACGTACACTTACACTTTGTGTACCTCATACGCGTGAAAACACTTTTTTGGCCGTGTCACTTGTAACAGGCTAAGTAATTTGACGTTAAATTCAATTTGATGAAGTTGCAAAATATTTATTCTGTTAGTTTCATAAAAATCTCAAAAACGTCGTTGTTTTGTACAACCGAAAATGATTATTGACGCTTTGAATTTTTATATTTTAGACAGCTAAAATTTTTTAGACCAAAACTTATGGATCCTATCACCAACACTGACCATAACGAGTGTACTCCAAATTTCTTCTACTACCCTACTCTGGACTATAGTACTATTGTTAATTTATCGTACAAATGATTATTGGTCAATAAGTCTCTCTCTCTCTCCCTCCCTCCCTCCCTCTCTCTCTCTCTCTCTCTCTCCCTCTCTCCCTCTCTCCCTCTCTGAGCTTTAATATGTTGTATGTACAAATTAAAAAAAGATTACAGAATTACTTTCATTGATGTTTATGTCTGTAATAATTAAAACTTTCAGTAAGTTAGTGATAGGATTTATGTTGCTAATGGACCTTTTTGTTCATTATTTTGATTATATATACAAATTTACGTACCTATGTTGGATTCTAATAAACTAAAAGAAATTCAGTAAAAAATTTAAAAAACACAGCCATGCGACAATGACACAAATATACATTATACAATAATAATTAATCTAGCCAATCACGGCGGAACAACAGCAACAGGCAGCAGCAGCAGCAGCAGCAGCAGCAGCAGCTCGTTTGGTGCAGCAGCAGCAGCAACAGCAACAGCAACAGCAGATCACTCAGCAGGGCCAAGCAACGGCTTCGACTTCTGCTCAAGCTAACCAAGCTAGTCAAGGTGCAACAACGGTGGCCACAACTCCAACGGGAATTCGAACGATCAGCGCTGCAACGGTGGCTGTCAGTTCCCCAACGATCGTGGCAACGACCAACGTAAAGCCGGCTCGAGCAGTCGGTGCGCAAGGGCCGACGATAGTAGCCAACTTGCAACCGGGTCAACGTATCACTGCGGCTAACCTCGTAGCGTCGAATGCCGCTGTCATTGGTCAGAAGAACATCGTCAGCTATGCGGTGTCTCCGGTCAATAAAAACCTCACGCCAGCACAACTTCAGTTGGCGAGACAGCAGCAACTGGCAAGACAACAGGCGCAACTCAAAGCCTTGCAACAAGCACAGGCTAGTGGACAAAAGGTTGCGGTAGCGTTGTCTCCATCAGCTGCCGCTGTCGCACAACAACGAAGTGCTGCGCTCATGAAACAGGCTGCTGGAACTATTGCAGGAACAAGTGCTGCTGCACAAGCACAAGCTACCGTGGGAAAACAGAACGTGACAACGCGACAGGTACGGGTAAAGTGTCAAATTTTTTGTATACTTTGTTTAAAAAAGCTAATCAATCATTTCTAGTATTCATTGTATTACTTTAATAGTGCTTTTAATTTACTGACTCAATGATACCACATAATTCTTAATTAAATTATAATGAAAGCAAACTCAATAACTTTAATCGATCGAGGTACATTATTAACTGTTTTCTTGATCTTCAAGGTTACCGAAAGTGAAATGGCTGCTCTCCTCAAACGTCAGCAACTACAGCAACAAGGCAAAGCCATAACGCAAGTCCAAGTACCAGCTCAAGCAGGGATTACTGGTGCCCAAGTTTACACACAGACAGCGGCAGGACTTCAGGTTCAACAAGCAGGAACTTCAGGCACGACAGCCATACCAATGACTCTGGTCAAAACAGCGGGTACAGTTACTGGAGTAAGAGCGGCTACGCAGCAGATCAGACAACTGCATGTTAATCAGCAGATACTCACCCAGAGAAGGTTACCTAGTGGCCAAAAAGTGACGCAGCTGGCTCAAGTTGCCGGTAAAGGTGGTGTACCTACTCAGTTAATTGTTCAGCAGAAAGGCGGCTTGCCAGGCACTATGATGGTTCAACAGCTTCAACAAGTTATGAAGCAAGTACCCGGCACCAGTATACAACAGTTCGCTCATGTGAGTATTGAGTTATTGATTTATTTAAAAGTTACACTTTACTTTATTTTTAATAATATTTTCATTTTTCTCATTTTTTTTATAGGTTTCGACAGGACAAGCGACCGCTCAAACAGGTCAGGTTGTCTTGGCAAAGTCACCAATTCAAACCCGAGTCATTCCGGTATCATCCAGTGCCCTTAAGCAAACTATTCAAGTCGTTACAGCGAGTACTGCACAACAACTTCGACAAGCAACTCAAGGAAAACCTGTCGTCACAACTGCCAGAGCGAGTCCAGGACCAAGTACAGTCAGATTACAAACCATCCCTCAGCAGACGCATATACAAGTATCTCAACAACAGGTACAACAACAGCAGCAACAGTCTCAGCAAACTCAGCAACAACAGCAGGTCCAACATTCTCAAGCAGAGTCACAACCAAAATAAAAGATACAACCAGCTAATAACTCAACATTTTAGTAATATTTATTACACTTTCTTTCTTTGTGTGCAACTGCCGTTGGACACGTTTGTGTTGTAGGACAGAAAAACATTCCGCATTTAGTTATAGTTACACTCTAATTTAAATACTGTGTGGTGATGCAGATTATTTTTTTTTTCTTAAGATTTGGTATAGCATCTCAAGTCAAACTTGATACTTTATTACTTCTTTCGAATAAGTTTCTTTTGATTTTTAAGTGAGTTAAGATTTATAATTTGATTAGTGTTGATAATTCGAAAGATAATTGATTACGTAAAGTTTTTTGCAAATTGAAATGTACTAACTAAAGTGAAAATAACAATGAACATTCACTCCGAGACACATTTTGTCACTACTTAAATTTATTAAATGAACTAACGGATATGATAATCATAGAAACATCAAATATTCTAATTGAAATCATTAAAATCTTCAATGTTGATAAGATTTCATAGATTGAATTATTTAAGGAATGATCTAAACATAAATTACATAATTATTATCTTGCTATTGTAAGATAATGCTGTAAAAGAGACTGATAATTCAATATTTCTTTCAATAGTAATAGTAAAAGATAGGAGTATGGTAATTTTTTAGATTCTGTATGATTTTGCTTAACTATAACAGACTAATGGAAAGTAACTGTTATTAATGATTGCAGAGTTTTTATAATTTGAGTCTAAAGCAATTACATTGTTAATACTCTTCTGTCTTTACAGTAACAATAATGATTTGTTTTAATTTCTCTATTATTTGCTATGACGAAGCGAATATTTTAAACTAATTTTAAGAAACTATTACTTTTTTGTATTTGAAAAGAAAAGTCAAATAACATCAATTTGATTTGTTAGTGGCAATATTCAATGTTTACATTGCTACAGAGTAAAAGAATTACTGTATATATTTCCATGATTTTGTACTTATAATATAGCTTAAGCTAGTTAAGTGTATAAATTATGTGAAAACCAACTAATAGGCTTTTAAAACAATGAACAAAAATTGATGCCAATGGGCACCACTGTATATACATGTTAGTTAAATGCCGCCTTCATAACAAGTGTACATCTGTAAAGTGAATGAAACATTCTTCACAGCCCGTTAATCTAATGAGTGTAATTTAATTTTTGAAAATAACATTGGTTTTTGGTAAAGCTTATGGGAAAACAATTCTTAAAAAGAAGATACGCGATCCGAACAGTATTTATAGATTTTATTTTACACGCGCAATTCATTTCCTATAAAACTCGGCCCTAAGTTATTGATGTTTCGGAAAAACATTAACGTTACTTGTCTTACGTTGTTACAGAATAGCAATTTTGTAAAAAAAATTATTTGTTGCAAAAAGAAAAGTGAATTGGATAATTTTTAACATTTAAAACTTGTATGTACTGTATAATATTTAAGTGCGCTGAATAAGGTGTAAGTAATTTTCGTCAGGGCAAAAACAAAAAAAAAGATTGTATTGATATTGTATATGTTTAATTCGTGTATAATATTTCAAATAAATTTCTTCTACGAAGAACTTAGTTATGTATTCTTGTGAACACCTTCAATTTGAATTTGAGCCCTTCCTAATTCATTTTATTTAAAAAATGTCTAAATCTAAAGAAGACTTAACTGCAGTTAAACCTTAATTAGATGGCTATTTGAATATGTTAAAAAAATTTTATAGTTCATGAAACAGAACTCCAGATTCAAAATGAAGTCAAAATTTAATCAAATAACTCACGATCGAAGTTTTTCATAAAGTAACTTAAGTATCTAAAAAACTTGTTAAATTTAATATAGATGATTGTGTTTATTAAAATTAGATGCAGTACAACTATAATTTAGCAATTAAATAAATAGAAACATCAAAATGAATTAAACATGGAATCTATATTTTTCACAAATACTACAACCTCTTGACAAAGGTGGATAGGAAACTATATATATAATAATGTATTCATCATATCACCTCTGCTTTCGGAAAAATGGCTTATGTTTTATCCCTCCTCTCACCCAAATTTTGGTACACCATTGATGTCTTAACCTTTTCATAACGGGATTATCAGGGGGAATCTTTACGTTGAAATTGGACTTTTTTTTTACACGACATTTGTACATAAAATCGAAGAATCTGCCACGTTAAGTGCCCGACAAATTTGGTAATAGAAATTTCTACCAGTCCCGTCTGGGACGAAAAGTCCTACGTTAAAAATTTTATTTGTGGAATTAACAATGCATTTCTAAGTCATGAAATATGTTGAATACAAAAAAGATAATAAAAAACGTCAAGATATCTCTGACCTTGAAAATTGTATTTCAAGGTTAAATGCGTAGTTTTCCGTCCGAAATGATATTCATACGTTTTTGTATGCGTTGGATGTAAAAAAATAGTAATTGTTATTATGAACGTCATTTGCAAAAAATATTTCAGTTTTCGCTTTCACCATGACCCAGGATCAACAGCATGGATGTAGCGAAAATTTGATCCCTTTGTTTGTGAATCCCCTTGCCTCTCACTTCCAAATATTTGCTTTATAACAATGTTTCATTGGCTACATGGAATACTATTGTATTATTGTTTTCGTATTCAGAACATCAAATCACGTGCGTGTACCAATTTACATGTCGAAATACCAAATAAAAATTTTGACCTTAAAATCACTATTTCAAAGTCAAATATGTTACCTAAAATTGTTACACTATATTGTCTATATTCACAACATATTATCCTCAAAATCACTCAAAAATATTATGATACTTGAGTGGTTGAAATATCGACCAGTCCCGTCCTTAAAAGGCTAACAGCGTCTTTTCCAGTCTTTAATTAAGTGCTGTCCCCAGCGATCCAGCGCTAGTGTTGTGCTGACCAAGCGGCAGTAGCAAACGCCACATTTTGTATTCTGGACACTGCACCAAATAAAAATGGTAACATATTTATATTTACTTTTTGATAATTTTCAAGTACTAAAAGCATTTCTTATATTAACAATGTCATAAATATTATGTTAGCTGATGTATTTAACTAATTGGACATGTGGATTGTTGAATGATTGGAATATTTGCGACGTGCCTTGGGTCGTTCACCGACGAAAATTAACATTAAAAATGTAAGTATCTTGCAGTTCATTTTTATCTTTAGATGTTATTTATGTTATAATAATTCTTATACCAGTGTAGATATATTTTTGTTGTATAATAATTGATAATTGATTTACGATTAACATCATGCGTTGGAATTGAAATGTAGGTTATGTCACATGTTTAATAGCGTATTGAATTATATCATCATGAGTAACAAACTAATATATTTTTGATGTACTTTATAGTTCACCGTTGAATCAAGTTTTTTAGGTAGAAATTACACAATGACATTTTAAATCGTATAATCAATTTATTCTCGTTTATTAACTTGTCATTGTCGATTTGTGCACGTAATTACTGACCACGTTGCATGTAGTTAACATAATCCACGCAGTTAACAATTTAAATTCACAGATAAGTCTCTATTCAATTAGTATTTTAGTGACTTGAGGTTGTTGTTTAGGACGATTTGTTTATATTTACAGCATATATCTTCCGATCATGTTGTAGCATAGAAATATAACCAATAAAATCAATATTGACATTGTGGCTGTCGTTTAAGACGACTGTTTATGTTTACATTATATGTCTCATTAAACATATTTTGTGACAAACATACCTATGAAAAATTAACGATTTTCTGGACACGGAAAAATGATATTATATATTATGTATATGAATTTATGTACTTAATAATAAGAGTTTCTTGTTAAATAATGGTATTACATTTTTGTTTGTTACAGGTAGAAAGAATAAGTCGATAATCGTCCGATCACTCTGATTAAAATGGTCAGTTTTTGATACCTACACAAGATTTTTGTTACAGTGAGGTCTCGTAGCTCCAAAATTGATTTATTGTAATTAAAATTTAACTTGATGTAGATATTATATTACTTAAGATTTTTTTAATGGAAAATAAGAGTAATGACAGTATTTTTATAACTTTTATAACTTTTATAAAATAAATTATTTTTTCATATAAAAATTTATTGTTATTGATTACATTCCCCAACCTTCTATAATATATAACTGTTTAATTGGTTATGATAAAATCTATATGTGAATATTTTGTAAAATAATTTGTACATATGCTTTGACTTTAATAAGATTCATAGTTACTTTTTTTAATTTATATAATTGAACTAGAACGTTATTTCAAAATAAATCGGAACACAAGTAAACAAAATGCCTGTCAATTAAGTATGATACTAAATTATATTTCATGCGTAATTTTAGTCTTTTAAATACAGTAGTTAGAAAAAGGTGTTGAATTATAAAATATCAAATTAAGATCGACGTTTGAAACTGGGACAAATAGTATGTTACTTTCATCAAATATCCACAAAGAATATTCAATGATCATTAAATTACCAAGTCATTCAGCCTCGGCGTTACACAAAAACGGTATCAAGCGGAAAAAAGGGCGCGTAAAAAGAAACTCGCCACGTAAAATTCGTTGAGATTTTCCGTCTGCTCTCTATAACAAAAGCGCAGTTATACGTTTTCGCTTTCACGAAAATAGCAGTTTTTCCCTCAGTGTAGCGCCACTGGAAATCGGCAGCTGCCCTCCTTGTTCGAAGGGTGGGAGATAGAGAGACAGCGAGAGAGAGAGAGAGAGAGAGAGAGAGAGAGAGAGAGAGGAAAAACCGCTACTGGCGAACGCAGCATCTCAGCCTGCTGCTGCAGTGTGTGGCTTTCTTTCTCGCGCGCGCAACACCTTGATGGCAGCGGCCGGAAGCAAAGAAAAAAAGAGGGAACGCGAATCAATTTTATTTTAGTTACACGTACGAGAGGTTAAGTAATGAATGGTGTCTGCTCTATTCGCAAAGATGTATAACCGCAGTAGTAGTTGTAAGCAGGACAGCCGAATTTGCTGCGTTTTTGGTGATTAACAGAGATGTTAAATTCTAATGCACAGAAAGGGGACATCAAGAGTCCGTCAATTCTCGATCATCTTCGAAAGTTTCGCTTTCAAAAACCGTCTGTCAAGAAAATGTTCACCTGTAAGGTTTTCTTTTTTTTTCCTTTAAATATGTCGCGGTCAAGGCTTTGAGTACCATTGTTGCTAGTGATATTAACCGTTTGTTAATGTTGATGCTCACCTTTTTATAGCTATCGTTGTGATTGTTGCATTGGTTTACATTTTCACTTTCGCCGCCTTTCCAAATCAAAGCATCTAGTTATACTAACACTGATAATATTTATAGGGTATATTATTCTAAATATTTGTTATAGGGTTGCAATTTAATAATGTTTACAATTTTTAAATTTAAATATAAGATTCATATTTATAAGTTTCCTAATCATTGTTTTCAGCTGATGAAGACAGTAATTCATCTGCCCCAGAAAGATGCCGTAAAGTTGTCAACCGTATTGAAGACAGTGAAAGTGATGGAGAGAAACCTGTCAATGGAACTACATCTGACTCAGAGCAAAAGTCTGAACTTCAAATAAAAGAAGAGAAGCTCAATTATCTAGTTAACTTATATCCTCATTTTTCAAATAAAGTAAGAGCAAGGCAAATTTTTTTCTTATTATAAGTAAAGCAGAAAACAATATTTATATTTTGATTCTTTATAGTTGCTACAAGATGTACTTCATGATGCTGATTGGGATACAGAAGCAGCTAAGGCAAAATTAGAAGCAAGTCGCAAAAGATCATTCAAGACATCTAAAAAGTCTAAGACAACTAAACGTAAAAAGTACGAAGATGATGAAGACAATGACATTGACTCAGATGATGAAAATTATAGTAAAGCTAAGGTCTTTGATAGGTATGGTATATATGTATATATATATAGTGCATTTTAATTACTAGCAAACTTAACAATAAAAGTACTTATTTATGTATTAGCGATGAAGATTCTGATACAGAAGTATCAAATGAAATGACACGTGATAAAAAAGCAGTATTAGATTTCATGCAAAATGCGCTTCCTTCTGAGCTGCTTTTACTCAATCAGTGTTCTCAGAAGAAAGTTGATGCAATACTAGCCGTTAGACCTTTTGATGATTGGAGAGATCTTGTTCAAAAATTTCAAAGTGTAAAATTTCTGGATACTGAACTTTTGAATGCAGCTCAAGTTAGTTATATTCAACTAAGTTATATTTCCAGTAAATTTATCTGTAAAGAAAGTTGATATATAAATATATTAATAATTTACAGGATTTATTAATGACACGGAGTGTGATTGGAAGTCTCATGAAAAAATGTTTGAAATTGTCAGCAAATATGGAGAAAGCAGTTGCTGCTGGTGCAGCAGCTATAAAAGAGCAGCCAAAAGGTTTATCTTCCGAACTAACATTGACTCCTTATCAAATGGTTGGTTTAAATTGGTTTGCAGTAATGCATACACAAAAAGTGAATGGTATTTTAGCTGATGAAATGGGATTAGGGAAAACTGTTCAGGTCATTGCTTTCCTCACTTATCTTAAAGATTCAGGTCTTACTGAGGATACTGATGGTCCACACCTGATTGTTGTACCCAGTTCAACGATAGGTAAGCACCCATATGTGTAATTGTAACTAGGTGCATACAAACTTACATCATATTATAATCAACAGAAAATTGGAGCAACGAATTAGAGCGCTGGTCTCCAGGACTGAGAGTGGCTAAATATTATGGTTCACAAGAAGAACGGAGAATGATTCGTTTTGGATGGCGCAACGGCGATTTAGATGAAATTGATGTGATATTAACTACATACAAATTAGTCAGTAGTACACCAGAAGAACGACGACTTTTCCGTGTTATGCCCATAAAATACGTAGTTTTTGATGAGGCACACATGTTGAAAAACATGTCCACACAGAGATATGAGAATTTAATTGAAATTAATGTATATAATTTCTTTCAATACTATATTTCTTAACTTTGATCGATGTTAATTATTGCTTATAATTAACTAATGTTTTTTCCAGGCTAAACACAGAATTCTTTTAACTGGAACCCCACTTCAAAACAATCTCTTAGAATTAATGTCGCTACTCATGTTCGTAATGCCGTCCATGTTTGCTGGTAAACAGAATGACTTAAAAAGTCTTTTTGCAAAAAATCCCGTATGTTGATATTATACTTAATTGAAAAAATGTAATAATATATTACTATTTACTTACAAATAACTTTTTTCATTATTCATCAGAGAATACCAACCAATAAATCTACCGATGATAAACCACTTTTTGAAGAAGAACAAATCAATAATGCAAAACAAATCATGAAACCTTTTATTTTGCGACGATTAAAATCTGAAGTTTTAAAAGATTTGCCAACAAAGTCTAATGAAGTCATCAAGTGTCCCTTACTTAAAAAACAGAAAGATTTATACGCAAAGTTACTTGCTAGATTCTCAGCTGAAGCTAGAGAACATTCAGAAGTGGATGGTACAGGAATGTTAATGCAATTACGAAAGCTTGCAAATCATCCACTTTTAACACAAGATTACTACAAAGAAGAGCAATTAAGGGTACATACAGTATTCCTATCATTGACACAATAATATATATACAATATTAATATTTAACTGTTATTTTACAGAAAATTTCAAAAAGACTGGTCAGTGAGTCTGGCTGGAAACAGAAAAATCCACAGTATACCTATGAAGAATTGTTATGGCTTTCTGATTACAAAATTAACCAGCTTTCACGAACATATAAAAGTTGTTCTGGCTTTGGTCTGCCTCAAAATCTCATACCTGAATCTGGGAAACTGAAGAAATTAGACATTCTTCTACCTCAATTAAAAGATGAAGGTCATAGAGTATTAATATTTAGTCAATTTACGATGGTCTTAGACATTTTAGAAGAATATTTAACAATTAGAGGACATAGGTATCTTAGGTAATCATCAACAACTTAATTTCTGATTGTTCAAAATGTTGTGCTAGAATGAAAACTGATTTTTTTGTTTTAGACTCGATGGCCAAACGCCGGTTATGGCAAGACAAGACTTGATTGATGAATTCACAGAAGATAATGGCATTTTCATTTTTTTGTTGTCTACGAAAGCCGGTGGATTGGGTATTAATTTAACTTCTGCTGATACAGTGATTATTCATGATATTGATTTTAATCCACATAATGATAAACAAGCAGAAGATAGATGTCACAGAGTTGGACAAAAAAAGTAAAATAAACTCTTTTTACCATTTTTTACCATTTTTTACCAAATTATTATTGTTATGGTTACTATATAATCTTATAAATTACAGTCCCGTGAGAATTATTAGACTTTTAGGAGAAGATACAATTGAAGAAGGCATGTACAAATTAGCACAAGAAAAATTAAATTTAGAAAAGAGAATGACTGGTGACGAAGGTAATTTTTAATTGTAACAAATAATTTTTGAAATCCAGAAAACTTATTTTCGTTTGAATAAATTGTTTTATTTCCTTTACAGAAAGTGGAAATGAGAAAAAAACGGGTATATTAAAATTATTAAAGACAATTTTGAACTTGGATCACAAGAAATCGATCGTTTTATCGCCTACAACAAATGACGAAGAAAACGGATTTGATGAAGATTGACAGTGTTCAGTGTAGGAGTAATACTTATTATATCAATATACATATTTACTTGTGATGCATTTTTCTACCTATTATATTTTATGCGAGTCTACATGGAGTAGCACCAATTATGATCTTTTTATTCACTTTTTCAATGGAACTTGTATGTACAAAAACATTTTTACAAGTGTATGTTCAAGTGTCTTGTTTTCAACAAAAATTATGATGTGAAATATTTTGTTTACTATGTATTTATTAAATGATCGTCATTTTTGTAGTATTGATTTTCAATTCTCATCCTAGTTGTCATTGATTATTGAAATTTTGTAAAAGTTGTCATTAAATTTGTGTTAAAAACATAAATACTATCATGTACTACTATCAGTTCTCTTTAAAAATAGTATTTAGTATTTTTAAGAATGAGAAAAGATAACATAATTATGATCTAAAATATAAAAATCTTTTATACTTTCAGATTTTACTTTGATTTTTTACCGGTTTCGTTTAATTTGAAAGTTGTGACTGAAATCATATATTAATAAAAAGTTTCTGATACTATACTAAGTTTATTATATCCAAACTTAAAAAAAAATTATCTCATAATATTAGCTTAAAGTGACTTCACCAGGACGGGCCGTATAATGTCGGAGAGCCGTTGGTATCATCAAATTGTTGTATAAACGTCAGAAATAAGTACGTTAAACAATTTTGTAATCAACTAATTGTTTAATAATATAAAATTTGATACTAAACAGTGTCAGGCACTGAATTTATTTTTCCTCCTACTTTCTTCTCATCCGTAGCCCCTAAAAGAACGTCATAACAATCTAAATATCTGTTATTATTTTATTACCGTTATAAAAACATCGGTCTAGAAAAGAATTCATCAAATATCAATATTCATTATTATTATCAAAACAAACATTACACAACGTAATTTTTAATAAATGTAAACAAACGTCCAATATCATTCATAAAAGTGTATATTCCTATAACAAAATGGAAAATGAAGCTAATGGACAATAGCGAGGCGAGGTAAACTGTGACTCGTGAAGGAGAAAGAAAGTTGTTGCGATGCTCGGCCGACTACGCCAGACACACTTGCTGATTTGCTCAGAAGTTCTAACCGCGCAAACAAAACTAGCGCGCACGCGCTTGCTCAGTAATCATCGAGACTTAAGTTTGTTTTCGCGTTCTTGTCTCTATCAAGAGGAAGACCTTTGAATCGTCCACGAAGGTTTTCGTGCGTCTCTGTGCGAATTTGACGAAAGTTCATAAAACAAGACATATATAATCGTGGAAAAAAAAAACGACGGCGAGGGATAGACGTGACGGTGTTGGGTGTAATATTCAAATACATATAGAGGTTTTCAAACTCTGGGTGTAGCTGTGTACAGCATCACTGATGGCATTGTTAATATACTGACCTTGCCGGTGGTAAGACAATGTGGTAAGTTTATACACCAACAATTAGTGACTTGCTTGTTCATTTCTTTTTCTCTACCTCTTTCAAGCTTACATTCCAGCAGGCGCATTTTCATTTAGTTTAGTATTACCCCTTGTATCCTGCTCGTACTTCTTTGTTTCAAGAGTAGTATGACAGCATTCGTAATTAACATTAAATTATTATTTTTTTATTCACTTTTTCATTGGAATACGTATATCTCTAAATAAAATATTTTTATACGTATATTCATTGTCTTGTTTTTAATAAAAATTATTAAGTGAAATATTTTATTTTATTTAATGATCGTCATTTTTGCAGTATTGATTTTCAATTCTTATCCTAGCTATCTTCGATTATTTTAAATTCTATAAAAATTGTCATTAAATCCTGTCTTATTTTAAAAAAGGACCGCGAAGTTGGCCCCTGGGTCTTCAGCCGAAATTGTTGACGAAAAAGGGAAAACGGCATAAATTACCGTAATTGTTCCTGATGTCGGTGGTACATTTCCATTTTTGATTCGTGAATACAAAATAGGTAAAAATCCAGTCTTTCCGCGTAGCTAAAGTATGGCGGTTTTCTTATAAAATTATTGATGAATCTTAACGTTTAAGGGCTTAAAAGACTTGGTTTGCTGTGATGCATACACAAAAAAAGAATGGCATTTATCTGATGAAATGGGATTAGGAAAAACTATTCTAGTCATTGATTCATGAATTCATAGAAGATTATAACATTTTCACATATATGTATATTATCATATAATAACATTGTTATTTTATTTTTGTCTATGAAAGCTGGTGAATTGGGTATTAATTAACTTCAGCTGATAGAGTGATAGGCATGATATTGACTTGAATCCACATAACAATAAACAGAAGCTATATGTTATAGAATTGGACAGGAAAAATAAAATAAAATACTTCCCTATTTTTTATAAAACTATTATTGCTGTTGTTAATATGTAATATCTTATGAATTACAGACCTGTGAGAATGATTATACTTTTAAGAGAACAAACAATTGAAGAAGACATGTACAAATTAGCTCAAGAAGAAGTAAAATTGAATTTAGAATAGAAAATATCTGGTAATGAAGGTAATTTTTAATTTTAACAAATAATTCTTGAAATCTAGATAACTTATTTTTATTTGACTAAATTGTTTTATTTCATTTACAGAAGGTGGAAATGTAAAAGAAACAGATATATGAAAATGACAAAGAAAATGGGTTTGATGATTAACAGTGTTTAGTGTAGAAATAATATTTATTTCATATACATTTACTTAATTTTTCTTTGTATTCTATTAATGAAAGTCTACATGGTAGCACAAATTATCATGTGAAATATTTTGTTTATGATGTATTTAATGAATGATTGTCATTTTTGTAATATTGGTTTTAAATATTAACTCTAGTTGTCTTTCTTTAAATTCTGTAAAAATTGTTATTAAAATATAAATATTATCATGGGTGTAATATTATCAGTTCTTGTTAAAAATATTAATTAGTTTTTTTAAATAAGAAAAGATAGTATAATTATGGTCTAAAATATAAACATTCTTTATACTTTTAGATTTTAACTTGATTTTTAAGTTTGGTTTAATTTAAAAGCTATGACTCAAATCATATATTGATAGAAAGTTTCCGATATTGTATGAAGTTTTATTATATCTAAATTTGAAACAATCATCACGCAATAATTTAAAAATTAAAATTTAATTAAAATGGCTTCATCAGAACGGGCCATATAATGCCGGAGAGCCGTTGGGGATATCATCATTTTGTTGTATAGATGTCAGAAATAAGTATATTAAATAATTTTATTTTTAATTAATCGTTCAGTAATATTAAATTTGTAAAAAAAGTGTCGTACATTCAATTTATTTTTTCACCTTCCTTGTCATGCATAGTCTTTAAAAGAATGTCATAACAATCTAAATATCTGTTATTATTTTATGACCGTGATAAAAACATCGATCTAGAAAAGAATTCATCAAATATCAACATTCATCATTATCAAAACAAACATTCCATAACGTAATTTTTGATAAATGTAAGCGAACGTTCATTATCATTCGCGAAAGTGTATTTTTCTGTAAAGAAATGGAGAAACGAATCCAAGCTATATCACAAGCGAGGCGAGGTAAGCCATGACATGACTCGTGAGGGGAAAAGAGAGTTGTTACGATATTCGACAGACCACGCCATAGACACGCTGCTGACTCGCTCAGAAGTCCTAACCGTACAAGCAAAACATGCGCGCACGCGCTTGCTCAGCAATCATCGAGACTTGAGTTTGTGTTCGCGTTCTTGCCTCCTTCAAGAGGAAGACTTTTGGATCGTCCACGAGGGCTTTCATGCGTCTTTCAACGAATTTGACGAAAGTTGACAAAACAAAATAAAGGAATCATCATTACGGAAAAGACGACAACGAGGGATACACGTGACGGTACGTTGCGTGTAGCCAAGTGAAGAGAGGTATTCGAGAGCCTTGGGTTTGTAAATGCTGATCGTAGCTGCGCGCATCAAGCATGGCTGGGATTTTTGATATTGAGCTTGGCGATGGTCAACCTAATGAGGTTGAATCCGACGACGATGTCATCGACAATGTGGTGAGTTTATTATACCAGCTGCGCGCAAGTGACTAGCTCGCTCGTCTTTTCTTTCTTTCTACCTCTTTCAAGGTTACCTTCCAGCACGCACGCTTTCATGCTTATTATTACCCCTGATATCCTTATGTTTCTCTGTTTCAGGAGGAGTATGACAGCACTCCTAACGAGGATACGATGCTCGAGTGAGTACCTTTTTTTTTATTATCCGGAGAGGACCTCGCTCTGAAAATTTTCATTGCTAACGCACGGTCTGCAGCATGTGCCGTTGCAACAGATCACAATGATGTAGCTTTGTATTTTACGAGAAATAGCAAGTTTTGTATCTTTTTTCGCAACAACGTGCGACATAATAGGACAAGTTTTTATTTTTTTTTAATTGTAGTGTGCTTGAAAGCTATTTATTGGTATTAATAACAAGTAGGTCACCCACTTATACTCCTTAATATTTAGGATCTTTAGATATTGTAAAAGTGACGTTTCTTAATGAGTAAATTACTGCTAGTCTGTTCTATTTGCAACTATATTAAAAAATGACAATATAACTTTTAGGACTGGTGAACTTGAGCGTGTCCAGCTATCCGAGCAAAATGTTAACCCTGGACAGGAGAAGACTGGCCCAAAAGATTTTGAATTGTGCAAGATCTTGGGGGAAGGTGGCTATGGCAAGGTTTTCCAAGTTCGTAAAGTTACTGGCAAAGACAAAGGCAGTATATTTGCAATGAAGGTAACTTTTTTTTCTCTTTCAAGTGTACATTACATAAAAAAGTCCCAATAGTGTTTTTTTTAATTTTACTTATTTAATTGATGTTAAGTGAAAATTAATATATACATTATTATTCATTAGACAAGTTTCTAAATTAAAATATTAAATGTTTTTTTAGGTGCTAAGAAAAGCATCAATAATAAGAAACCAAAAAGACACAGCACACACCAAAGCAGAAAGAAACATTTTAGAAGCCGTGAAGGTATATAGTTGATGGGTTATTATTAGCCATGCTATTTCTAGTAAGAATGTTTTTATATGAATTGAATTGAGTTACTTTTTTCTTAGCATCCATTCATTGTGGATTTAATGTATGCTTTCCAAACTGGAGGTAAATTGTACCTTATCTTGGAGTATCTATGTGGTGGAGAACTTTTCACATACTTAGATAGAGAAGGCATTTTCTTAGAAGATACTGCTTGGTAATTGTTGATATTTGTTATTTTGTTTCCTTTAAATAACATCTGCTTTGCTTTCAGTTTTTATTTATCAGAAATTATAGTGGCACTACAACATTTACACACACAAGGAATAATATATAGGTATATAATTTGAAAATCATATATCTTTCTAATAATTATTTAAAGTTAGGCTTGCATTTTTACCAAAATACTTAACGAATAATATTTTTAGGGATTTGAAACCAGAAAATATTTTATTGGATAGGGAAGGTCATGTAAAGTTGACTGATTTTGGTTTGTGCAAAGAGCACATTGAAGATGATGCTCTTACACATACATTTTGTGGTACTATTGAATACATGTAAGCTGAAATGACTTATTTATTTTTTATGAAATGTAACGTGGATTCATAATAACAAATATGTAAATATTTTTATATTTTTTAAACAGGGCACCTGAAATCTTAACCAGAAATGGACATGGCAAAGCTGTGGATTGGTGGAGTTTAGGAGCACTTATGTTTGACATGCTAACTGGTGTGGTGAGTAATTCAATGTGTTAGATTAATATGAATAGATTTTATTTTAATTTACTCCTGTGATATAGCCCCCATTCACCGGATCAGATCGAAGGAAAACAATTGACAAAATTTTAAGAGGTAAACTGAATCTGCCTCAATACTTAACAACAGACGCTAGAGATTTAATCCGTAAATTGCTGAAAAGACAAGTTCCACAAAGACTCGGTGCAGGTTCAGACGATGCAGAGCCAATAAGAAAACATAGTTTCTTTAGTCATCTTAATTGGCAGGATGTTACCGCACGAAGATTAGTTCCTCCATTCAAACCATCTTTGGTAATAAATAATTTTATCATTTACTTTATATATAATTATTTTTTTGTGTAGTAAAATGATACATAATAATTATTTTATAGAAAAGTGCTGATGATACGTCACAATTTGACGAACAATTCACCGCTACTGTGCCTGTTGATTCCCCAGTTGAAAGTATGCTGAGTGAATCTGCAAATATGATTTTCCAAGTTAGTAATTTTGAATGTCTATAAATCTACTAGTTCCTTTTATTATTCTTTGAAATATATTATATTATTCTAAATCTAAGTAAATTATACTGCGAAAGTCTGTACTATAACATTGCTTGGATTGTTTTATTTGCAGGGTTTCACATATGTAGCTCCCAGTGTATTAGAAGATTTGTACAATCCACAAAAAAATGACATTTCTCGAAGTGAGAAAAATATACTTAGTACCAGTCAAGGCAGACGCCGTCGTAGATCTACATCTCGAACACCAGAATCGCACTTACAAGCAATGTCAAACTTCCATAATCACAGGTATAACTTAATTTAAATAATTTTTTAATCACCGAATATTAAAATAACATGTGAATGATTCAAGAATATAAATATTTTAGACTCGCCATTCCTGGTCATCATAGTGCTGACGACACCGAGATGATGGAGGTAAGCCAGTTGTCGGGACATGTATAGCACACAAAGTATCATAGTCACAGTTTATAAGCAAACGCGAAATTTCCGTTTGTGTAAGAAAAGGGAAATAGTTTATAATTGTACATACGATTTCATGAAAATTTGGTGACTGCAACTAGTTAATTTAACCTTTTCTCAAGCTATACAAAATTACTTGTAAGCAGTTCGAGAAACAAAAATGATATTCGCTTGGCTGAACGGTGTATAGCCACTTGGGAAATTGGCTATGCTTATAGTAACGATTACAGATAATTTGATTTAAATATCTGTATTCGTTATTCACGGTAAGCATTTTACACAAAGGCATTGTTAACACTTTCATAACAAAGCAGAATCTCCGTGTGCTTTCGTGTATGTATATATATATATAATAACGAGTTCTTTGCGGAAAAAAATATTCGTGCAATTTGATAATATGAAATTTCAAGGAATTGCATCTTCTCAAGATTACGCCTTGTCTAAACGTAAACTTTAAGCTAGTCTCGCTTGAACTTTTAACGTTGAATAAACTTTCTCTACACATTTTTCTCTGTTTTTTCATACCAAACATGTTGCGTTTACATTGTTTAAAAAAATATAATCCGAGTTTTAAAGTTGAAGCAAAACTATTTTAAAGTCTACGTGTAGATAAGACATTACATATAAATGTAACTTTTCACCTTGGATTTCGTGAATAAAAAAGTGTCGATACCGAAAACGCCAAAGTACGGAATTCAGATAATAGAAACTGTTTACAAATATTTTTTAAAAGTCCTTGTACATACATGCCAATAAATAATTAAACAAACAAAAAAATCCTGGGAAGATGTTGCTAATAATTCTAATACTTTAATACGTTTCAATGGACTATGAAAAACAAGAAAAATTAGTTTGAATTTGATTGATTTATCAATGATGTTAGGAAATGATGTGGATTAATGCATAATGCATTTTACAAACCCATAGTGATCTGTATGACAAATTTTCTTGCTAATTACCTAGTAAGATGTTCAATTCCGATTACATTGGTACTTTGTAAATGGTTTTGTAAGTAATTTTGACACAGAATCAAGAATACAATGTATACCATAGTTACCTTTCTGATAGAATCAGTTGGATCATTGCTGATTTATTCCATCTACTTGTCTTAAGAAAATTTTGCGACTATTAAAGGTTTAGCTGTAATGAAAGTAAAAGACATTAGAACCAATTAATTAAAAAAAATAGTACTCACATTTTAGTGATATTTTTGTGAGCAATATTAAATTTATGTTGCAAAACTTTTTTAACATGTGAAGTGCAAATAGCATAAAGTAGTTTAGAACATTTTCTAGAGTTTTGTATTAAATTCTTTACAATTCTAAAATATATTTTAGACGTCTTATTATGTTATTTATATTCATTCATAGATGTTTGTAGTTTGAATGGAAAATGAATTTTGCACAAAACATGTTGAACAGGTTTATTTCATAATCATACCAGATGTAAGTTTTGTGAAACTAACAGGTATTTTTATTTGAAAAAGTAAAGTTTTATTTTTTATGACTAATTATTAACTGCGTTCGAACGTAGTTAAATTGAAACGAGCAACTCAAATTGATAGTATAGAAAGAAAAAAATACTTTTATCACATATAAATGAACCAAACTGATTCTAGTAAAACATTACAGATAAATAAAAATAAGCCAAGAAAGCATGGAATCCATGTACGAGTGATAGCTCAGAATTTAAACTGCCCAAGTGTTCACGCCATAATAGTTGGCTAAATGAATTCAACATAGATACACATATACTGTACGCATAAGTTGAAAACATTATAGTTATAAAACATATGTTGTTATAAAAAACTAATCTAGAGAAATTTGAGAGTGAAATAAACTAATTAAACATTATGTGAAGCTTGTGGTTATAAAAATGTTTAATAATATTTATAACTTACAAGCTGATAATTTTTAATCAAATTGAAGGCAAGAATGTTTTAATATTATTTATAATTTACAATTTAGGAAATTATGCTTTTTTCTTTGATTAGATATCAGTAAAATGTGTATCAAGATTTATTGATTATCTTTTCTTTAAAATTATGTAGTCTTAAGTGATGATTTAAGTATGTGAATTTATTGTATGTGGCAATACATTAAATTATATTATTTCTAAAGCAATTAGTAAAAGTTTGAGATGTTATTGTAGATGTGACATGCAATTAAGCATTTTTGTAATGGTTTCATTTAAGATTTTTGAATGATTTTTGATCTTATTAATGTGTTTTTGCATAAAATATACTTATAAAAAAATATATGTGATTTCATTTTTTCCCTTAATTCAATATTCCAGTTAATTTGTTTATTTAACAAATGTATGCTATTGTTTAACGATGACGAATGGTCTGAGTAATAATATACAAGTCAATGATTTTAGTAATAACAATTTTTTTTTGTTTTTATACATTTATTTGTATAGATATCTTAATTATACACCATACATGTATCGCAAATAGCTTAAGTTGTAATATAATATATTAATCCATTACAATACCGTTAATGACATATGCTAATAAAAATTTTCTATTTACATTGCAATTTATGATTATACAAATTATTAGTTGAATTGTAAATTATAATTTCCTATGTAGTCAATTAGAATAGGAATGGAGTGGAAAAGTTTATCTTTTCCGGCGCTTATCGTCTTTCCTTTTATATCTTTCTTCATCGCTTGATTCACTAAACTTCCTTTTTTTGCTTTTTGAATAATCTTTTGAGGAATGTGATCTATGTTTATGATTTTCTTTTTGATCCCAGGTTTTACTTTTTTCATTAACTTCTTTGTCATGTCGACTTGATTTATGTTCCCTTTTGTGTTTTTCTTTTCGCCTCTCCTTTTCTCTATCTTCTTTAGAACTACTTGAATCACTGTCACTTTCACTATTGCTACTCTCACTACTACTTTTAGAATGAGTTTTCTTCTTTTTCAACTTCTTTTTCTTTAACTTCTTTTTTTTCTCCATTTTTTCAAGTTTTCTAAAAATGTAGAATAAATTAATTAATTTAAAGTATAAATAATGAGTTATAGAACTGTTAGTTTGTAAACACATAAATGTTACATTTCTTACTTTAAAAGTTTTTTCTTTTCTTTTTTTGACAATGACTTAAAAAATGTAATTTCAGTCTGTTCCTCGTCATCAGAAACCATTAAGTGTTGATGTTGTGGGACACTTAAATGTTGTTGAGCATTCAGAGCAGATCTGTAGTAGAGAAAAAAATTAATATGTATTCATTTTGTCCAATAATTAAATTAAAAAAATTATTACATATATTCTTACTTTTTTAATGCTAAACCATCATCTCTCATCTGTTGCACTAAAGTTAAAGCATCAGGTGTCACTGGAAGGGTTTCTGTGGGATTATTGCCAGCTATCACAACACTCATTGCTTGACTGTATAGTGGACATTCCTTATCTGAAATTGTCGATATATTTATATTGTAAAAATTTAGTCAATAATATAAGTTAAATTAAAAACACTATTATAGTACCTGTATTTATATGACCCCACTTGTGACACTTGATACATCTTACGTTGCGCACTTGAATACCAAACGGTTGATCCCTAATCTCACTGTCTCCTTTGCAGTAGCTTTCCCTTGGTGCATTGTATTTACGTTGCCACTCAAACTTGAATTCAGGTTCATTATCTTCCTTTTCTCTTTCTTTTTTAGCACCAGGAGGAGGTTCATACATGAAATTGACACTTAATTTATCTTTACTTTCCTTGCTCAGTAGAGCTCTAAAAAAATAAATCTCATTGTAGTAGGCGAATATCGTATTTAAATTAACAAAAACATAGATTAAATCAAACAAAAATATTAACAAATTACGACATAATGAGACATAACCTCAAACTACTTATTTTACGTACTTATTATTGTGAAGGTCCTGCTCTTTTTCATATTGCATACGTAGCTCTTCCTGCCTCTTTTTCTCAGCCTCAGCTTGTTGTTCAGCCATCCATACCTAAAACGACAATATAAAATTTGGCAATATTCTAAAGGTAATTCATTGCCAAATTTGGTTGCTCAGTAACGCGACAAAAACTTACCCGTTTCAGGTTATCTCTAGAAGCTGGATGGAAGAATTTTTTACACATGTAATTGTTGAATCCTTTACCCATTTTGATTGATATTTAATAATTGAGTAGTTGACAAAAAATTATTCGCAAAAATCTACTTTTTTCCACTGGCATCAAGTACAAGTGACCGACATCCCATCTAGGGAGCAAGCCAAAAATTCCAAGTTCTCCCCACTGTCGATTTCTTTCTTGGCTCATGTCCACGTGACTTCTCTTCTCTTCTAGGCAAGTGACGGTGGTTGAGAATGGAGTAGAACCGAAATATGTTGCTCCGATTTATTTTCGACAGCTTTTGCTCATTTTCGTGAGCAGTAATATATAATAGACCAAGTGAGTAGTAAATAAACTTTTGTCAGCAACAAAATGTACCCGTGACAATTATTATTATATATTATATTTGTAAAAAGTGGAAGTTATTGAATCTTCAATTGAATGCGTAATTACAGCAAAAAAAGATGTAAATACGTACAGAGCAGTGGTCGTTACTCGTCATTAGCAAAAACATAACCTGTGATAAGTGTCAATGCAATAAACCGTTATTGAACCAGTGAATCATTATCAGTTAACAACAGATAAGAATTAACGATAACGTAAAATTATTAAACAAAGAGATATTCGTGTGTGCGATAAGACTGTAAAAGTGAAAATAGTTTGACGCTGTTGCGTTGTAATGCTACGCGAGTCTAATTATTAAGATACGTGGGTGACTTACACGCCTTCAGATATACGCCCTACGAATAGACTCAGCGCAGACAAGATAAAATAATAGTGCGAAGATGAAGTGTAATGAAAAAAACATGATCGCTTTCGCAACTTCGTCAACGCCGATTGATCGTGAAGGTTGGTTGAACAAACGGGGCGAAGTCAATAGAGCGTATCAGAAACGATGGTTCGTTTTGAAAGGAAACATATTATTCTATTTTGATCGTCGAGGCGATAAGGAGCCTGTTGGCATGATTATTCTAGAGGGATGTACTATAGAATTAGCTGAAGAGGATGAACAGTTTGCGTTTAAAATAGTCTTTCATGGCGCCGGTAACAGAAGTTATCATCTTGCAGCTGATTCTCAGGTAAACAGATAATTTCAGCTGCTTGAAAATGTAATTCAAACAATAAAGTATCTTCTATATTCAATTTTCTAGGAGTCAATGGAACAATGGATGAAAGCTTTAGCATGCGCAGGTTATGATTACATGAAGTTAATGGTTGCAGAGCTTCAACGGCAACTAGATGCAGTTGAAGAAGAAACTGTAACTGTACCCGAGGAACCACCAAAAGCACCGCCACGTCAGAGGCATAATCCATTCAACAGACTAGAATCTCATCACAGATCTCAAAGTGTCAGATCAGCACCTGGACGAACAGAAAATATACCCAGATCAAAAGTGTCCTTTAGAGAATTGCACAATACTTATGGTAGGAAAATATTAGCAGATTTGAACCAGTGGAGGCATGCTAAAAGAGCTGCTGAAACTCCATTAATACTCCTATGACCATGAAAAAAAAGAACTATGTACATATCAGTTGTAATGACTCACTGAATCTATTTATATGATTGTTTCAAATAAGTGATACTTATTTTAGATCAACATATTTAGAAAAAACTTTTATAAAATTATTTATTTTTCTATATAAACATAATAAAGGTTTTAAGTATTGCTAAAGAGTTATGATACTGATAGTTAAGATCAATTTTGATAACTACTTGCTTGCTTAAAGTATTACTTATTATGATTTACTGTTAATGAAAAACCAAGAAATAGTATTCGAAAATTGTTTATTTCTTTTTGAGATAAATAAATAAAAAGAACAGCCAGCTGTGTTATAATAAAGTACTGTGAAAAATATTCAATTTAATACATTTTAATCTAATACCTTCTGAATATTTCAGTTGAAGCGTTATTTTTTCTTTATCTACACTAATTACAGCCTGTATATATATACATATATATATATATATATATATATATGTGGGTGTGTGTGTGTGTGTATATATTTATGTATATATATGTATGTATGTATATAAAACATTTTTAATAAGCAAGTCGTGGTATAAGACTAGTTTTAAAATCTTTATAAACATGCACAAATAGAAATAGATTTATATAAAAATAACCAAATACGTTAAATTAATTTTCAAAGGTTCAGATGTTATTATAAATTTTCTCAAAGTTAAGATCAGTCAAGTTACTATCATTGAATTCAATTTTAATAAATTTCGGAAAAAGTTTCAATTTCATTTAAATTTAAAAACGCTTTTCTTTCTCGCATCACCGGGCAAATGTCTAGCGCCAAGCAGTAGTCGAGCTTTATCTTCTTCCTGAGGAGTCACCTCTTCTTGTGGATTTCTTGGCTTGATTTGTAATTTTTGTTTGATCGCTTGACTTAGAATGACTCGTCTTGAATCACTCTTCATAGCTAATAAAAGGTCCAGCCATGTCCACGTAACGTTGTGATACTCTAATGTTGGTATTACAAGAGCAATGTCCCGGACATCTTCTAGATTCTTTTCTTTGTTACCCTGTAGATGAAAAAAGTAATGATAAAAACCTATCTTTTATTTAATTACTCTATGGAATATAAGATATAATTAATTACTTTATACGATACCCTCACCGGCACCTCTGGTATTTTTATATAAATAAACAATTTATTTTTATCAGCTCGCTCTTTCATTTTTTCTACGTCTTCTCTTCTTTCGATTGGAACGTAGAATGATGAATCTCTCTGAGAAACTTGCGGTTCTTCTATACCTTCGGGATCTCTTTCAGGAAAGCAGAACTTTAACATTGTATTGAAGAATTTTTTGGTTAAGCCTACAAGAAAATAATATAAATCAGTTTCGTCAGTAATATTTAAAATTCCATTTCGCAATATTTCACATACCAATAGTTAACGGTATAACATTAATCTCAAAATGCTCCTTGACTGAAATACCAGCAACCGGAGCTTTTTCTCTGCAGAACACCCTGAGTGCTCTTTGTCTGTCCACCGGCATATTGTTTTGCAATTCAGTCGGGGCAAGTACATCCGTGTAAATTTGATTCGGCAATAGATTCGTCATTCTAACATATCCTAGTTCAAGTAAATGCTCCACCGAATCATCTGTCTTACTAGTCTTAGTGTACAAGAAATTGGTAAGGATGAGATCGGCGATACCCAACTGTCCATCAGCATCTGTCAATCGCCACTGAGCATGCTTAAAGCATATTTCAGCAGCTCTTGCTACAGCAACTTGCTTATCCTTGAGCGTAGTTGCAGCAGCAGCAGGAGCTGTAGTTTCCTTGTAACAACTAAGCATAACATCAAGCTCATCAGCTTTGGCGCTCAATTTCTCTTTACACTCGAATACTCTCGTCTCGAGGCGCTCCATTTCTGCTAACAAACTTGGACTAGATTCTTCCACTAAAGCTTTTTGAACTAGGTATGTCTCTTTTTCCAGTCTACGTAATTTTGCTACCAATCCTCTGACGATATTTTGACGCTCTTGAATCGGACGTTTCTGATCTTCTTCTGAATGTAACTGCATTTGAAACCTATACCCAAAAAAAAACTCATAAGACAAAATTTGTAACGAAATATTAAAAAGCTAAGGATAATTTTTTTTAGCGAACCTCATACGTTGAAGCTGCTCCAAAGCTTCTTTCCTTCTTGGTTCTACATATAGCAACAAATTGTTAACAATGTCAAGAATCATGGCGTATTGTAGTGAGTTAGTACACACATCTAAATCGTGATGCATAAGTGTAAAAGCATCTGCAGCTGATAAATCTTTACGTTCCCAAGGGCTGATTTCTTCTCCTGGCGGAGGTGGGACTTCAACGAGTTCTTCTTCATCCAACGCTTGGCTGTATCCAACATAGAAGAATTCACATTTACAACGTGATACTATCCGCTGTAGTTGATGCTGAGGTCCACCTCCACCACCAACAGTTTGACTGACTACTCCACCGACACTTTGGCCTGAGCCAACAAGAGCTGGCACATCTGGAAGACCTACTATGACTGTCGAATCTTTCTCCTATCGATAAAATTGCGAGTAAGCTAACTAGTTTAAATTATTTTTTTTTGAGAGAAAAGAAACGCACCTGAATATTATCTAGTGTCAACCACATAATATTATCGTCAATGTTGTCATCGATGTTTGCATTGACAGTGGCATAGTACTGCATGCACTCCAAAGAACCGACCCACGTAGTTTTTGACATTAATGTACGATCTTTCCATACTGGCCTGTGAACTATTTGGAGAATTTCAGCTTTCGCAGCCGATAGAATGACATAGCCTTTGGTTTCAATTCCTTTCAATAATACCTGACTATTGACTAAAGCGACTAAAACGGACAAAAAGTAAAATTTTTACGTTCGTTTGGATAAAACAAAAGTATTTATAAGCAAAGTATACTCACTATGCCAGTTTTTATGCAACACGTCATCCTGATTGCAAGCTGCCAAACCGCGTAACTGTTGACCTCTGGTTTGCACAGACATATCATCACTGAATGCAACCGGTTTGTTAGCTGCCTCGGCGATAAGTCGTTGTAACATCCCAGCAGCTTCACTTTGCTGAGGTTTAGCCGTGGTAACGGACGACGGGGTGGAAACTGTTTGTGACGAAGGTGTACCTTGACCATCGATTGTTGGCCGCGTGCGATTTTTGTGAGGTGTCGAACTGGATTCACGGTGAAAACCCTTGAGTGCTTCTGTAGACAGGTTCTTCTTGAGTTGTTGATTTTTCATGAAAGAATCGAACAAGGCGAAAGCAACGTCTCGGTTGGTTTTTGTCCAAGCTCCTTTTAGATCATGCACAACTAATCGATGCATTGGTGTGTCGTTATTTACCCCTGCTACAACTGCTTCTCTGTTAAACCAATGAACTTTTTATTATGTAATTACTCTTTAAAACATTCACGTTATTAGTTATAAAAACAAATCTTACCGTCCGTAACTAACAGTAGACACGCTCAAGCAATAACACTTTTCAACAGGCTTCCTCAATGAAGCACTCTCTTTGTCTTCGTCCTGAAGCGCACTCTTCAACCAGATTTCGGCATCGCTGAGCTCACACGTCATGTAAACAATCGACCACTCGGCTCTGGGTCTATGTATCAAACCATCATCAATTGGATGTAAACTAAGAGTGTGCTCGGAGCTACAAGTGACACGACCACCGGTCACTTCGAAACCACGTTGCATCGCGAATGACATCCAGTAACTGACGTGAAAACGATGAAAAGCAAGAGTCAAACGAACTTTACGGTAGTGACGACTGAGTTGCTTCTTGCGGGGGCGAATATTCTTGAAAAGTGGACCTTTACGAGTTGGTCGCGTGGCACCTGACAAGATGAATTTGAGATTTTCGAACCAGCGCAAGGTGCTGCCGTAAAGCACTGCTGTTGGTGCGCTGCTGAGTGTCGGCGAGCCAGTTGGCTTTGTTTCCAGTGACAAACTCACATTCAGATTCTATAGAAGAATTACATATAAATTTTAATAAATCTACTTTGATTTTTCGACTCCATTGCGTACGCATTTTTACCTGAGATCGAAAAGCACGGAAGGAATCGTGCTGCTGATTGCTAGTATACTCGGGCAGCTTATCTGGTGCGCAAGGAATCGCCGCATGATGATCTCTTGGATCACCCAGACAAACCCAAGCCAACTTCATATTCAATTTGACATTTGGCAGATGTAAAAGTCGACAGTCATCGTATTTGCTAGCAGTGCGTACGTAAACGTCAAGATCACCTTTGACGATAATTTTACCAAGAGTCCAGTCGAGTTCTAGATTTGACCATGTCAGTTCCATCTCCTCAGTTGTGTTGTAAGGATCGAGAGAAGCGTGTAACAACACTGTCAGTTGCGTTACGCAAAGAGTCATGCGGCCGTGAAGCGCTAGACGCATCTTATCCCAGAAAGGCAATGGTGGACTTGGATCACGGGAAGGGTGAATGATTTTTTCAAAACTCAAGTTGCATTGAGCTATCACTGGCTCCCAGCACGGACCGAATGCGTACCTAGTTTAGTTAATAATCAGATTAGTATTTTACAAGACAATGATAAACTGTAAATGTTGACTTGCTTAAATTCGATCTTACCTAAACTTATTAATGTCCCAATTTAAATCGTGATAATATTTGAGTGAAGTCATGCCGCGTTCGATGACAATATCTTCCCACGGCTCACCGACTTCAATTCTGACGGTTCTTCGAGCTCTGGGTGGTGCCAAGGCTTCAGCACCAGCAAATCTTCCCCATACACTCAGTGTATCTACCAGTAGCAACGGTTGCGGAAAATCTCTTAGCTGCAACTTCCATTCAAGGCATTTCAATGATATAGCTCGCACCCACAATGTATTGAATTCCAAGCCATCCTCCGGCCAGGGTGTTTCGGGATCCATCTCGTGTAATGTTCGCGTAGCTCTTTCAATACCGTCTATCGATGGATCGGCTAATGCAATGATTTCTAAATCTAACATTGTCCACGCGAAAAGGCGCGTTCGTGCTGGACCCGCGCGTTGCATTTGTTTCCAACGTTGAACGTAAATTTCAGCGTTCTTTTTATTCAAACTCGTGTAGAGCTCTTCAACTTTACCTTGGGGAAGCAACAGATGAGCTCGACGGAGTTCTTGTACTTTGGCATCCAGCATTGATTGTCGTTTTAGACTTTCTTTGTACTCGTCCTCTAAAAGCTCGTAGTTGTCACGGAGGCGGACTTCAAATGGATCGTCGCTCACTTCGAAAATCCATTCTTTAATCTAAAAACGCATTATTTCAAATTTATTTTCAATGTCTTCAATTATTCATATGAAAATAAATGTACTTACTTTTATGACTAGATCACAGGGTAAAGGTTTCTGTTTTTTAACACTCGAGGAGTGAATTTCCTTCAGCCACTTTCTAATGCTAAATAATTCATTTTGAATAGCTTCGGCAAATCGATGCTCATATGGGAAACATGCCTTCGCCAAATCAATATTCAAAGACCACGTCGTATTCCAATCCAACTCGAAAGTCTCGTTACTTTGTCTCTCGGCTCTGATTTCCTCGCTGTCTTCTAATCTAATTAACTTGAAACCTTCGATTGTAATTATAGCTGTAGCGTCTAAAGCTACACGCAGATAATTGAGCCTCCATTCGCCTTGTGACCATCGCAAACGATCTGTTGATAATTCCAAGAAGTGATTGGGAGAAATGACCACCGTTAATGATACTTCATCTGTACAGAGGATATCCAGTGTACGTTTTGATGGAATTTCATCTGAAAATCAAATAAATTAAAGTTATCGAGAATTCTCCGGTAGTATAACTAAAATTTTACATCGTCAGGCTATTATTGCATGTACCATTTTGTCCGTCGATAACAGAAACGATTTTTCTTTCTGTAACGATAGCTCTAAAATCAGCTGACTCAAGCCACAATTGTAGCAGACGAAGATGCAAGTTGGGACTCCAAGCTGCATTTGTGTGATCAAGATTTACATTTATCGCAGAGTCCGTAATAGCAGTTTTGCATTTTCTAATTACCAAGAATGGGTTTTTCAAAGAATTCCTGTCTTGTACATGCTGACATTTGATTGGTTCATTTTTATTTAACGGTATCGCACAAACACCTTCTGCTACACCTACGAAATGCTTTGCGTTTCGCTCCAAAGCTGTTGAATCTAGACGTACCATGATTGCAACTGAAAATGATAATTTAATTATTTATATGATATTAGTTTCTTTCTAAGTTAAAGAAACAATGTGAACTCACGTTCATTTTCTGCTATAAAAAATAAGTTACAGTTAGACACTTTAACATTCAATTGAGTTATTGGATTATTGCTTAATTTATGACTAGTTGTAGAAGGTGATTGCACGTGTTGCTTGTAATACCTAAGATTGAAAAGTAGTCACATAATATTAGTGTTAATTATTTATTATTGTATCTAAAGATGTAATTTATAAAAACAAACAACTTACAATAATCCACGTTCCAAGAACTTTGCAAGCTGTAAGCTCCATTCAGTTCTAAGCGCATCAACAACAACTACAACAGCATTTTCTCGAGTAGTTACAAGAAATACTCCAATAGAAAGAGGTTTTCCCCATTCATAAGTTGAGTCAGATGCACTTGAAGTAGTACCATTCAATGCGCAAGAAAGAGATTCAAGCGTGAATTCGGTATTCCACCCTTCATATTTTTCTAGATAACAATAGAGTTCATACATAAAAGTAATACTTTTACATAACTTGTTTTCATTACAATATAAATCTGTTTACCTGCTAATCTATCCATAGAAAACTTTACATGTGCTACTGTACAAGAAGTCTCTTGAACATCAGGTAATTTTATAAGTAACGAACCTTCATAAAACTCAGTAACAGTTTGGATTGTAAGCCAATGAAATTTATTTTTTGATGTTGTTTTAACATCAGACCTTATAATATCTCGTATGCCGCTACTGAAAATTGATTCCCAATCTTTATGATCATAAGTTATTGAAAGACTATTTAACTGCGTAGAAATTTTTAAAATATCTTCTCCCATCTATAAATCAATAAAAAATAATACAAAGCTTTTTAATATCTTGATAATATTTGTAGAAAAAAATAATAAAATTGTGAAATTACAGTTGATTCTATTGACAAGGAATGTAGTGACAGAACCGGAAGCTTTCCCTTTATTGATATTCCATCCATATTTAATGCTAGATATAGTTGATTACTAATAGGTTGGAACTTAGCATTGACTTGAAGGCTCTTCATTGTACATTCTACACCTAGATGTGACCCATCTTCTCGTCCAGCAATGATGGATGAAGTACCAAGTTTTATTAACAAGTTCTACCAGAACAAAAATTTTTATGAATAGCTACAACTATAGTAATTTTATTAGTACTTTTGTTCTACTTTATAAAAACCTTCGGTAAAACGGGAGCAAATCTAGTTAGAAGATTATCGCTAAATTGCTTGGAAGGTGACGGATTTAATGTTTCCGGTGTTAAGGATTTTCTGTCCATCAAGAAATGAAGAAGACCAACCCCTCCAGAGCCTTCAGTTTGTGTTATACCAATAAATAGTTTCTAAAATATTTAAAAATGTATAATGCATTCGTTGAGAAAAATCGTAAAAATCAATTATGCCATCATACTTCTAATGATAATTCTCCCTGAGCTCTGAGAGTTGCTTCAATTGTACCAGCAAAATTTATTTTAGCTAAACATGCATCTGATGCATGTCGAAGTAATTTCATAGCTCCATTGACAACAGTTACACTTCCAAGTAATGTACGAGCTCCATGAACTACACTGCCATCTAAACTAAGAGATTCAGCACTTCCATTTGCTAACCAACCACTTCCAAGAGCCAAAAGACTTAAGTTTTCAATGTTTATTGCTAGAAACTATAGAAATATTTCATTTAATAATTTTAATAAATACATGCATACCCTGGCACAAACTTACTTGTACAACCGTTATAATAAATGAGGGAACTCTGGTATTCCTAAAATCTAACACTTTATTTGATCGATTTTTATGTTTAGCAGACACTGCAGGAACATCTACATTAATCCGCACTCCTTGTAGCATTAGGGATAATAATTTAGCCACATCGCTACTAAACAGGCTACTGCGCAAACTAAATTCTTCAATCTCCTAAAATTTTTTTTATAATTGTGACATTAGAATATAAATTTGTTATTAGAAAAATGGATAACAATTGAAAATATATAAAAGCTTACAACTGTAAAACCATTTGTAGAAATATTGACATCTCGAAAAATAAAATAAGGAAGTGAGATATGTCCAAATTGCAAATGTATTTTGAACTTTCTTTTCACAAGCCATCCCACAAACCGTGGAATAATCCTGACAAAACGTGAAATCGAAATTGGTGAACATATTGCGGTGATTAAATTATACATAAAAATGTTTTGTTCTAGCTTACCATGTAAAAACACAATATAAAATCATGCAAATAAAAAGAATGGTAAATAGGCCCGTCATTTTTGGTCAATCGTTAAATTTGTTATTGCAATTCGTTTCAATTAACGATAAATATCACATTTTTTAAAATAAACATATACAAGATACGCATATTACATATTTAAAAGATCTATTTTTTGTAAAATGATGTGCAAAGTGCATTTCTGCAAACAACTAGTTTGTAAAATATCGCATATCTGATTTCTACAAAAATCTTCATTTTATTACTGAAATTGATAAGAGACGAGGGAATTAAACGGTACTAAACAATTTTTCTATGCAGTTCTTTTAACCTAAGCCTAACCTCAATGTTCTCTCATTTTATTTTTGATACAAATAACAATACAAATTTACAAATATAAAATATTTAATTTAATTTTGTTCTGTTTTATTGGCACCAGTGAGGCTTGAAATTAGTAGTCCTCTTCATAAAATCATGAATTACATCAACTAATATGACTTGGAACTTCGGCGCAAGCGCGCTTGTTTTCTGACTTGGCGGAGAATTCAAAAGAGTAAAGTAAAGTATAGTTTATTAGAGCTTAGGTATACATATATGGTAGTATGTTGCAAATTATGGCTTTCATATTTAGAATAATAGATTAACATTGTAATGTTGTATTTTATTTGAATTTGCAAAAAAGTTATGTGATTATAGTTAGGATTATGTAGGAATTATGTTATAGTGTAAGAACGATAGAGTAAGAGTAGTAATTTGTAGAACCAAGATTTTGGGGAGTTTTCATAGTATAGGAAGAAGTAAAGTTTTAGAATTTACTTGTGCAGGCGTGGTTTATTAGTTGACGAAAGTCTGTGTAGGGCAGGGTGTGAGCCGATCTTGTCCCAACGTCTGAGGCTGCTTTATTGCAAGATTGTCAACAGTTTCATTGCTTGGGATGTTTACATGGCTAAGATAGAATCTAGGATAAGATAATTTCTTAATTTTTTTGTTTTAGTTCCAGGGCAATTAATGTTTTTAATTATGAATAGGGTGATGGTGGAGAGTTGATCATGATACATTCGTTGATTGGATAGTGTCTGTATTATGCTTGGTAAATCTATGAAAATTACCGATGTGGGGTTATTGTATAGGCATATGTATTCGAGGGTAAGTCGAATGGCGTAGGTTTGTGCAGATTGAGCCTGAGAGTCGATACGAAATTGTAGGTTGAGTTGAAAAAGTTCAGAGCTGTGTACATGGTCAATCCTGCATAGAGGCCAGGAGCTTTTTTGGAGTCATTGTTGAAGAATGGTTTATATGCGTGTTGAGGACGTCTTGAAACTCAGTGATGAATTATTGGGACGTATTTTCTAATTTTTTTTTATTTGAACGCCTTTGTCTAAAATTATTATTATGAATGGTTTGTTGAGCTTCCAGTGAGAAGAGACAGTACGAAGGAATTGGGGATAAGTACATTTTCTTTTTTAGCGATTTCAACTTTAAATATATACTGCTAAGAGAGGAAGGTTGTGTAAACATTACTATGAGTCGTCGTTTACCAAATCTGCTAATATAGCTTCAATATCAGGGTGGTTTGCGATTACGAGAGAGCGAAGAATGTAGTTGAAGACCAGTATTTTCTGTTTGATTTGAGTGGGGTGTATGCATGAGAATCCTACGTAGATAATCCTTTTGGGTGTTGAGTTTCTTAATACGAGAGATACTCTGAAAGCGCGTCTTTGTGCGATGTTGAGTCTCTCAAAAAGTGGTTTTATGTGTTGAGAGGGATACGGTAAGCCGTAGTCGATCACTAGGTGGCGATAATTGCGTTATATAAACGAGGAGGGTTTTTGGGTCGTGCGGATAGATCTTAAGATGTTGATGCTATAGGTATGATTTTCGCGATCAGGCATAGAGTTTAGTCAAGAAACTTGGTCTGTGTGCTAACTGGAATAGTAAATGAGTCGATATTGTTATTTGCGCGTCCGAGTCATCTGTACGTTCGTTGGTGTGAACAATAATCTTTGTTTTTTCAAGAGAAAATGATAGTCTAACTTTTTTCAGAAAGGTGTTTACGCTAGTTTTTGAAATGACTTCAGGATATCGTTTGATATGACAATCAGTGCAATATCGTTGCCGAACTGAAGAGCTTGCATAGTCTGCGATACTGGTTCTGTAGAAATGAAAACATTAGGAACATTTTGCAGAATATAAAAAGGTATGGGCGAAATACAAGAATACAAGAAGGTAGTTATTATTTTTTCTTGCGCTAAGGTGTTTTTGTAATTGTTCATGGCACATTGCGCACATATAGTGATCTGTGATGGAATTCTTTAATGGTTTTAAAAATAACTGAAAGTGGAGTGGAGGGGCTGATTGTTTCACGGAATTCTCCAAAGGTGATTCCTTTAGTCTGTTTAAATGTCGTCTTGCCGTGTTTTTCAGCTACAATGAATTCGTTGGTTGGGTTGCGGCAAAAGGTTTTTAATGCAAATTTCGGACGATTGGCTTGTTGGCAGTCCTCATTCCAACGCGGGACGTATGTCCATCGGGCGCGTTTTTATTTTTTGGTGTCAAGTGAATGGCCCCAGGATGATTTGCGGTGCGGAAAGACATGTTCACTAGTTTGTATTATAGTTGATATGATGAAAGAATAGTAATCTTGGTAAGTGTCGTCGTGATTCAAGTTATCAAATGAAATTTTTCCAAGATAATATTATAGAAATGTATATACGATCTTTGTAAGATTTACATCTCCGGAGATTGTATCGTAGGTGGAGTGAGGGCTTTAACGAGGGGCGGGGATGCCAATATTCACTGATATGGGATAGTGACCACTGTCCATATTGTCTTCTTCAACGATCTACTCGTAAAGGAGGTGTAGGTGAGGGTATATAATTAATAAATCTACATACGTCGGTTTGGGTGGAGATCTTTTGTTTATATATGTAGGCGTACCGCATCGTTAAGACGTAGGTTATTGTCTGTGAAGTGGGTTAATAGTTTGTCGCCTATTTCGCCTGTGCTAGAGCTGTACCAAGCTATATTATAGAAGTTGAAACGAACGCCTGCGAAGACCGAGTTGAATTAAGAGAGTTATTCAGCTAGGGTTTTCCATAGATCAACAGGGAAACGAGAGTCATTGTGAGATAGTCTATATAGCACCTACGGTGAGGTCAGAGTTGTTAAGTTTGATAGATGCGACAAGTGTTTCTAAAACGTTAGGGGTGTTTGATATTGATTCTTCAAGCATAAAAGTAACATCGTTTTTTATGACTATGGCTGTACCTCTGTCTTTGCTATTGTCTCTATCTTGGCGTAAGAGAGTAAAGTCGCTGATCTTAATATTGCATTTTTTATTAGCTTTAATTTATAGTAGAATAATTATGTCGTAGCTGTGAGATATATCTTGTAAGAGAACACGTCTTTTGAAGAACGAGTTGCAGTTCCATTGCAGAATACTAGTTGTTTCTTATTATGGTTTGGATCCATTTTAATTGTTGTTTTCTTTGAGCATCGAGTTAAGAAGATTTTGAATTTTACTGACGTCTGGAGAGTTGCTTGGTAACGATAGAATGAGCTGAGTTAAGCTAAGGAAAAATTGAAACGCCTGCGAAATGTTCTTTGGGGTAAGCAGTACGGTAGGTTTCTTCAGATATAATTTCAGTTGGCAGACCGTTGTAATCGTAGATGATTTATTTTTTATAAAATACCTGATACTGGAATTGAAATTGTTCCGTATGATAGTGACGTCGAAAAAAAACGTTTAATTACGCTGTGTTTGGTCTTCACTCTCACGCAATAAAACCGGAACCAGCGTGGACTTGCTGTTACTGAAAATACTGGCATGATGGCACTGATGTGTACACAGTTATATAAAATTTTTAAAATCGACGGCGAGTGGTTTTCATACTTAAAGTAGACAAATTAATTAACACAGCTTTGTCGCAGTGTAGGGATCGTGAATGAAAAAATTAGGAACAATGTATGTTTGCAATTATAGATATATGATTTTATTTCTTTGTACAATATGTGTGACATTATGTTTACATCGACGTATGATATACAAACAATTGCAACACGTGATACTATTTGTTTGCTTTCTATTCTACAACTGCTCTCGTTTAAATGTGATGGCTACAGTGTCATATCGTCCAATATACGATTTTCCTTTCCTTTAATCTTCAGTTACATAACTTTCTTGCAAATCCTCTGAATTATGCGATGATATGTGTGATTATATGCGTGTACTGTTCGACGTGAAAATGCACGTTTTTCCAATAGTATTCCGTAATAATGAGGCTTTTATGATAGTCCTTATATGATTAAAAGATACATCGCACTCTCCGATAATATGATTAACAATGACATCGCGTGGGATTTTTGCTTGAATGAATCTTTTTTCCTTTATAGTGCACTATCTTACAGCGATTTGCACGATCATTAATAACTCAATTCTATTTCTTCGAGGTTCATTTTCCTCTTTCGTATAATTTACGCATCGCTTACAAATTTTTTTAAGCGATGCATAAATTTTACACGTACTCGGAATTCATAAGTTTTGGAATAGTTGTTTTACTCGTACATACAACAGTAAAAAATATGAAAATTAAATAAGTCAATGATTCGTCATCTCTTAATTATTGTATCAACTATCAAAAAACAGACATTTCTACATTGGAAGATGTACGTGTTTACAGTATATTTAGATTTCTCTTTTTTTTCGCAAGTCGGTATGAAGGTGAATTGAAGGCCCGGATAGAATAACAACATGAGCGCGCGAGCCTGGCAGATTAGCCCTTAAGAGTATGCAATCATCGCTGAGAGCAAAGCAAAAGTTTCAGATTAAAAAAATATTAACAAGTATTACTCTAGTAACTAACTTTCAACGAAAAAGTTGTTTATAACGTATACATCTACTATATTACAAGAATTTCGATACATTTTCAGAAATATTTACAGATTTATTTGAATTGACTACTGCACGCATGTACTAATAATATAGTATTGTAAGAAAAATAATAAAATATCTTTTGTTATTAAAATAAAACTCTTTACTATAATAAATATCAATTTTCTTATTTATTGATTGCACAATTAGGTAAATGTCATTACACTTTCAAAAAAATCAAGCATCAGATATAATAATATTACAGCAATTTTTATGCCTGATTTTTTTTCTATTTTCTCTTTGTTGTAACCTGTTTCTTTTCAAAAAGTAAATAACATTTAATTTTCCAGCACTCACTTTTTTTACACTCCTCAAACAAACGAACTGATTCCAAGCTCTTTTGTCACATTAAATGGAATACATAGCAATACTATTTAAGACACGCGTTTAGAACCGTCACTTATTATTTTTACTGTTATATGGAAACCTATTCTCTCTTTTCAATACAAATTTTAATTATTGCCATACTTATAAATTTAATTTTTAACTTTTAATTTTTTTTTATTTTTAATTTTTAATTACTGAGAAACGACGTTCTCGTATTTTCATCTCAATAAGAATGTTCATAGATAATAGCAATGATCGGTATAAGTAAAGCTGGTACTATAACTTTCCTAATTTCTGCAAATATAGTATGGAAATTCTTGCAACATGATAGATGTATACTTTGAATCATTATAAACAACTTTCTCTCTGAAAGTTTGTTGCTAGAATAATATTTGTTAATGTTATTTTAATCTGAAACTTTTACTCAGCGCTCAGCGACAATGGCATACTCTCAGACGCTAATACGCCAAGCTCACGCGTTTAAGTCGTTATTCTATCCGGACATTCAATTCTAAAGTACTCAACGTATTATGTATAAGGCTAGTATTATACAGGAATAATCTTTACTGCTTTTTTGTAAAAATATAGTCTCAAAAAAGATAAAATAATCGAAAAAGATAATTTGCCAAAATTGTGCTGGTTCAAAATGCTCGGTGATGATTATGATGATGATGACTCGCATATATTATACAAAAATTTATTAAAAACTTCTTATTCGTCTTTTTTTTCGTTTCAGTACCTTAGCGCTTAATTACAATATACTTTGTCCACTTTGATAGCTTAAAATTTAAATGTATAATTATAATAGCGCAATTGAGATAAAGTACCTTAAATGCTTAAAATAAAAAGTATAATTATTGAAACTTGTGTATTTGGAATTCTCACCGCTACTTATAGTTATAATTACGCTCGACATAATAGTTTTGGTACACATTTTCGGAGCACTTAAAAATGCAAAAGTGATTCGTCACTTTGCTGAACGTTCGACGACGAGTATAGAACGATGTTCCCCTCGTCATCATGGAAATTAAGTGTTTCAGTGTGCACGTGTGCGTGCGCGTGTGCGTGTGCGTGCGTGTGTGCGCGCGCGCGCGTGTGTGTGTGTGTGTGTGTGTGTTATGGGTGTATGGGTGGGTGAAATAAATGCTAGTCTACAAAAAGCAATAATCTTTTTTTCCTTTAGATTATTCTCCATGCGACCGTATAGTACTCGCGTTGAACGGCGATACAGTTCATTAGTATTAATGTTCGATCACGCACTTGTCTCATTGTCTCTTATTACAAATATTTATAAAACGTCTTCTATATATATTATATGTATATATATATATATATATATAATATTATATACATATACACGTATGTAATGCAGTTTATCGTTATTGATCTCCATTAACACAGTGGATCAGTATAAAACCTGCCCGAGCTGCCTCTCTACTCACACTTTCAAACACTGTGCTCAGTTTTTTAATTATTAATCTGTTGCTCGATTTTCACGTTTTGTCCTTTCCGAATCATTTTCCATAAATCCGATTTCCTCTTGAATCCAGGATGAAACTGATCGTATGTTTATGATCAATGAGTTGGGCGCATCAATGCATTTTTTCAGAGAAACTCGCGCAACGGGAAGAAAGAGAGAGATAGAGAGAGATGGACGAGATGAGAACAAATACACATTTAGAGAGAGAAAGACATTATTAGGGTGGTAACATCGATAATGAGCTTTTCCTCTCGCGCGTACTTCTATATTTTTTCTTTTTGTTTTCTTTTCACCTTGGCTATACGATTATCACTCGTCGTTTTACCGACAAACAAGTCAAAATTGACGTCACTTCGATGTGTGTTTCGAACCAAATAGAAAAGAAAAGATCGTTGTACTGGAAATCAATTGTGTATAACGTACTTTACATTTTCATAAATCTCGCACAGTTCAATATCATTTCCATAATTGTTATATCGTATCGTATACATAATCAATATGTAATGTAAGGAAGCGTGCCTTGAAAAATATAATTTACATCTCCGAGTATCGTTTTCGGTAAAAATAGAAAATATATGTATATATGTATATCAACTTTCGCATTCGCATCAGTTTTCTTCCTTTAGCTGCCTTGAGATATAATAAATTTTAACGTAACAAACGTAGTATATGTACGCCCGTACACTCGAACGATAATTCACTTTCTTATCTTGCTCATAAAACGCAAAAGTACTTGGAGAAACTACAACTAAGAGGCATTAACAAAAGTATAGGCCCTAACGAAAGCCAAAGGTAGTGTAACGATAAAACAAAAAAAGAGTCAAGAGAGATAGCTAAGTAGGCGCAAAATAGTAAAAAGTCATCACTAAATAATCAAATAAATAAATAATCCTTATACGTCTTAGACCGTTTATCTACAGGTTGTGCACACAACAAAAGTATGCATTAGATAATAAGACGGCGTAGCCTCGACAATAAAACTAAAGGACCAAACTGTCACAAGTTAAGGTGGGGGGAGAGGCGATGTTGCGCCGCGCGCACTGTGAAAAGCATTCGAGTATTCAAAAGCCAATAAATGCGGTGATATCTCTCTTCTTTCGCGAGTTTGAATATGTAATAAAGGCTTTTCGGCGATTGATGTCGAGCAGCCAAAGTGTGCCGGCGAAAATAGCTGTAGCGGCAGAATCTAAAATGAGCGAGATATTGGCAATCGATGCTCCCGAAACGTTTCACTCTGCGCGGGGGAGCTCGAGGGAAATAATAATCACGATGTAGGACAGAAATCGACATCATACGCATATGCTTGACCTTGAGTATCCATCCATACTAAAGAGAAATATGAGAGAAATATGAGAGAGAGAGAGAGAGAGAGAGAGAGAGAGAGAGAGAGAGAGAGAGAGGATTTTGCGTTTGCACTTTGCAATTGATGTGTACAAGATTGCAGACTATATATAACGGTAAGATATTTGTACGTCAGTTTTCATTGAAAGCGATCAAATTCTTGAATAAGTGTGCAGCCTTCGTTTATATAGATCAGTCTTGAGAAGTGCTTGCATACTCGACGGGTCGGATGCCAGCGCTGCTCTTTCATTTGTTCATTCGAGCTATGTATAGCGATGCATTCGGTGCGTAACGTTGCAAGTGCAATACTTTTCGCACACAGCCATCGGCGTATAAATGGATTTGTCGAAACAAAAGGGATCGCAGCCTGGGCATCCGGGCCTCTCGATATTGTTTCTCTATCAATTCAAAAATCCTCGCTCTCTCGCTATGGACAAGTGAATATTCATTCACGCGCCTCGTCAAGCATACCGCGTGCGTGGTGTGTCAAAAAATGTGTAATGAGAGATAGGAGAGGGTGGGAGGAAAAGAGAGAGAGAGATAGAGAGATAGAGAGAGAGAGAGAGAGAGGGAGAGAGAGGTGATGGATGATGATGAGGGGTGTGTGATTGTATGCATGAGATAGTTAAGTTGTAGCAGCACGGTGCGCTTGTCCATCTTATTAATTGTTGTTGCTATAAAATCTTGCATCGCTCGTCGTAGTGAGAGAGTGAGAGTGTGTGTGGTCGCAACGCAGCGTCGACGATGGTACACGGCCGTCGTCGTCACGCTGGTCAGCTCTAGAGAACAACGTCGGGCAGGGAGCAATGCCACTAGGCGAGCTGCGTGCCGCTTCTCATCCCGTGGTACTGCTGTTGCTGCTGGAGTTGCTGGTGCTGGCCGACGAGGCTGGGGTTGCCGTGGTGCACGTGCGAGTTGCCTCCGAGCGAATTGTTGCCCGTCGCAACTGCGCCCGTGGCCACGTCCTCGCGCACGATTTTCCGCTCCTTGTAGTAGATCTCCTCCGACTCCTTGTCGCACAGCAGCAACACTGCGCCGCCAAACAGAAAGATCGCCGCGCCCCAGCCGACGCCGTATGCCCAGCCGAACTCCCACATCGTTCGATTACCTGTGCGTTCAATACGTTTCAAGGATTAGTTATTATCACTGATTACAGTTGCAGCGATTATATTTTTAGAAATCAGTTGTCCGATCGAATAGACCATTGGAAATAAATTTCACGAGGATCGAGCGCAGGTTCATCGAGTCACTCAATAATATCTTCGAAAGCGTCTCGAAGTCGCCGGTTTAATATCCTATCGGACATAAATACGAAGCGTCGAGATTACCGTCAACCGCGTCGTAGCAGCCACTCGAAAGAGATTTAAAATGAACTCTTCGCTGTCCATTGCAATCGATGAGTTTCGTTGCTGGTGAATGAATTTCGCCGACATGAAATATGAATCGAATTTCGATCGAGATATTTTTCAATCAATAGCAAATCATGAGTATCCGAAATAGCGAATAATAATAATAGTGGAAGCTCAATGTGGAATATTTGCAGTGCATTAGAATTCGGGCCAGTGGTTATTGCCGCGGGAAAATTGGCGCATACACAGCGCTGTCGTATCGAGTGTCTATTTCGAATAAAGAGCATTAAGGAATAAGTCAGTCGCTGAATGCAAGCGGGAAACGAAAATAAAAACCGAGAAGGAGAGAAGGGGAAAAGGAAAGCAGCAGCTGCTGCAAATTTAATGCGATTCGCTCGCTTGCCCCATTATTATAACTAGGTGCGCGCGCGCGCGCGAGGCTCTTTAGGTACACGTATAAATGCAGCGCCTCCTGCGGATGTTTATACTTACCGAAATTGATTTCAGCAGCAAAGCACACCGGGTAAATAACCAAGGCTATCAGCAGCGAGACGACTGGAAGCAGAGCAAGAGGGGGAGATGAGTGAGCGAGGCAGCTACGTAGGCGAATATTCATTAGCAACGGTGGACTCACGAGCGACTCCCATGCAGAAGACGGCTAAGCGGTAGTACTTGTGCTTGTCGGAGTGATCCTGGCAGCGCAGACCCAGGCGCGTGAGTATGGTCGCGGCGATGTCGGCCAGCAGGCAAAGCACGCACAGCGCCGCAGCCGCCTTTATGTAGCCTGCAAAGTGGGTGGCAAGAATGATCAAGGACGTTGCGCGCCACGCGGCTTTCAAATAAACGCGCCCCACGGGTAATCGCCGTGGCGGAGTTCGACGAGCTGCCGCGCGGACGCTTTTCCGGCCGGGACGCGCGCATAAATCCCGACGAGCCCGGAGCTTATTCGACGAGAGCCGGAGCGATGCCTCTTTTCCCTCGATTATCCGCTAACGAGATCGAGGCACCCGCTTGCGACGGGATTCTCGACCAGCGGACCACCACTCCTTCCGCGGGGAGCGCCGCTCGAAAACTTGGCAAGCTCGCGCACGGTGGGCGGCGGCTGCGCGCCTCGATTCATTAAAGCAGTTCCAAGTTTTGCAGTGTCCAGGCGAGCGCGGTCAATTAACCATTGTCGCTGGCCGCGCGCGAGCGAGCGATCCTCGTCCGATCGAACGCCGAGCGGAGAGTCGCGTCGCGGGCTCCGACGCGACCCAGAGTGAAATCGATCGCGCGGCCTCGGCGACTTCGCCTTCGCGCTTCTCTCGCGCCCGCTGAAAAACGATAATTGTACGATTTGCCGCGGTGGAAACAATGCCGCGGAAGCTGTAACAAGCGAGTCTCCGGCGCCGCGAGGAAAGTTCTCCGAGCTCGGGGCTCGCGATGAATATCGAGTTACGCATTATGAAAGTCGCCGAGCCGAGGGCAGGCGGGAGGGGGAAGGTGGCGTCGAATGCGATTTGGCCGGTCGCGGGGGCCGGGGCACGGGGGAAAAAAGCGAAATGATAACGAGGCGGCGACGAGAGGAAACGACAAAAGATGCGCGTGCGCGGCTCAAAGGCAGAGGATTGTAAATCCTGTGACGGGCGTAAACTCGCAATTTCCTCGGCGAGAGGCAAGTTGGCCTGGTGCTCGGCGGGAAATCCAATCGCCGCGGAGGAGGCAAGATCTGTTCTCTTTGTCTATCTGCGGAGGTCGAGTCAACGTAGACAAACTAATAATCTCGTTAGAGTTGCGGCGGATCGCGCATTCACTTTGAACGGCGTCCCCGTGGCAATTAAATCGAAACTGGGCGTGTAGAGCGAAGCCGCGACGTGAGTTTTGGCCGAACTAACCGACGTCACGGGCTTGATAGCATCCAGGTGGGTCGACAATGTTGAAGGGCAGCGGAGTCTGCGCGCCCTCCTCGATGCAGTGAGCAAACAGTCCTTGCCGCCAGCCCGATGCCATCAGCCATTCCGTTGAAGCCAGGCCCATTATCATCAGCAGGATCACTATTATCCCGCATATGAAGGCTATCACCTGCAACACACCCGATTTCTCTTAGTTTCGCCTATCCCTTCTTTCTTTCTTTCTTTTTTTATTATTTGCTCTGTTCTTTGGCCTAGATTTTTCAAAATTCCAGCAGATTTCATTCAGTTCCAACCATGGCGGTTGCGCGAGGAATATTCCAGGGATTTGAATATTTTATGGATAACGAGCGCGGATAAATAATTCAAAGCGTCCTTCGTGAAGCTCGAAGGATGAACTTTGTTGCGAGTAATTTTTAATTGTTCATAGCCGACGTAAGGAACATTTTGCCTTTATAATTTCCGCAGTGATGCGCGGAATCTTTTCTCCAGCGGCTGCTTCTGTTTTCAGCGGCCAGGCTTGTCGGCAGATTTTAAAGGCAAATTATAACTTTCCAATGGGTTCAAGTATCATATTATATATAACGCAGGCGTAAGAAAAGTGCGCGCAAAATAAGGCGTCGGTATAGCAGCAGCAGCAGCAGCAGCAGCAGGAGCAAGCTCGTCGATTGAAAAATGCATGCTAGCTGCAGATAAAGTTGATGGACGAAGAGGAGACTTTAGAAATAGCACGAATAGCTTTTCGCAACTCGCCACGGCGGGGAAAGGCAAGAAATTTCAAGGCAAAAGCTGCCGAGTTCGAACTTAGTCTTTAAGCTTTTTTAAGCGTCTTTGAATTCGACCAAAGCCTTTCCGCCCAACTTTTTCGCCGACTATATTGACTCGACAGACTTTTATTTATTTATTTTCCTGCTTGATCAATTTATCCAGGGGAAACAACTTCATAATTTGTTCTGAAATGTGTGTGTTATGAACAGTTCCATTAACAAATTTTTTTTTTATTGAAATCTTCAAAATTATGAAATAGCATTCTTACCAAATCGCGAGACTGCGCTTTCTTAATTGTTTCAATTCATTATTTTTCACGCAACGTTAAAAACAAAGACTCACTTTCGTAGGTTTCTTATAGTTTTTGAACATTTAATAAAAAGATAGCGTTCATTCGTACATTAAAATTGTTAATCTACGACACAAAATGCATAAGCAACTATGTATTGGTTAATTCTTTGCTCGAAATGTCGGCTTTTTCAGAGCAGCAAATCTTACGTAAATTGTCAAGCTTGCAATTTCATATACTGCAAAAATCGAAATTTTAAACCGAAATATAACTTCTGGCTCGTCGAATTCGAATCGACTGTATATTTTTGCATTTCGGAAGAACCGCGAGAAAGCATCGTTTTCGTCTGGATCGATTTTAACACTGTTAAAATTGGCTAAGCGTGTTTTGTGAAAATGGCACAGACGGAGAGCAAAAAAGACTGCGGTTGATTTAGCCAACCTGCAAAGATCAGTCTCTCATTGTTTGACATCGTTATTCCCATGCATTTGTTCTATTAAGAGAAAAGAAAAACTTGATTCGGATGGCGATTATGCATACGTCCCCTAAAAATATTTCGAGTCAAGCACTAATAAGCTTCAGTATCTTGCCAATCGAAGGTCGTTTCTGCGATATTGAGAATCTTATTGTGCGCAAGGATTCCGGGACAGAGATACAATGTACTGTTTAATTTAAAAGGGGAAAAAGGTTTCCTATTGTTGTATACCAAGTTTAAGAACGAGAAAGATTTTTGCGCAGTAGTGTTGAATCACTTGAAATACTTAACGATAATCTTTGTACCTAACAAGTGTTCCGGTATCTTAATTCACTTTTCAACAAAATACAATAGAAACAAAAATTTCATTAGTTGAACACATATAACAACGCTACAGAGAACTCCACGTTCACTTTGAAAGAAATAATCTATTTCTTCCAGTTAGCAACAAGTATATTTCCAATGTATGTCAACAGTTACAGCTTTTATTCTCAGCCCTTCGTAATCAAAAGTAACTAATTTTGTAGATCGTACAAATACGAGAAAAAATAGAACACGGCTTGCATAACTAATATGGAGTTCAATTAATTTATTCCAAGTAAGAGTATACTTTGAATTTTAAGTTTGGGAATCCATTTACGTACAAATGAAATTCACTGATTTCACAAAGAATTCCATTATTAATTTTAACAAAGAGTTATAACAAACTCAACGCTTGAAGCGATGGAGTGGCACTTGTATCTTAATAATAAAAAATATGACATAGTTTAGTGGACATCGAATGGATATTATACCGTAATGCATTTAATACGACTTTCTGGAAACACTATGGCGACTATGCAGAGGTATAATTGCCTTTTTTTAGAGAAGTTAAATTGAGAGCACTACGTGGGAAGAATACAGCGTAACTTAATCCGTTTAACATTTCTCTTTTACCTTGATAAAATACGATATTTTATTATTGATTGTTAACGCGAGGCATCTGTCCGTTAAATGATCGATCGCACGTAAAAGTACCGATAAAACCACAACAATTTTTTGCTCCGCATGAAAACAAATAAAACATACTTCGAAAAACAAACACCATACTATCTTTTTATATCCTATAATAATAGTTTGTGGTATGTCTCTTCGCAATCCGAATGTCGGTAGAAATGGCTTTGTCGTAGTATTTGACGATATATTTCTCGAAATAAAATGGGGAAAAAAGCACGGACATACTGTAGTGAACTTTTAAAATGATTTTTCAAATTGAAACTTCCGTGTAAGATATTCCCTTCACACCAACAATAACCTGAAATATACTTGTACTATAAATAAAAAAAAAGAAAAAAAAAATGAATAAACTTAAACTCTTGAGGCCGAGCTGTTTTCATCTCTTGACTCGTAGAATCCCTTTCGTATGAAATCGATAAAAAAAATAAAATAAATAAAGAAGAAGGCCGGTAGAAAGCTGTTCGTCCAATAGCAGCTTTACAGGTGAAGCGAAATTCAGCGCGCGCGGGCGCGCGTATAAAGCGCACATATACGATCATCCAACGTAAAAGAAAAAAGAAAAAAACGTACGAAATAGATCAAGACCAAGCCGACCGTGTATCTCTATATATCCGGGAGAATGGCAATATCGGTGCAATGTCGAGCGTGCGGGGTATATAACAGACGTTTCGCCCGACGACGAGAATTGGCCGTAAGAAAGAGAGAAAACTGGCAGAGAGATAAGATTGGACCGCTCTCGCGCGAAAAAATAAGAAGAAACCTCCTCTCTCCGGCAATTCTAATCGATCGGCGGCGACGCTGTTGGCCCCCCCCCCTTAAATCAGCAACGAGAGAGAAAGGAGCGGGAGACGTATGGAATTCTTTTTACACTTGGCACCACGACAAATCTTTCAATCGTCCTCGTGTCCACGATTACCTTTTCGCGGCTGCCGCATCGACGGATATTCGAATTTGGGCGCGACGAGTCTACGCGACCGTATAGGCCACGCTTCGCGAGCACTGCATTAAAGTTGTATCCGCAGTTTGGCATTCACAGTTTTGCGGACTCGCCGCGGTTATAATTACATTTCGGATTGATTGGGCAAAGGACCCATTCCGCATTTTCGCTATCGATGTTTACTCGCGATCATTGCGATTGCCTGCAGCTCCGAGAAATGTATACTGTAGAACGATAGCATCCAGCCGGTATCGTTTAGCCATCAAAATATTCAATATCTACATCCTTCATTATGCATACTCGCGTGCTTTATTTCGATTCCGGAGTATTTATTGATAATGCGAACGAGTCGTTCTGGATTCGCCAATGATAAGTCTCTCGGCTATTGATAGTAAAAATAATTAAAGCGGGGCAATAAAATGCAAACGAGAGCGATAAAAGTCGAATCGAATTGAAATCGAAAGTCGCGCGAATGGATGAAGCGATGCACCATTCGTGTCAGTACGAAATCCAAGCGTCGAGAGTCGAGCGCGCGGAAGCGCGCCCAAATCAGCTCATGCCGTTCCGGGCGCGAACGACGCGTTTGCGTTTTGTATAATTGGCCGGCCCGCGTCCGCGAGCATCGGCAAATCGCGGCATCAGCGAGCACGCCATTCCAATTAAGTAATTCCGTGAGCGCGCGAAAAGTAGCAGCGAGGAGCGATGCGTATCGAGAAATTGCACGGGCAAGCGGGCGAAGTGGCGGAGTAGCGGCAATCGAGCCGTAACTCGCGCTAAGAACGCGGTATCGTCGCGGGACAGCTCGCCGGCAGAGCTTTTGCACGGGCGCGTAGACATGTGCGCCGAGGTTGCAGCCGAACGGCAGCGCCGCACGCAGCTCGCGCCCGACAACGCGTGGCGCGCGTCTAAATAAGCGAGCAGGGGCTGCGCGACGAAGGGAAAATCGGGGCCACGCTAAAAAGTATTTCAACGGCGGCACGCTCCTGAAAATGGGAGCGCGTGCATAATGAGGCGCGTCATAAAAATCAGAGCAGCTCGCGCTCATACGTGCGGACCGAGCGAGAATAAAAAGAAAAGAAAAGAAAGTAGAAATGGAACAATCTGCGAGGGCTGGGTGTGAGAGAAGTGGATAGGGGGAGGGGGCAGGTGGGATGGAGGGTCGGCCGCCGCGAGTTACAAGTGTCTAGGCAACACACATACGACCAAAAAGAAGGCGGCATGTAACATCGATTTTGGTCCCTCTTCGCAGCGAGCAACAGCAGTGGAACCCACACGAGCGGTCTTCAATTTTTTTTCCTTCTCGCGCGAATCCAAATTACAAACTGATTCGGTCGAACGCCCGGTGTCGTTTGATCGTTGTTCGCGGGATACGACACGAGTTACATTCACCTTTCCGCATTATTTCATTTCCGTTTTCCCGTCGAGCTTCACGCGACAACGCGAGAGCAGCGAAGCTTTCGCGTTCGGCCCTCGGGCCCAACTCCGGGCAACGTGGGCAGCAGAGAAGAGCAAGTAACGCGAAAAACGGCTTTGTTTTGAAAAGCGGCGGGGCAGGCGCTCCGCGATTGGATCGTTCTTGGGGGACGCGAGCAGACGACGCGGGTCGCGGGGGCCTCGCCGAGGCGAACTGACCTGGGCGATCTCGGTGTCGGCCATGTGGTCGTCCGCCACGGTGTACATAATCATGGTTCCGGCGTGGCGGTGGCGCTGAGCAGTCTGGCGAGGGGCGTCGCGGAGCAGGGGCTTGGCGATGAGGGCGAGCTCGTCGGCGCTGTAGAGGAAGCGGTTGTCGCTGGACGACGATCTGCGGCGCGTCCGTTGTCAGGTGGAGAGCAGCGCGCGCCTCGGCTGCCGGAGACTGCTGCTGCTGCTGCTGCTGATGCTGCTGCCAGTCGCGGCAGCGATCGCTGCGGCTGCACTGCCGACGCCGAGCCGACACGACGACTCGCTGCCACTGCTGCTGATGACCACTCGTACACAGCTGCGCCGGCTCCCGCTCATGAAGAGGCATATGCGAACTGAGACCTCGGCCGCGCGCGCACCTCTGCCCCTCGACCGTGGCTGCTCGGCTCCTCGACGCGTCCCTCTCTCTCTCTCTCTCTCTCTCTCTCTCTCTCGCGCGCGCGCGCGCTCTACCCGCCTACGTCAGCCGACGGCGACGACGACCTGCGACTGCTGCTGCTGCCGCCGCTGCTGCCGCCGCTGCTGCTGCCGCTGCTGCTGTCGCTGCCGCTGCTGCCGCTGGCGCCGCCGACAGCGCCGAGGCGGCCATGTCAGCTCGCCGCCTGTCTGCCCGTGGCACTTCGGCACTTGCGCACCAGACACCCCCTCGCACAGCCAGCGCTGCGTGCGCCGGCCCGAGCAAGCGCCGGGCGGGGGAGGGGTGCTGAGATTCCCTTCTTGGCAGGCCGCGCCACCGCCGCCGCCGTCGTAATAAATACGCCCGGCGTGCTATATCTTGCTCTTCTTCCCTTTGACGAGTGGCGCACGCCCTTGGAACCGTTTCATCAAAGCGACCAGCAGAGCCTGTACGTCGCGCCTCGCGCGCCGGATGAATATTACAGGCCTCGTTTCAATACGCGGTCCGCAGCTCCTTCCGCCTGTACCCACGTATGCGTGTCTGCACGTGTGCGGCACGCTCGCGTCATCGGCGCATTGTATCTTTCCCGTGAGCTCCGATTGCTTTCTCTCTCTCCTTTATGCGTGCGTATGATCATCGCCGGAACGAGGACTCTCGCTGTGCGCGAAATCGCCACGCGGAAATCGTTCGGTCGACATCGCTATTTCATCTTTCTTTCTCGTTGTCGTCGATCAATCGAGTCGACGGGTCGAGCCGAGATTCATTTTGCGTGTTTTTTTTTTTTTTTTTCCTCGATCAAATCACAAGGAAAAAACTTGTTTGGCTTTGACATCGAGAGGTAAAGAACCGTGTCAAATTTATAAAGCGAAAACTGGCGCCATCAAGCTCGACGATTCGACTGAAGTTTGCCTGTCGAATCGCAATACAACGATGCTCATCGAACTCCCGACCATTAGACGTTAACGTTACTTTCTTGGCGCGCGGGGACTTTAATTGAAGATGATGTCGTAAAAAAAGTATGTCGCTCTAAATTGTCGCAAAATAAATCGCTGGTATTTACGGAAGCTTGTTTCCACGAACGTCCTAGTCAAGTTGACCCAGCAAATGAAAATCCAATTCGATTACACGATAAATCTGAATTATCTCGTAGGAATTTCGAAGAATGTAACCCAGTTTGTCTTACACGGAAAACGTCATTCAACGTTTCGATCGCAAAACATTTAACGTGAGCAAACAGTAGCTACTCAAAAATATTAGCAAAATGCATGTATGCATGACCTATTTTCTGCGCCGTACATTAAAATTATTGAAAGTTAACTGTCGTACACGGAATGGGACATCACCGAGGATTTAAATTTCAATCATTCCGAGCTCATCTCATAATTCATTCAAGAGTAGTTTGACAGACTGCACGCGAGATTCGTATCATATATATTAGTGCATTAAAAGATTATAAGAGATTAGCAAAGTACTCCTGACAATGTACAAAATGATCACAATTGCGAGTGATAAAAGCCGAATACCTCCAAAATCCCCTGAGGCATTAATGACACCGGGTTACGCAATCATTTATTCGCAGATACATATAGGTATTGTCAAATGTTGCAAATCTCGGAAGCCTCACCGACATCACATATTTGATGGACACTAATGCGCGATAACAAGCTGCGACTTTTCTCTTCGACATCCTTTCGGTGTGATTTTCGGGAGTAACGACGGATGTCTGTAATTTTTTACAAACCTTACTTTTATACTGCCACTTAAAGATAATGCCGCTGAAATTTCGACCCACCCTTAAAAATCTCGTAAAAAAGCCTAACAATTTTGATTGAGTCAAATTTCTTTCTTTTTTATTACACTTTTTAATAATCAATTTTTTTACTAATTTAAAACTTCCATTGAATTCCTGTCTAAATAAGTTGCGAAATGACAAACAACTTCGCTCGTACATTAAGCAAACTATTCGTCTTTTTCGACTGATCTATTTTGTTTTGTAAACCTAAGTATGTTCTGAAATCAAATGTTTATATTCAAATATACTTTAATATCTTTGAAAAACGTATACACGTGACGGACACCAACTAAAATATATATTTCTCTGTTCATAATTAATGTAGTTTTTCGTTCAAAATGTTTCGTTAAGATACATTGAATGACAGCAAGCAACTTGATGCACTGAGGAAAAAAATATTAATTTGTTTTGAAAAAAAAAAAGAAGTGTAACGCGAAACTTGTTCACTAAGGAATTTCCAACACGAAATATTATAAAAACAATGTCCAGGAATAAAATGCTTTCAGCCCAGATTAACATAGGCTGACATTAAGAAATCATAGTTTTAATGAAATGCAACTAAATATATTACAATTAGTTACATTAAAATTAACTAAATAGGTCATTCAAACTTCTCTGAGAAAAAAAAAATTTATAAAAAAAGCAATCAACGTAAAAAAATATTCATCGTCAGGCTGAAGCCGACGTAGCATTCTTTAGGGTCCCGTACAACAGTGAGCGGCATTCAACGAACAATGCAAATTTAATTAAAACTCACACATACAGACATAGAAGCAAGACCGACCGTAATAATGACGTACTCACGGCGGTCTTTTCGTTAGCGTGAAGAACAATCGCGTCAATTACTTTCGTCATCGTGTGGCGCGCGCATGCCTACGACCAATTAAAAAAGAAAAAAAAAGCTAGCGAAATTTCGGTCATACTCTGATTAACGTACGGTTCAGCTGGGGCGAGATTTGCACACAACGATTGATATGGGCAGTCGAAACGCGGAGTGCATTTCGAAGGATATTCTCGCGCCGCCGGGGATGAGTATACTTTTAGACGTTGACTCAGCAGGATATTTCTGATGATATAGGCGCCAGCAGAACCGACCGGCTATGAGAACTTTCGCTGTGATTCAGATGGCCTCTTTATTACACTCGATTTCGTTTGAAATCGTTGTTCGCACGATAAGGGCTCTTTTTTCCCATTTTTTTTCTTGTTGAATCGACGAGTGACGCGTAGATGGATGACGATGCGGTTTTTTCCAGTGAGAGATTGTTTCTTTTTCGGAAGTTAAATGTTTTTTTGCGTTTTTGGTTTAATTGTATATTAAAGAGTTTTGCTTAAAGTTTCGTAAGTTGAATTCGCATTCAAATAATCGGACGATAAGAGCAGACCGTAATTATATAATATACATTCTATAATAGTATTTCAACTGTATATACAATGTACTATCAGATAACGTTATAAAGATCTTATCGTAATTCCGCCGTGATACGTATATAATTTGCACCATTAATATCGGAATATTTTATACATACTAAAAGCTTTTACGCGATTCTCAAAAGTACTAGGTATTAATAAATTTAGTTTCAAGAGTTTTAAAATGTGAAAATTTCTTCTCAAACATCTTTGAATTTTAGGCTAACAGTACCTCTTAGATAAGGCAGCAGATAGCCTATCTGTTTTTCTAAATTCATAAGCAAATAATCTTGAACCTAACAGATAATTTCATGGTATTTAGGTGAGCAATGAAAGTCAAAATCTTACCTTCAATGGCCGGGTGACGGTCACTGTTTCAATTGTTGTTGTTTGTGACATACTGAATCAACAAATTTTCAATAACTGCAAAGAAAATAAAATAATTGGATAAAATAAACAAAATTAAAAATCGATATAAAATTAGAATGAATTATTACAAACACATTTGAGGAAAAATTAAAATGATTGTTAATGGTTCATAATTAATAAATAATTAATAATAAAACTCAAATATACGTAATTTTAACGAAAAAAGAAGCTGAGATATTAAAGAAATTACGCGCAATATTTTTTAATAGTTCTTGATTTATTTTCTTTATTAAAATATTGGAAATGTATGCAGCACAACAGATGCTATTCCTCAATAAGTTGCAATCTCAACTTTGCGATAATATACATAATTTCTCTAAAAAATTACATCGTTCAAATAAATAACGCTTTGAACACCTGATAATTATACAAGACACTTTGATTCATGATCAACAATTCAAATCACAATTTCCACTAACAAACAAAAGAATTGAGGTTAGATGACTGTACTGTCCTATTTCTGCATCAACCGAGCAAGCCAATTTTGGAATATCTGATCGATACGAGAAAAAAAGTTGCTACCTTGGATCCTTGCGTGCAAATGGCAAAAGCATCTTCAAGTAGTCGAACCAGGACATTAATTCGTCACTTGTGTAAAAAGAACAAAAAAAAAAGGAAACACACACACAATCTGTATGCACTTACGTCGTTTGTTTTGCCAATTCTAGCAGACTGCACTTGAATTTGATGATGGCTCAGCAGTGTGTAGCCTGAGGATCTATCACGACCGATTTAGCAGGAGGTTAGTCATGGCACTCGCACGCGTTAGCAGGCGATGATTAATACTTGTCAATTAACATTTAAGGTGTAGATGTTTACATTCAATACACACAAGCCACAAGCAGCAGCATCAAGAGCGCGCAACTATCTGCCGCCATTGAGCGTCGTCAGCGCTTAGCTCATGTGGTAGCTCAGCCCAGCATCACGCCAAGAAGCCGAATGCTAGTGACATCTAGCTTTAGTCAGGGAATTATATTGTTATCACAGTCATAGACGAATTCATCAATCATTAGTACTCTAATAAGTGATTTGGATTTTGTTAGCCGAAATGTTGCTTCATTGTAGAGATAATAATTTTTTTATCTTATTTTGTTAATTAATGTGATAATAACGTATGCGCCAATATAATAATAAGATTTATTTAAGAAAAATGATTATTATAGACTTTCAACAATGATTGATAATATCAATTATTTTCGTGTTAATGAATACGCCTCTATCAATAAAAAATTATAGAGATAAATAGAGCTACTATAATATTCAAATTCATTCATATCGAAATATAAATTGGTAGTGAACGATTGAATTATTTCGATGTTTGCGATTGTAATCTGCAATTACATTAAAACATTGTAAAGCGCTTTTTGGTCTATAGTAAAATAAATTAAATCGAATAAAAATGAATATTATACTAAAATAAGTTGGAAAATGAAAAGCATTCCTCACGACAATTAGTCAACTCACGTACATAAGAAAAATCGGAATCATTCCTATATTTATTAGAAGCTTTTAAAATATTTGATGCAATAATGAAACCTAAATAAATAAACTTTTTACATCAGTGTAATACAACAGGCGCTCAAGTTAAAGCATAGTATTTTTGAAAAATTGCCCATACGTTAAATTATAAGGTAAATCGATTCCATAAAATCTATCGAACGAATCTTTTCTCACTCTGAAATTTAGTTGTTTGGAATATCAGAACATATCTCTATTGAGTCAAAATGAAATGTTTGATAGTTCCATTTAACCAATCGACGACTTAAATATGCAAAACTTTAAGATCTAAGTAGAATAAAGCAAATACACAAAAAAACGGGCAACATGACCATTTACATTTTTTTAATTTTTATTATTCAGACATGTGTAATTTAGAACTAAACGTTAATTAACGATGATTTTAAGATCATTTATACAATAATTAGCTGATCAAATTCTTTTACGCATGATTCGGTAGAATACCGTAGATATTATTGCAGCATGGAAAACAGTTAGCATCTTTTTTCATTTAAAGTAAAATTAAATTATTATCAGATAAAGTATTTAGTGAAGATGGACGAGAAATAACCGCTGCTACAGCTAAATAAATTTTAACGATGGTTTGTCCTAGATATCAAATTTTACGAGAAATATTATTACGTTATCTACATGGACATGGCATGAAAGGTTCAACTATGGTTAGCGGGTTGCCTCGTTATTGTCTCATTTGCATGAATGAACTCAGAAAAGCCCGTATAAGTTTTAAAACTACATTTATTCATTTTGACAGCAGTCCCTATCTAATGTTTCATCACAGTAGTTGCAGAAACATCGCGCAAATTCCAATTCGAAATGCGTAGCATCTCTTATATTTAGAGGCAGATTTCTATATTTATTCACATTCTTTGATCCTTTATTCCATCTAAATAGTTTCTAGTTCTAGTGCTCTGCTCTCCGTCTTCCGGTTTCCAGGGTAGCTCATTCAGCACTGTGGTGCAGCTGGCATTTGTGATATATTTGCGCTTCGTACTATCCTCTTGGGAGCTCCCGAGAAACATCGCTACCACGTTTCAACGCACTCGTTTTTGGTGCCTCTCAAAAAGGCGCAAGTCTTCTATGCGACCTAAATGCGACAATTTCAATGGAAGTGGGCTCGTTGCTAATAAGATAATTTAAATTCATTTTTGACTTGATTGAGGCATTACTTTCAAATTGCAATAAAATAAAGACGACTTTTTTTTAGGAATAATTACTTATTTGCTTGTACGGTGCGTCCATGACGTGAAAAATTCTATATTTGATCGTAGGATGCCCCCCCCCTTCCCCCTTACTAAACCTATTCAGTTTAAGTTATACGTTTCGAACTACCAAACTGTCGTTGGCAACCAAAGCATATAAGCCAAAAGAGAAAATTGAATCCAGCTGTCTCTAAAATATTTCATAAATGAAGTTCCTCGCACTCTTTTATTTAATAATTTGCAGCAATTCAGCGCGACACTCGTCCATTATGCGCAGGCTTGCAGTGAGCGTTCGTTATCGGCCTCGTGCGAATACAGCAATCAGTACGTACGGCAAAGGTCAGTGTGTCTGCGAGATCAATTGCCGTCTTTACTATCTTAAACTCAGGCAAGTGCGAAAATTTGGTCAGACGCTGCTTGAAAAAATAAAGCCTTTCAGTAAATAGAAAAGGTCATGGCTAAATTCACCTCCGGAGCAAAATGAATGCACTCAAGTTTTTATATAAACGACGATACCGAAAAGTTTGCCTTTAATTATGTCCATCTCCTATTTGTCCATAAAACATTATTCTCTCATTTTTACCGAGGTGTAGAATTTTCAATAGATTTCGCTTCTTTGGAGACGAGACTTTTACTCTTTTCTTTTCTTTTTTTGGAAATTGTCGATTTCTCGCCACAGTTTTTATGTTTCTGTCACGTTAGATGTTAATCTTAGCGTTTCTTTCCTTGAAGAGAAAGTTGTAGTTTCGACTTTTTTGAAACGTTTTTCATTTTCCACTCTAATATTTTGTTTATTCTTCAATACTGACTGTAGGTACAATCAAAACTTCCTACATATAATCAATGAAAAATGTTCACGTCTGTCCATGGGAAAGTGGATGTATTCTGCAAATTGGTATGCCTATTCTGCTCAATGAATTGTTATGGCTTTGTTCCCAAGCATGGAAGCGTTGAAAGATAGATGGGAAGTTTTTTCAAAAGAATATTAAAGTAATGTATAGGAGGTTTTTATTAAACTACAATACGCAAACTACTCTAACTTTTGATTAAGAGTCGATTTTTTAAGCGTGATGTCTTGTTTTAAAACTTACAAAAGCAGCTTCAGAATGAATTATTGGATAATTTTTATAACGATCTCTCGTCCAAGATATCGTATTTGATAAATGCTTGTTTTTTGGGTAAGTAAAGTGGAGCCTGTATATATGGTACTACCTACAAAAGAGATTATATATTAGCTTTTTACATAATTTTCTCTGTTTTTTTTTATTATGTACTACATTTTTTATTTTTTTGTTAGATTTAAATAACTTGTAAACAATCATTTTATTTTTATACTTCTGCTATTTGATAATTATTAACCCCATATTACCCATGCAAAATCCAAGCCAGATAGACCAAACTAACTTATTGAATGAATCACTGTCAAAACGGAAAAAAAATATTTACCCGTATTATTTCTTTTTGCGAATCCAATTGTTCATGCAAAATCATTTAAACAAATTAAAAACAAATTTGCGATTTCAGAAAACTGATCATTTCAATCGATTCTACAAGAAAAAAACTTTAGACATAATTTTTTTAACCGATCGTTTAGATGGCATTTAGGTAACAGATTATATGTATGTATATAAAAAAGTGAATTAATTGGTATGATCAGTTTTTTGAAATTGCAAAGTTTTTTATAACTTATTTAAATAATTTTGCATAAACAATTAGAATCGCAAAAAGAAAAAACACGGGTAAATTTTTTTCTGTTTTGACATTGATCCAATGATTAGTTTGGTGCTATCTGGCCTGGATTTTGTTTGGGTAATATGGGTTAATTCATAGAAATAAGTAATATGACAAAATGAATTAAACTTATAAAACACCCGTGACGATTACATTACCACATCAATTTGTCTTTTATTTTTTATTTGTTTATAAATATTCGGCTCAATCATGTTGGTCCCGTTTGACTCCTAATTCCTATATATAATTTTTAAATAATTATTTGATATGTTATTAGTTGTAAGCTATGAGGGTACAACAAAATTATTGTAGTTGACGTGCGTCAGACGAATAAGTCTACATTATATTTTTACCGCTGAAAAAGCTTTGTTTTTTTAAAGATTTGCTATTAAAATTTTCAAGCTTTTTACCAGGATATGTTACGTAGAACACCCACAAAAAGTGAAAAGATTAAAAACCTTATTAAGATTTGTTAGGATATTATTTGAAAATTATCAAATGCAATATCAATAGGATTGTTCTGCTTGATCGCATTGCTACGATGAACTGCTGATGAATAAAAGAAGCAAATTACAGCAAGGTCATAAAATTCTTCAATACCGGCAGTCGTCCGCCGCGTTGTGTACGCATTTTTCCTTGAACGCAAACAATCGGAAAATTCATCTCGAAGCTGCGATGACAATGCAATTTCAGTTAATAAGCAAAATATCCTACACAATACGGAAAAGATCATAAGGTATCTGCATATTTATAAAATTAATTATTCATGTCCTAATCATTGCTTAACATGCTAAATGTATCGAGCTTGTTTTGTTATGTATAACGATACTCACAAGTAATATTAACACACTTGAGGAATGCTTTAGTTACAGTAATCAATGCGGACGTGTGTGTAGTACGAGGTTACACAGAGTTTTTAATGAAAGGCAAACGTTGGTGATTAAATAGTCGAGATATTTATCCGAAAATAATTTTTTTTTTCGACTTGCAGTCACATCGAAGCTCGTGTATTGAATAGTTATGAGACGGTTTGTTGCAACGCCGGTATGGACGCTATAATTAATAATTTGAATAATGTTTTTCCGATCCCGTTGAGAAACCACGTAGCGGTAGTGAAATTAAATCGAATGAGTTTTCCAGCTCAGTCTGAGACGGTTAACATTTCTTATAATTTTCGTCTTTAAACACTTGAGCTACTTTTGTTGAATGACTACAGACAAACAAACGCCGTCTGCTATCTGTAGGGAAGCATTATTCCAAAGAAGTTTGCAGCGGCGTTTATTAAATGAATGGTTGAGCAAAGCTGAGAGATAGAAAGACCCGCTTGATCATATAAGTGTTTACGTAAAATTTTATCGGTGAGAATACTGAAATCTATTTCTGCTTAAGATTACCAAATGTCACAAGGTACACCTGATTTGATAAGAATGCAGGCGTTGCCGATCACAGCATTTATTTCGAGCGAAATCCAAGGCTCGCGGGTGAGCAACGTCTTGATGCGAGCAATCATTGAAGTTCAAGAGCTTGATACGCGACTGCTGCCGTGGGAGGGAGTCAGGAGGAGGGAGTCAGGAGGAGGGATGGAGAAGCGATACGTATCGGCGCGTAAATGCGAGCTACAGCTCGCGCAACGTCGCAACGTTGTCAGAGGAGCGTGCGACAGTTAGCTCAGCCTGCCACAATGGACCTGTTGTGCTTGGCACTTGTATTGGCCACTGCGGCGATAAGCTACTGGTACTGCAAGAGACTTCACAGCTACTGGGACAATCAACATGTGCCGTCGATAGCCAATCCGAATGTGATTTTCGGGCACATGCTGCCCGCCATCGCCGTCAAAGAAAACATCGCGGAATTCGTCGGCAGGGCCTACAAGAGCTTCGACTCGAGCATGGTCGGCTTTTACTTCTTGCGTCGGCCGGGAATTTTGGTGCGCGATCCGGAGATCGTCAAGCGCGTGCTGCAGACCGACTTCCCGAGCTTCCATGCCAACCTCGTCACACTGAGCGAGAGGAACGATCCTGTTTTGGTGAACAATCCGTTTTTCGTGAGCGACCACGAGCTGTGGAAGAAGCGAAGGACCAGAATATCCAACAATTTGACGGGTAAGAAGCTCAAGTGTCTGTTCGCCATCAACCAGGAGGTTTGCAACGGCCTGAGCGCGTTCGTCGAGAGGAAAATCCGCGAGAACGGCCAATTTTACGAGTGCGAATTGAAGAATCACTTCACGCGGTGCACCGGCGAAGTGGTGGCCAACGCTGCACTGGCCATCGACGGCCAGAGCTTTCGGGACCAGCCAGATCGCCTGGCGTTCACCGTGATTGCCAAAAGCCTATTCGAGCCGACGTTCGTCAACGGCATCAAGCAGGCGCTTTTGTTCTTCCTGCCGGGCCTCGCCAATCTCCTCGGTCTGGCTTTTCTGGAAAAGAAAACGGACGACTACATGCGGCAAACTATCAAGGCGATTATCAAGCAGAGGCAGCAGGCGGGCGAGGCTCCCAACGACTACTTGCAGTTCAGCGCGGAGGCCAACTCGTTGGACATCGATGGCATCGTCGGCGACGTGGTCAATTTCTACGCCGACGTTTACGAAACCTCCAGCTCGGCCATGGCTAATCTCTTTTACAACTTGTCGCAGAATCCGGAGATACAGTCGAAGCTACGCGATCACCTCGCTTCCGTGCTGAGGGAGACCGACGGACAAGTAACGCCCGAATCGCTGAAAAGCATGACTTACCTGGACCAGGTCATAAGCGAATCCATGCGCGTGATTCCAGCGGCAGGTACGCTGATAAAATGCTGCACCAAAGAGATCACGCTGACGGGTGCCGACGGCGTCAGCTGCCATTTGGTGCCCGGTAATCCAGTCTTTATACCGATTATCGGCCTTCATCGCGACGAGAAATATTGGCCTAATCCAGAAGTTTTCGACCCGGACAGATTCAGTCCGGAAAACCAGATTCATATCAACAAATACGCTTACTTGCCGTTCGGCGAGGGGCCACGGATGTGCGTCGGCATGCGGTTCGCTCTTATGTTGATCAAACAAACCACCGCAACGCTGATTACGAAATTTGCCGTTGAACATTCGCCGAAGACCAAAGTGCCTCTGGAAATCGATCCCTCGTCGTTTTTGATAGCGTTCAAGGCTGGTTTATGGGCCCGATTTAAAAATATATGAGTGACCTTCATATACGTGTGCAAGGAACCAAGTTGCCATGATTTCTGTCACGGATGTAAGAGTGCTAGTGATTTTATTGTCGGAGCGGTGTACGCGCGTTAGCTTTCAACCTTTAGACTTTCAATAAAGAGTCATCTATTTTATTACTTTAACGATTGTGTTGTTCGTCTTGTATATCCTTACCGCTGCTGTCATACTCCTCATCGAAGTTAATTTTATTGTCAAATAATAACAATATTTTCAATATTTTCAATATTTTTTATGCGCTCATTCGCGACAGTTTTCAATAACGTACGCCGAGTACCGCAAATATATCTGTTGATCAAGAAAATAAACACGCCGATCGTTTATTCGCTACAACATTTTCGTCGCACTCGGCTAGCTATTGAATATTAAGCGTATTAATAAACATATGATGTAATTTTTATGACATCATTCCAGGCCCTCCTCCTCTCTCCCTCTTTCGCTCTTAGCAGCCATTCACATATATTCTTACCCAAACAATTGGAGAACATTTAGATAAAAGGCTTTATTTCTGACTAATGCGAACATGTAGATCCACTTCAGTTATAAAATAATTTCTCGTCACTATGATTCAGCACTTTGACAATACTGTACGCAGATAAATTCGCTTGCCTAATTTATTTCATTGTAATGACTGCTTATTTTCAACGGCTATTTTGCTGAGTCACTATCAAGGTCACCATATACATATAAGTGCATCATCGTCAAAAAGATGTCTTTTATATTTATTTATTATTTTCTTAATTAATTTTACTTGGACATAGCACTTCGGCATCTCCATGTACCGTTTCAAAATTTCAATCACCGACTCTAGTTCATAGCACGGGAGTTTTGATATCTAGTTGCACTCACTAGTCCATTTTCACTTTAAAATGCAATTATGTTAAATTACTTAACTCTCGTTCATGACAAATGTTCCAGATGACTCCCCTGACGCAGTGTCTCATCGTAAGGGGGTTCATCTGCAATTGTCATTCGCAATAGAAACAAATCACAAAATATCATAAAAAAGTTATCTTTGGTATATTTAATACATATTTCACGGTATTCAAGTTGACATTTTTTTGCTAAAAATAGTAAGCTTGAAAAACAATTTAATATGCTTATGAAATGAGTAATAAACATAGAAAGAAATCAACCCTTTGTAATATAATATACAGATACAAAGTTGCAAAACTATGACTAAACAAACGCAAAATGTCAACCAGAAACACACCTGAAGGACTTTGATTTTGACTCTTGCTTTACTACTGCTCTGCTGGTCAATTTCATATGCTCATCTTGCAATAGCATATTATTGAGCTTTGTAACATAATTAATTTCGATGATTTGTCTATTACAATCTAATTTCCATGAAACTTTAGCCTTGCGTTGTCAATCGCGCTGTTCACAAATCTCACGTCCTTTTATGTAAATTTCAACTAATAAAATATGAACTGATCAGCATAATCGATTCAGACAGGCAGTCTAAAAATACCGAAACCTATCTAAATTACAAGAGTCATGTGTATAACAGCAATTCAACTTGAAACAGAGTTGCCAAAAATTATATCTATAGAATGCAATCTATTATGGCTATTCACAAATTACAAAATAATCAGTGCCAAATAGATACGAATTCATTTTTAAGAGTTTTTTTTAATGAAGGTTTTCATTGTAGAAAATCAACATATAATCGAAACTTTTTAATCTAATCAGAATAATCATTTCTAAAATCATAAATTTAAAAATTGAAAAGGTTTTTCTTTTGCGTGTATTATTATATTCAATGATGTGTCGTCACACGAATAAGCATATCCATATGCTCATATGAAAGCGTATGCAACATTCTTGTATACGATTCTTATAAACTAGAAAAAATTCTTCTTCTGTATAATGGTGGTCAATGCGTACCAGTTAACCATTAGAATATTATTAAATAAAATATATGAATCCCAAAACAAAGCTTTATGTCTATTATGAATATATTTATCTATACTCAGACGCGAACAAATCGTATATTGCCACGCTTTGCATGTGTGATATGACATCAAGAATGTCCATACATATATTCAATATTCAGACAACAGATGTCATGATTATAGATATGCGGTTACCCTGGCCATGCATCACTTAACATCTTCCAAAAATGTTCGCACGATCATGAATGAGACTACGTTATTTCATATAATCTTGTAAAAAGTAATTTTTATTCGAAGATCGTAGGGAGGTACAAGTCATTTCGTCGTTTTTCAAAATTGGCACGTGCATTACCTCGACAATATATTTTTAAGTTAACATAGATACACTCGAAAGAAGTCACTGGACATAATCCGCTGCACCGACGTTTCGAGTCGGACGTTATATAAAGTTTTTTGGAATTTCGTACAACATTCTTATGCTGCAATAATAGTAATATTGCAAACATCCGCGACATATCTCACTAATCGAGATCTCAAGTTCTGAGTCTCAGCATGGATATTCTGATGTCACTATAAAATACAGCGATCGTCTGCGAGAAATCAGGTAAATAATAAATATTTAAAAATGAAAACTTTCCTCAGAGTGTGTTATCTTTCTTCGCTTCGCTACTATTTTCCTGGTGCATATTCGATTGATACATAAGTTAATTATCCGCATTTACGTTAACCACACACGGGGCTTCATATACATTTCTCTTTCCCGATAATTTGTTTTGCGCGGTAATTTACAGAGGGAAATGAGTCGTGCATTGATCTTCATTTTGAGCAATTATTGCTTTATTTGCGCCGATCCAGGTTTATTTTCTACTGAAATAATGGTCTATATATATACGCCTCGCGGCAATTTTCACATGAAATACTGTAATTATACCTATATCAAAGCCTTCTCTCAATTTTGATTCAATAAATTATCGATTACTTACGTTTGTCACACTCGCCAGCAAATTGTTTGACATTGAAAGAAAGAGTCTTCCCTTATTTTAAATATGATATTTTAAATATAACTAAGATTAGTGTGATTGCAAATTATGCATACAGCATGTATATCGTTTTTATATTTTTTAATGTTGAATTGAAATTCTCAAGGAAAACTTTTCGAATATAAAATTTGTAAATCTAACTTCCCCTTCCCCTTGCCGGACACATAGTAGGCTACCGCTAATACCCAGAGCTTAGACCCAATTTTTCAATTAATTTTGCAAGCAAGTAAAAATTATAATTTAATAATTGTTATTCCAATTACGAAGCGGCGGTAGGTTTGGTATGTTGTCCGATAAATTAAAAATTGCCGCTTCGTAATTATAAGCAAATTGTGGAATTACAATGTTGACTTGCTTGCAACTACAAACTTGATTTTAAAATAATCTCTAGATTTTAAATAACAGTAGCAGCCTACTCGTATGTAAGTTTTACTTTTTGAAAAGTGCGATGGGCAGGGGAGAAGAGGAAAATTTCATTCACTTATACCAGGATCATAAAAAATGAAATCCATAGACACGAGTGTTTAAAATCGAACACTTGGTAAATTGCCGATGGTCGTCTATGATAAATTTTTAAATTATATGAATAATTAAAAATTGCTAAATCTTTGATACGGACAACTGATCGAGTCAGCACCTCAAGACACGTATTTGTAGGTTTGAACGTACATATACCTATATTCCTGCATCGGGCCATGACTGATATATTTTACTATACGTACTGACATTTTAGTATTCAAATCATACTGACATCTTTACAAACCAAACAAATTATGTAATTAATAAGCAGATTATGTACTCTGCGTTACTCCAACATATTATATATACTATTGTGAGCAAATAATACTCAACCTGAGACAAAAGCTGTAACTAAAAGTTGTCCGAGAAAACGATAATGAAAAAATCTTGTTTTGCAAATAACTTTCTCGAAATTGCATCGATTGAACCAAAACTTTTTTTTTGAATTAAAGGTGGTAATGTAAACTTTTGATTTTACTACTGGATGCATCAATATATCACACTGGAAGCCCTTATTAATGTACAGCCAACTCATTTTACATATGGTATCGGGTGTGGCCAGGCTTCATAGCTACTTAATGCATACTCTTGAATCAAGATATAGATTTTTTATTATACATTTTAATTAATTTGGCGTTTACGGCTATTCTGTAGAATATTTAGTCTTCATGAAAAATATCTTTGAAACATGCAAATCGTTTATGGCCAGTACTATATGAGTTGCAAATGGTTTCTGGAATTTTGTAGGCTTTGGCCGTATCAAGCTCCAAAAAGGAGGCAAATCTCTCTAACAATATTTTATCTCATCAATTCAACATTAATTCTTTCAACATAAAAATATCTGTGAAGACAAAAGAAGATTAAATATCATTGTATTTATTGCAGCAGATACTTTTATATCAAGTATGGAGGGAAGATTTTACGGTAACATTTGAGAATTCCGTATCATTAATGTTTTGAGCTGCCGTCAGTGAAAAATATTTAGCCACGATCACAGGGAAAGAACGGATGTGTATTAGAAAGTTTCTCACAGTTTAAGCTCATTAGTTAATGTTGTCGAAAAGATCACAGTCCATATAATCTATTTCATTTTTTCGCATAGCTGCTATACTTTCTCGCTTTTACTTTAATGTTCAATGTGGATACTGAATATCTTGCAACGATTTTTAGTTGATCTAAATTTTGCTTTTTAATAATAGTTGAAAGATCGACAGACTATGTTGAACGTCAAATTTTAACGAGAAATACAGCTGAAAGTCGATTCTTATTGCTGTTTTACAATTGTAAGCATGGTGATTTTATTACCTTAGTGTGAATCGCCCTGCTTAGAATGGATTACTCTTTATTATACTCGTTTCAATTTTCAGATTACATATTTCCCGCATGGATACTATATGCGCTAAGCCATTTCTACCCATGGTATTGGATATTGTACACCATTGAATAAATCTCGTCCAGTTATAGTACCATTTTATGCTAATTTACGTATTTTTTGAACAAACTGATTATCATTATTGGGCGTGCGTCCATATGGCTGTTATGCATTTCATCACTTTTTTTCTTTTTTCTGGAACCGACACAATATACGTCATAACTTAAAAATACATGTGGATTATTCGATATCGTGTGATAAAAATCTATATATTTTATAGCTATGCGCACAAGTTA